GACAGCACATATAAGAACCAGTCTGATGTGGGCCGCCTTAACAGCACGTGCTGCTTGGCGGACAGGTGGATCTTGTGGGAGTCGTGTATTATTAGAGAAAGCTTCGAGCACACAATTTGTTGAGGTAGGAATGCCGATGTTATACGGGGGGTAACAGAGTGATAAGAGGTAAGGAGAGTGCACAGCTATGAAAAGAGCTGGAACCCCATCTCCTAGTATATGGCTAAGACCGATTTGCTTTTGACAGTGCACCCCGCAGACTGAGCCCTTATGCAACCATCTCCGCTGAAAATTTAATCCAACTAGCATGACTTGCCTTTCTTCTGCCTGATCAGCCCCTTCGCCCGGACACCAATCTAATCCAGAATGAGGTAGCACGTCGGAAAGCAGCTGGAGCAGATTACGTTAGATCACCAAGAGTGTCGATTGTGTTGAAGTGGCGACTTCCCACGGTTTTACGAACGCCGTCTCATGATCTCCCCAAGAACCTTCCATTTAGCTCACCAACTTCTCGTGATTATGTTTTCGCCACGCACTCTTGTCAGTACATCCCACAGTGTTATTGAAATGTGGCGAGACAAGAAGTTTGTATTAAAGCCATCATGATGTGGCGAGTCATACGACAGCGGCATTGGAGTTTCAAATCTTGCCAAAGTTTGTCATATAACAACTCAGATGGTCTCTGTCCCTTTATTTCACTGGTTGTACTGTATCGACACTCACAGTATTGTTCGCCAGAAGATCTTTCACTTTGACCTAGTCCCACCGGGGGAGGCAATTGCGAGGTGCCTTGCATTTGCAGTTGCAGGTCCAGCTCAACTGCAACCAGGCACGGTTCCACTGGCGAGACGGCCACGCAGAGGCGGACCTGCTTGTAGTCACCCGCTAGCTCTAGCACACCCCCGACCTACAGTTCCGGGAGCCGGGCTAGCGTAGAGTCATGGTTATCACCGTAAGTTAGCGGTCAGCCGAGCAGGTTATTGCCATCCTTGCCACAGGGAAGACTCATCTTGTCATGGTCAGCGCCGCCCCCGCTAACACTAAGCATTCACCGCAACTGAGTTGTTGTGGACCATTTAACCTTATCCACGTAAATACAACTGGGCAGTGTGCTGTTTGGGGTTAGGGGTTCGACCGGTATTTACTAGGGTTCGGCTCAGAATCAATTATGCGCCTCCACTCGCCACAATCTCCCCATGTCACAAGCAGAAATCCAGCTCAATCCCAAAGCTTAGAAGGGCCTACCTTGTTCCACCTGATCCGCAATATATATTCAACTTCGCTGCAACCAGGCTCGAAGGTTAGCTCTACACCTTCGGCTACGTTGACCTTCATTCTTCCAGCTCTCCAAAGCTAGTCGCTTTCGCCAAGCTACATACGAACACCGACAACACGGCCTTGCCACAGTCTACCCTCCACACTGGCGGGTAAAATGATCTGGTGGTGCTGGGAAATGGCGGCGTAGGCAAGACAGCTTTGACGATCCAACTATGCTTACAACACTTCGTCGAGACCGTGCGTTACTTTGTCCTCCTCCTTCCTAACCCTCTGCCTCCTTACCTAGACAACTGTTTTAGGCCTTGCTATGTGTTCAGGCCTGCGTGCTATGATTGCGTGCTTGTATTATGGAGAGCTGACTTATGGCAATAGTACGACCCAACGATTGAAGACTCGTACCGCAAGCAGGTTGTGATAGATGGCCAGGCATGCATGTTGGAAGTCCTGGATACTGCTGGCCAGGAAGAATACACCGCCTTGTGTGATCAATGGATCCAAGACGGCGAGGGTTTTGTCATAGTCTACAGCATCTCTTCTCGATTGTCGCTCTCACGGGTTAGGGGATTTCATCGCCAAATTCAGCAAGCCAAGGAATTTTGCGCATCCTCCCCGCCTAGTCCAGGCTCACCAATCCTCGCCGTCAACTCGCAGGCGCCGGTACCGATCATGCTGGTGGGGAATAAGAGCGACCGGGCAGCCGAGCGAGAAGTATCAACGCAAGAAGGTCATGCTCTAGCTCATGAGCTGGGATGTGAATTTGTCGAGACCTCGGCGAAGAACTACATAAATGTTGAGAAGGCGTTTTATGACGTTGTCAGTGTCAAACGATATTCCGCTCCAGCCGAGGTAGCGTCCCGACCCACTTGGGCACCGTTGTTGTGTATATAACTGGGACCTTCGTCCTCTTGACTTGTGTAGTGGTCAAGGCCAATTAACTCTCAATAACCCTCACATGCATGGCATTTTCCTACTCACTTTGACAGTCAGAATACTTCAGCACCAAAGATACGTAGAGCAAAGGGCAATACCGTCAAGCGGCAGCAGACTGCAACCTGCAGCAAACCGCTATGCAGGACTGCCGAGACACCCTGCTGGCTATCTACGGCGAGGTGGTGGAAACAAGTGCATCATATTATGAAAGCGTAACGAATGGTTAAGATCAAGGATGACAAAAACCAATCGCAGGCCAGGCATGATATCAACAAGCCTCAGGAAACAAATAAGCTCAGGGTACTTGTAATGCTGCGGACTGCCGTTAATTACCATAGTAAATCGGGGCATAACGCACATGATAGGCGAGCGGTCAATTTTCCACCCCAAATCTTTTCCCGTTTATTCAACCCACATTCCTCAACCCCAAGACATGCCAAAGTTAAATAATGAAGCCAATTTCATTCTTGCCCTTCAAACCCTATAGAATAACTCTCGATTGAATGTGTATCGCGCTGCTACGATCTATCGACTCTCAAACACTATTCTGTAAATAGTTTATCCTTTAGGAAACCCAAATCTACCCTATACTACCTATATACAGGTTAAATGAACATAACTGTTATATACATCGCTTAATAATTTAACCTGTTAAATATAAAGCTTCTAGAAATAACAGCATAAGATCTATAAATACTACTGGCAGTCTTAAGCTATCATCTCGCTCATTTACGCAAAAGTTAACAACGTTCGGCATTAGTGCAGGCTGCCCTGGGTTAACTTCATTATCTTAATGCTCAGTTACTCCGACAGATACTGCTCCCAGCGCGTGCTCATAGCAAACACCCCTCCCTAGCGACATCGACATAAATAACTCAATATAATACGCCTTCGTCCGTATGGTTTATGTTAAGTGATGAATCGATGGATTCAATTTTGTACACTAGGTGTATTTTCTAATTTATATTCCTCTGCCGTTAGCCATTTTTAATAATAATAAATAGCCAGGATAGATCTTGGGTCGAATAGATCTGATATAACAGAAAATAGGTAATGTAGGATATTAGCGATGTGGGCTGAAATCGCAGCGAAATAGCGCGGAATTGGAGTGTATGCTATGAACTCTATTGCTACTATATATGGACCAAGTTGAGGTAGGATTCCGATCACCCCGCGCCATCCGTTTGTCAGTTCGACCAGAGTGCCCAGAACAGGACCCCGTCGAGGCACAGGCGCACCACAATCTAGCGTTGCACACAAGGAAAAGACTGGAATAAGTTGCATTATTTTGCCGAGGTCCAATACGTTCATGGTCCGCTCACCCGGTCCTGAACATCACCCCTAGCATCAGAGCCAAACTCGCTACCACCCTTCCGATTCTACATAACTCAGTCGACCCCCGGCGCTGGCACAGAATGCTAGTGTTCCCGTTGGTCTGTATGATCGAGGTGTATTGCACGATGTGACATATGATCATGACATGGCCTGAGCTGTCCAAAAACATCCCCCGGCATGATCGTGGCCAACCTAACGGTCTATGCTATCAATGGATCATGGCACTTGAGGCAAGCCTTGCTACCCGCAACACCTTGCCTTCTTTATTTGATTATATCTTACCTTTGTTGCAACTAATGTGCGTCCTCCCCCCCCCCCATTTTTTTTCCCGGACAATCCGAAGCAAGAACGCTATGTCCATCTCCGAGGTGTACCACATTGCCAACACTGCACGAGCTAAGCTCTCTTCTGAAGCTGCCCGACCCGACCAGAATCTCCGCCTACTCGTCGGGCATGCCAACCTATTCGAGTCTCTAATGCTCGAACTTTCTAGCGTGTCGAGAGACCAGGAGAACTGGTTTACCCAATTGTTGGGAGTTGCCATGAAGCCTGAGGAACGGCATATTCGGTGGGCCGACGACGTCGTCGAGGGGCATCCCGAGAAGCATCCCGAGGAGCATCCCGAGGAGGACGGACTGGCTCGATGATGACGACCTCCTTGTGCCAAGCCGCTACCGGCATTTAGCATGCACGTCATTATTGCACTACGCATTGGCGGACTGTGCACGTAGGCCAAGCGAGCTTGGCATTGTGGAGGGTCGGATCTTACCACCCCGGCGGAGGCTGCCGATCTATGGGGGAAAGGCAACCCTACCCAGCACGGAACTGGGTCTAGAACATTGCAGATACTTCACACGGAGAGTAAACTTCACGATCCAGACTCGGCCGGAAAATCTTACATCAGCTCACGGCAGGGCTCCTAATAGTGCAGACCATTTAGACTATTAGTGCAGACTGCAGATCAGGGCAGGGAATACGGACGCCCGGTGTGGACGCTAAGTACGCTAGGTTGTTGGCATGGTGTTACAAAACCAGGGTACCCATGATTGTTGCTGTGCCAACCACTTTGTTTTGGATATTTCTGATCAATTCACTGGTGCGATCCGGATCAACAAGGCTCGTTTCAAGGGGCGCATCATCCTAGTCGTCAATCCACGAACGCCCGTCGTGGATTGATTATTGATCTTGGATTGTAGTCTGCACTAATAGTGTAAATGGTCTGCACTATTAGGAGCCCTGGCTCACGGATCAACGGAGGCCGGTGGCAGCAGGCAGGCTGCGCATGTGGCACCAGCACTAATGGACAACGGAGACTAATCAGAATACAACACAAATTGTAATATCTGAGGCATTGACACATGATAAATTTGAGGATATGTACATAATAACTAACCGTTGGAAATTGCCCTGTTTCCATGCTAGTGAACATAGGATTGGAATTCAACCGAGCCTTCGAAATGGAACAACAATTGTCACTACCAGCTGTTGGGGCGCTGCTGATGGAATACGACCTTGATCTCGAGGCATTCGATTGGGACCAAGAGAGGTGCTTGACAACGGCGAAACAAACCCTAGCCCCGTTTTATGCTGCCCCCAACCAAAATTGCCCCATCAAGCCCACGGATTCTACTTCCCTCTCCGTCGACAGCTTCTCTCCGCCGACAGCTAGCTTCACATCTCCTGATATCTTCAGCAGCGATGAATCGTTGCTGTACGACTCCTTCACGATGACCCCTTCTGAGATCGGGTCCATTCTTTTTCTACCTTACAGCGTCCCCCCAACTGCCCTCCCTAGATCCGCAGGCGGGATGGGAGGGCTGTGCAACAATGACGACGACTGCGACGTCATCGGCCAAAGGCAAGCCACACAAAAGTATACCGTCAACTCCGAGAACCTGAACCCACATGGCGAGAAGCGACCATCCCCGACGAGCCAAGAGACGGAACAACCACCTGCGTCCCGGCTACAAAATGGCAACGTGGACGCTAGCGCTGAGATCCCCACCGGCATCAAGTTGCGCACCACATCTCGCAAGCCTAAGGAGCCGCCGTCCAAAAAACTGGGCGGCGACAAGGTTCCTTTCTCACCGTCGGCAGCGCAGCCACGCCACAGCCATAACCTGGCCGAGAAGCAGTACCGGAACCGACTAAACCAACAGTTCAACAACTTGCTCGCCGCACTGCCGGCACCGCCGTCGGAGGATTGCGACTGCCACGACATCGGCAACCGACGTCTCAGCAAAGCTCGTTGTCTCAGCAAGGCTCGAGTGATGGACCACGCGAGGCAGCGCATCAAATCGCTAGAGAGAGAAAACCAAGCGCTGGTCAAGGAGCGAGACAAGCTGATGAAGAACATCAATTTAATGCAGGAAATGATAAAATGAAGGCGGCCAGGCGGCGACACTATTCGACTTTCCACCTCAAAGGGGAGCCTCTTCAGTCCGTCATAACGCGCGCTAGATTTGCTGCACCGGCCCACTGCTCTATCCTTCCTTGGATATGATCGTATTCGTCAGCTGCAGCGGGGTTTTCCTCACCATCCGTTTTAGAAAGAGAATATCGACGCCTAGTAACGCCGCTTTTATGGATTGAGCTCAGGCACGCCTCGAGTGCAGCTTATCTGGTCCTCATCCCTAGGTCTGGCGGCCCATCCGGATCCCTTCTAGGTGTCGGAATGTTGAAATCAAAAGGGTCTGCCGGTGATTGTTGGTGATGAATAAAGGTCTACGTTGTGTGTGTCAGTGAGGGAGCATAGCTCAGTACATAGTATCCACATCCCGGCCACTAGTTAGAAGATCGGACTATCTTAATCATACGTTCTCAAGACTTAGAGACCTAGTAATAGTAACAGTTACCATCCCCCACCACTTAAAGAATCACACCAGTTAAAGCATAGCACAAAAAATCACCGCCCCATACAAACCCTACCATTTTATTTGCACCGCATTTTGGCACAATGAAGCCATTCGCAAAAAGAAAAAACCTAAGATGCATTATTTTTTACGTGATGTCTTACCCTGGGCCATTTTTCTTCCGACTTTGTGCGTATCATGGGGGTTTCAAGACATTGAAAAATTTGCATTTCTCGCTCTCTCATCCTTCGACTCCCACAAAGTTAAGAAGACTCTCTACGTAGTTTACAAGCGTAAAATATCTCCAAAATGGGTCGCTATGTTTATACCGAAAAAGACGTTATTGATGCTATATTCGATATTACTGACGGTTCTCTATCACAATACCAGGCCTCCAATAAGTACGGGGTGCCTCAACCAGTCCTCTCGAAAAGACTTTCTGGCCAGAAGAGCAGGAAAGAGTCTACCCACCCTCACCAACGTATTTCTACGAGTCAGGAGGACCGCCTCGTTCGTTGGCTTCTGCGGCAGGAGTCCCTGGGTTACGCTCTCACGCATAGCCAACTTCGAAACTGCGTCGAAGCCCTCCTCCGTCAACAGGGAGATAATAAGCCATTGGGTCAAAACTGGACCACCAGGTTCATCAAGCGTCATTCAAAACTATCTACCAAGCTTGGAAAACGCCAGGAAGCCGCCAGATTTGATGGGTTTACTCCGAAGGCGGTCAATTGGTACTTCGATATCCGGGAGAACGAGTATGGCTGGATCAAGCCTGAGAACACGGTTAACGTGGACGAAGCGGCATAATGGCGGGTTTCGGTAAGTCCTCTATAAGTTCCCTATGGGTTTTTGTAGGTCATAACTAATTGGTTGTCCATAAGGCTTGGACAGCCTCGTACCTAATCGGGAGTTCCGACCCGAAGAAGAAGGCGTTATTAAAAGGCGTCCAGTCGCGCACCTGGACTTCGTTTATTGAGGCTGTCACCGCAACTGGCCGTGCTTTGAAACCGGGAATTATCTTTAAAGGAAAAGAGCTGCAGAAGCAGTGGTTTCTTAACGAATTCGAATTAATAGCGGACTGGCACTACATTACATCCCCGAACGGCTGGACCGACAACCATATAGCCCCCGAGTGGTTGAAGGACGTTTATCTACCTCAAACGGAGCCTCGTGATGCATCGGATGCGAGACTTATTATCCTTGACGGTCACGGGAGCCATGCGCAGGTGAGCCTTTTGGTGTTTTCGGCGCGGAGTCACCCGCTATAGGGTCGCTAACGACCAGTCGGGACGAGTGGATGGCCACGTGCTTTCTGAACAACATTTACTGCTGTTACCTACCAGCACATTGTTCCCATGGTTTGCAACCGTTAGATAATGGAATTTTTAATGTCATCAAAGGTGCGTATCGGAAAGAACTCCAAAAGCTGGCTAGTTTGACCGATTCTGCGCCGGTTGACAAAGTCAACTTTATTTGGACATACGCGAAAGCCAGGGAGGCGGGCATGAGGAAGGAGATTATCTTATCCGGCTGGAGATTTACTGGAAATTGGCCTATCAACCGTCACAAAGCTCTAACACACCCGGAAATTCAACCGGACAAAGAAAAACTGCTGGAACAGTTCAAGACACCGAGCCCTCCTCCACTGCACTCAGATGATACGCCGAAAACGAGCCGGCAAGTGAGGGATATGGCCAAACACCGAAGTCGACCGACCAGGCGGAAGTACAGTAAGATCGCAAAGGGGTTAGAAGCTTTAGAGATGAAGGTGGCCGTTCAGAATGCGCGGATTACTGGCCTCGAAGAGCAGATGGCCCAGGTGCGGCGAGGGAAGAAAAGAAAGGCGGTACCGAACCCGAACCGACGATTCATGGCTCTAGCGGAGGCGCTAGCGGCTGGAGAAGCTCTTCATGACTCAAAGGAGGCAGAAATAGAGGTGGATGTGGATGAGGAGGTCGAGTCGGTCATTGAGGTGGGTGTCAGGTCAGAGGACGAAAGTGAGGACTTTATGGTCGTAACAAAGCACTGCCAGCGCACACGGAGCGGTCGGGAGGTCAAAAAAACACGCAGAGAGTAAAATTCAAGCAATTCTCTATAGAACATCCGAGTGGCTTCATTTTTAATGGACAAGGTGGTTGGTTTCTGCGTGCATCAAATATTGGATTTTGTATGGGGCGATGATTTTTTGTGCTATGCTTCAAGTGGTGTGATTCTTTAAGTGGTGGGGGATGGGTACTTACCTACCTACCACCTACGGAGTACCTCAACTGTTGATCTCTTCCATTATTAGGCAAACAAGCCCTCCCACCAACCATATCGAGTGGAGCCGTGCTCTTTCTGACTCGACCTGCTTTGTCGCAACAACATTCTTTCTCCGATTCGGGATACCCTCGACATCGCGACCGCCGTCTGCGAGGAGATCCTCGTCCAGCTTTGCCGTCCACGGCCCGCCACCCTCCGTCTACCATCTACCATCAATCAATCCGCATCCAAATCTCGCCCCTGCCGTGCGCGTGCGCGTGCGCCCATGGCAAACATGGCCAAAATGGCCAAGCCCGTCGGCGAAGACGGCTGGCTCGCCTACCTCGAGGAGACCATCCGAAACGCATCCGACCTCGAGAATCGTGTTCATGCCGTTGAACAATACAAACGCGCCGTTGCTGCCGAGCCTGGCAGCTTGCGCATATGACTTTCCTACTGCGACTACTTCTGGTCGCTCTGGGAGGCGACTCAGGCCCTCGCCAGTGACGGATGGACCGACGAGGAGCTTCTCATGGGTCGCGAACTGTTCTCATTCGGCGCCGCTCTGGACCTATGGCAGCAGGGCTACGAGGCTATCCAATAGCACATCAATGACAGTCATCTGCTCTGGGATCGATGGGTCTCGCTCGAAATGGAACTGTTGTCCACGACACGCACTCCCGAAGGCATCAAGCGGATCACCCATCTCTATTGCGACCGCTTGCGGACACCCCATGTCACTTGGGAAGAGACCTCTCACAACTACTCCAACTTCCTATCAAACTACAACCCTGACGCGTGGTTGGACTTGATGAAGGACATCACCAACAATGCCCAGGAGGTCAAGCGTCTCATCGCCGCTCGCGATCCCTTTGAACTCAAGCTCAAAAAGGCAGCTTCCGCCAACGACATCGAGGCACGAAAGGGAGCCTTGACGGAATATTTGGACTGGGAGATGCTTCAGAGCAGGCGGAGTAATGACAACCCCAAAATTGGCATCGATTTATGTCGCGGCCTCTACGCCCGAGCCCTTACCGGAGTTCTCGCCACCGACCAGACCACCTGGTACAAGTACATCGTCTTTCTCTCTTCGTCCAACTCCGACCTGCAGGCCCCTGACAACCTGCTCGATGTTCTTCGCAGAGCAGTTCAACGCTGTCCTTGGTCAGGGCGTTTATGGAACAGGTATATTTTATGCGCCGAGGAGACTAAACTGCCGTTTGCCGAGATCGAAGCCATCAAACACAGTGCGACCAACGAAAGCGAGATTCTCAGAGACGGAATGGAGGGCATGATCGGAATGTACGAAGCTTGGTGCGGCTTCTTGAAGCGGACAGCCATGGACGTCACTGCCACAGATGAATCTGTCGACCTCGCTGATGTTGGCTTGAGTGCCGCGCTGGAGGATGTCTCCGTCATTGGTCGAAGACTCTACGGGAAAGAGTTCCAGGGCGATCCCAAGTTTCGGCTCGAACGTATATATATTCAGTATCTGACCGAGAAAAAGGGTGCTATCGATGAAGCCAGGGCCCAGTGGAACAAGTTGGCTGCTGTCCAGATCCACGCCAACAGCCACGACTTTTGGTTCAGATACTACATGTGGGAGATGCTGATATTCTCCTCGATGGGCGTTCAAGAAACTCGGAGTCCAACACCTTCATCTGTCAACAGCAGCCTCCGAACGCCATCGCTCGCAACCGCAGTTCTTGTCCGAGCCGTCTCACGGAAAACCATTGACTGGCCTGAAAGGGTTCTCGAGGTTTACATGCAACACTGCAATGACTACGAGCCGCCACTCTCGGTGCGGAAAGCCGCTGATCGAGTGCACAGGACTCAAGAAGCACTCAACAAACGTCGAGCTCGTGAGGAAAAGGAGAAAGCGGCTGAGTACGAGGCGTATTATCGTGCACAGGAAGCGCAAGCCTTATCCAAGCGGAAACGCAGATCTGTTCCACCTGCCCAGGACGAAGATGGCAGTACCAGCAAGCGACAGAAGGGTGGCGTTCACTTCACTGAGTCCCAGACTTCTAACACTCAAGATATCAAGAGAGACCGGGAAAACTCAACCATCATTGTGACCAACCTACCTGGCGAGGTCGCTCAGACCAAGGTCCGTCAGTACTTCAAAGACTACGGACACATCAAGAACGTCACAGCCCTGGTACAGGACAACAACGGCAGCTCCTCGACAGCCCTGATCGAGTTCACCACACCTGAAGAGGCACAATCTGCATTGCTCCGAGATGGCAAGTACTTTGAGCAATCCCAACTCAGTGTGAAGTCCGGACATGACCTGACTGTTTACGTCGCCAACTACCCGCCAGTCGCGGATGAAAAATACATTCGCGAACTATTCGATGACTGTGGGGAAATACTCAGCATCCGCTGGCCAAATCTCCAGGCAAACACACGTCGTCGGTTTTGCTACATTTCGTTTCGTGATCAGGAAGCATCGGCCAAAGCCGTCCAGAAAGAGGGTACCGTCCTTGACGGTCAATACAAGCTGTTGGCCAAGTACTCGGACCCAAGTCACAAGAAATCACGCGATGGGGCTCTTGCGGCAGGTCGAGAAATCCACATCAACAACCTGGACAGAGCAGTCTCTGAATCTGATTTAAGACAAGTCTTCTCCCAGTATGGCAAGATCACCAGGGTCAACGCGCCACAGACTTTGGGAGGCAAAAATCGAGGTTTCGCCTTCATTGACTTCGCAACCAAGGATGAGGCAGAGAAAGCAGTTGCGGAGACGAACAATACAAAGCTCCGAAGGTACTTTCTTGAGGTCGCAATCTCGAAAGAAACCAAGTTCAAACCGTCGGCCAGGACCGTCACCGCCGAGCGCGAGTCGGCCTCTCCTGCCCCTACTTCCGCTCGCGATGATGAGGGAGACGAGATGATTTTTGATAGCCCGACCCACACCAACAAGCAGCCTACAGCTACCGATATCTCAGCCCGTACGATCGCACTCATGGGTCTTCCAGACACGGTCAACGATGCTCGTGTCCGAGCACTTGTTGAGCCCATAGGCGACATCGTCCAGCTAATCCTGCAGCCAGTCCACGGGGGCGCCAAGGTTGAGTTCGCAGACGCTGCCACCGCCGGGAAGGCCGCCCTTCAGCTCAACGGCATGGAATATGAGGGCTTCAAGCTGCGTACCGGCTCTGTCAATGAGCTACGGCATGCCAAGGCCGAGCGGCGTTTGGACAGCATTGTCTACGGGTCCAAGAGCTCCGGCTCCAAGGGTTCTACTTCCAAGGTCTCTGCCTCCAAGGGTGTCGCCTCCAAGAGCGCCGTGCCTACGGATCTAATGCCTCCACCGACAATCATCCGCCGACCAGGCCCGGGCTCAGCTCGTCCCCGTCGTGGACTAGGGTTTGCTCGACCTGTCGCTTCCGTAGTCTCGAAAAAGGACACAGACACTAACGGGGCGTCATCAGCGAAGAAAAGCAATGCTGATTTCAGAGCCCTATTCATTCCTACCGAGATGGGTGGTGCTGAGGATAAAGGCAAAGAAACAGAGGTAGAGAAGGGCAAAGATGAGAAGAACTAGTGTATCCATGATTTCTGTTTGCTTGGCAGATTCATATGGTGTAAAACAATGAGTGTATTATGAAGGTGAATACCCAGGACGCAGGACGGATAAGTGTATGTGCTATTAGAAACAGTTGAGGCGCCTTCAAATTATCCCCTTTTCAGCCTCCCTCATGTCTGAACCTTACTACATTACACGGTGTCCAGACGAGGGGAGGCAACTGAGATTTTGTCATCTAGCGAATAAATACTAGGTACCTGTCTTCAATAGTACATCAATGGATACAAACTCCTACCTATATCTAGAAGGAAAGGGATGTCATTTATGTACAGTTCATTTATCATTACAAGAGAGATGATGTAGATGAGCTCAAGGCTCGGAACCACTACACCCACTCACATTTGGACCAAGTAGAGTGGATGTACGATTTTTTAGGCAATTACCTAGTGGATGTAATACATATTCGGCCGGAGTGGAATGGACGTACACACGTGGATTTAAGTGGATTTATAAGTGGATTTTTGAGGCTATTCACAACGTCGGTGCCTATTCAGCCTCACTTGGCGAAAAAGCCGGTCTTCGAGGTGGTGCTGTTGGCCTGGCTGGTTGGCTGTGATACGTGAAATCACGTGAGGATCATCAGTCACGTGAGCAATGCCTCAAAAGGGCCTGCAGGGCCCTTCTGACTTTGCTTCTTTATCATTCTTCTTCACAGGGGAAGGCGCACGTCCGCCGGGGGAAGTTGGAATTGGAAGCTGGGCGTGGTTGGCAAGCTGGCGGCTCCCTTGCGCTGAGTAGCCTTTCGGTACGAAGCTTGCAACAAGAGCCTGTTTTACTTGTGGGTTGCTGCACGTGTTGAGAAGAGGGCGCGGTTTTAAGTGGTCGGCTCTGGGTGGGTGGATGAAGAGACTTGGCCAATAGGGCGTTTGTGTGTGTTCCGTTTGTTTTGTGTAGCCAATAAGACGTATGCAGCAGGTTTTGAGGAGAAGGCACCATTTTGAGTGGTACGATTTGAAGAGCTTAATGCGGAACTAAGGGACCTAGCCAATAGGGTGAGGGTGAATAATTGAGACAGGGATCAGGGGACTGAGACTAGCAGAGATCAATCAGTTGCAATACCAGAGAGGGAAAATTGTCAATTTGAGTATAAGAAGCTGCCATGCCAAGATGTCCTGGTGTTGAGATCATTGGACTTTTATCACTCGCACTGGTGTTGAAACCGCACCCTTATTTCCCCCATATATCAATCTGTAAGTTTTCCAAACCCAATACAACAGCGTAAAATACCACACACTATCACTATACTAGGCTACTTAAAGTCTCTTTGTCGGATGATATAGTAACGTGGTTCACAAGCGAGCGGGACAGACAAGCGAGCGAGACACTAACCTCTACCCTCATACCTTTATTACTTAATTACAATACAATAACATAAAAAATCTATTCAGGGTAACTAGAGCTAGATTCTCCAGACGAATCTACATCTTCTGAGCAGGTTCTTACATTATGACCTGGCCTCCCGCAATTGCCACATCGCCGAATGCCCACTGTAGCCCGCCTTGACCGACCACTATTCTGTCGCATTTCTTGAGCTACCTGCTCATCAACATCCTTTTGAGCCAGAATATCATGAGCATCCCCTATAGTAAGTGCCCCTCCTTGCTGCACACGTGTCTTTCTAGCTCTCCGGCGTTTGCTAAGTGTCTCATTTGCCTTCCGGAGTGACTTGTTCTCCTCGCGCAAGAGCACTACCTCATGCATCATTGCCTGCGCCCCCTTTGCAAACTGGTCGACAGCATCATAAATTGGGGTCGGGGAGCTTCCCTGATGATGGGCAATTCGATCCTTAACATAAGCAGACTGAGAGAGAGCTTCTATCGGGTTGTGTGGTGTTAAAGAGACCCAAGGGTCGGTCTCTTCTAGAGGGGGCCCAGTCGGTGTTGGAGTCCGTAACTTGATATCTAGCTTCGATATGACTGCCTGTGGATCATGAGGTACTAAACCGGCCCCTCTGAATCCTCCCTTAATATTGCTTTCTGAAAAAATAGAAGGGAAGATATCTTTGAAGGCAGTAAAGAACTCGACCTTGGTCACATGGTTAATGTGGTACTTCATGAGCTCTTCAATCTTGCGACTATATGCCTGCTTCAAGGGACTGAAGATTCCAACATCGAGTGGCTGAAGAAGATGTGATGAATGCGCAGGCATGCAAATCGGAATGATGTTCCGTTCCTTGCAGAACTGCTCAAACTCAGCGGATTGGTGACTCTCATGGCCGTCGATCACTAACATTCGATATTTGCCTATTGTGCGCGAGGTAGTATGTTTGTCGAAATGCTGTATCCATTCAAAGCCAGTCTTATTATCGGTCCATCCATTCTCAGTAGGCTTGATAACCCAGGAGAGCGGGAGGTTGCTTTCTGTGTACCAATTGCCGAGATGGTAGGACCCCTTGACCACGATAAACGGCGGGATCGCCCAACCTTCGGCATTGACTCCTTGGATTACTGTAACCCATTCTCGATTGCCAGGCTGCACTGTTTTTGCCTTTCCACGTCGTTTGGCGCCGGTAACTACCATTGCGGACGAGATCATGCCCATCATAAACCCAGTCTCATCGAAGTTGTAGAAATCCGCGTCGAGGATGCCATACTTAGCCTTCATATTCGCCACAAGCTGAAACCACGCGTCAATGATGATTGGATCTTCGCATAGGGCTCTCTGCCAGTCGTATGCGCGATTAAAACGCGTCTTGAGCTCTGGTTGTCGCTGGACGAAGTGTGAAGCCCAGTGCTGCCCGACGCGTCCCGCGTCGCGTTCTGACAGGAGGAGGTTGGCCATGTCTTCAACACCACTAAGCCGGGGGGGGGAATCCTCGCGAATCTAGGTCAAGAATAAACTTGACTAGAGTCTCCTCTTCAAGGAGAGTCAATCTCATAGAATTGGCGGGTATATCTTGTCGAGCGCGTCGTCCCATCATCCTAGCGTGTAGTGTGCTATGACTGACTGTGTAGATCTTTGCAGCCTCTCGGATACTGAGTTTTGAATTTTTTTGGATAGCGGTAACGGCAAGGATGAGATTGGCTTCTTTGGAATTTAACGACATTATTGGTGGTTTGAGTAAAGAGGGTTAGGAGGTAGAAGGTGGAAAATCTATGTGGAGTGTCCCGCTCGCTTGTCTGTCCCGCTCGCTTGTGAACCACGTTATATATAATGCGAAGATTGATGTCACTTGGTAAAGATACTGTATTTCATTGCGCAGAGAGGATGTGGCATCGCCGATCTCCATCCAACATTTTCAGCCAAGAGCTACTATCCCTGCCGATGTGGATACTCGCACAATTGAATTGATCAATTGAGATAGATGGTGAACAGATCTGCTTTTTCCATGAGTACAAAGGATTGGCCAAAACGTCAGCACATGTCGCCGATCGCAGGAAAGCATCTTGAGGTAAGAACCTTGATCCCTGCCAAGTGGATACTTGCACAGCGGAATTGATCAATCAACGTAGCTGTTGAACAGAATTGCTTCTTCCACGATTACAAAGGATTGACTAAGATATTAATGCATGAAAAAAAGAAGAAAAAAACTAGTATGAGAGCTGAGCAGTATTTGATAGGTAGATGAAATAATGTGGTGTGTATTATGTCAATCACATAAGTGTCCATCGATGTTACCATTACAACGAAAGAGGGTGAAGGGATATTTTGATCTATTGGTATATCAATACTGCAGCGACCATATGAATAAGAGGGTGGAGGAGTATGATGCCGTATTGGTATACCGGTGTAATGGCATTCCGACTAGATAATGGGATGAATAATCAAGCCTGATGTTATTAATGTTATGAGAATAAGAGGGTGGGGGAGTATGATGCTCTACTGGTATACCGGAGTGATGATGCTCCGACTAGATAATGGGATGAATAATCAAGCCCGAAGTTAATCATCACGAAAGTAAGAGCAAGGCTCGAACCCACTACACTGTAAATCCACGTGGACCACATATAAGTGGCCCATCTCTATTACATCCACTTGTCGGCGCTCAGATTACGTAATAATCCACTACACTTGGACACGAAAGTGGATGTAATGGAGTGGATTTAGGTGGATTTAGGTATAGTGGGATAATCCCTGACCCTGTATGGTTCATAGTACCTATTTTTGTATATGACTGCCTATTAAATTGAGGTACCTGGACCCAAGTTAGCCGAGGTCGATCACCCCTACAGCTAATTATATAATATTATACGAGAAACTACCCTATTGAGCGCGTTTCCTACAGATTTCCTGCTTTGTTTTTATAAAAAAAAAAAGTTTTGTCGATGTCAGCCAACCAGCCAGGCCAACAGCAGCAGCTCGAAGACTGTCTTTTTCGCCACTTCAGAGGCTGGAATTGGTCAGAACGCGCTCGTGATACTAGCTCTTGGCTGTGGGATTTTGGCTATGATATTCAACGTCATGGCTTACGCAAATGGGCTTGGAAGGACTGTATCCTCGGAAATCATCCCATTATCGCGAGTTTTATCTCTTCAGGTCTCCAGAACGCAGCAAATCATCTATGACATGAGCACAAAACACCAGCACCAGAAGGAGAGAAGAAGAGCACAGCACAGCTGAAATCCGAAAGCTTATCGTTAGGCCTGGTTTGATGAAACGTAGGCTCATGAGCCTAGTTAGGTTGAAAAGGCAAAAGAGATGGTTGCCGACGTCTGGCTGTCTGATTACGCTCATCTCGAGGTTAGAACCAGCTGCAGCAGAAGCGACGACGAGCCACCGGCAAAAAGACCTCGGTTATCCAGGATGGCCTTGGACTTGCTAACGATCCAGCCGATGTCAACCGAGTGTGAGAGGTTATTTTCAGCTGCTGGCAAGATGGTCTCGGGGTTGCGTACGAACCTAGATGCTGAGATTATCGCCATTGCCAGGTTTTACGCTCTTGGTACCGTGCTGGCCTTATCAAGGACCTCTATCCATTGCTTAAGTCAGACCTTGAAAGCAAGCTGGATGCCGACTGCGTGACTCTAAGCGACGACGCGCTGGCGCTTATTAAGTGAAAATGGCTATTGGAAGGCGAGGACAGCGCCAGCGAGGTTGACGATTCACCACAGCAGCAATAGGCTGAGGAGTTAGTATCTGTCGGAAAGCTAGCGTGGCACTCTGATATTAATCGTGTATATTATCTGTATCTTTTTCGTCCTCTCTTCTTATTCTGAGGTATCAGAGCAAGCTTTATATACCTGTTCTGTGCTGTGTAGAATCAGCTAGAAGCTGATTCCTAAGCCTTGTGGCAAAATGCTAGGCAACTGATCACATGACACACCCGGTCTGATGCCGGGTGCATGGTCCAATCTAACAGTATCAACCTCTGAAAGTGAGGCTGAATAGGCGCCGACGAGGCTGTGAATAGCCTCAAACCCCCACTTATAAATCCACTTATAAATCCACGTGTGTACATCCATTCCACTCCGGTCGAATATGTGCTACATCCACTATGTAATTGCCTAAAAATCGTACATCCACTCTACTTGGTCCCAAAGTGGAGTGGATGTAGTGGTTTCGAGCCTTGGCAATGAAGATCCGCGAATGCAATATGTCGCGGGGCGGGAACTTGCATCAAGCACTTGGTTGCGAGCACATGTACCCGGATGCTCTCAGAGACCTGACATTGGTTGAGGAGAAGCTGATTGCACTCAACACCCATTTCGGCTTCGTTGCAAGAATCAAAGTCACAAAAAGCACCAAACAGAGTACGGCATATGCACGCCATGTAAAGGGTCATATAACTGTGTTTCCAAACAGTGTTCAAGACTTGGTTACCACAGTACTACCACATCCGCTTCTACAATCTTTGGAGGACATCCATATATCCTGGCATGGGCCGCAGAGACCAGCCCCCAGCGATCTATCCAAGTTGCTCTCAGTCCGGAGAGGAGCTGTGGAACGGGCGTTGCTTTGGCTAAGAATTTAACCCCCACTATCGGCACATCCAAATCGACAAAGCCGAGTTGGATAGTTGGGGAGAGCCGGCGCATGGGGTTCCGAGCCAGATCTATGACAGGATAGAGAGAGATGAACCATCGGCATGGGAAGAAACGCGAACAGCGCACATTGTGCCCCCAGCAGAACGTGGAATGGATGACGCTGGGCCTCACTCGAACAGATTGTGGACGGGCTGGGCAGAGCGTATGATGAGAATGATGTAAGTTACGACGAGGATCAGCAGCTCTATGACGAGCGCAGTAGGGAGGAGCTCGAGTATGAGGGCATGGGAAGCTTTCTTGATGAGATCCTTGCATCTGGTATGTTTCCACTGGATACAGCACCGCGAGCAACCGATGCCGATAAACTGCGATTTGCCATTGATACAATCAGAGGTGGACACACAAATGCGCAAACACAGCCGCCCAACCAGTCGACTGGGAGCGCGCAGGATTCGCACCTTCAGCCATACATTCACATTTCAAGAGGCAATGAGTTTGCAGATAGCAATGATCTCTGGCATCTTGCAAAAGCATTTCCAACACTATTCCCCTTCGGTTTCGGTGGGCCACGGTGCAAGGAAGAGATGGAATCGGACCTGTGGAAGAACAGTGTCCAGCTCACAGGGCATGTCCGTGATAGAGACAGTATTGGAGAGGGTGGAGAGGGTGGAGAGGATGCGACTTCGCCAACACGTAATCTCGGACTTCACGCATGGATGAAGAAAGTGCTGCAACGACATGGTGGTCACTTTGCCAATCATCCGGCGTTTTCATTCCTAGTCTTCAACATAGAGGTTCGGTCTAGGAATAGAGGAGTAAGTATGGTGAGCGTGCGACGGACCGATTTTCCTGAGGTTGAGAGGATCATTCAGTCGTTAACTCCAGAGAGGCTGGCGGAAGTGCAAAAGGAGTTAGAGGCTGGCGGGAGCACCCGAGATGAAGATATCAAAAAGCTCCTGCGATACATCTCATACTTTGGCTACAAACAGGCCATGTCGCAGGAGTCGCGGCTAGCCATGCGCAGAAAGATTAAAGCGCTCATCATCAGATACGGTATACCGGCGATTTGGTTTACGCTGAACCCCAATGACATTACGAACCCGGTAAAACTACGTCTGGCGGCATACCGAAAGGAGGACAAGGCTGCCGCGGAAGCAACCCTGCTTCGGGCCCTTCAGGATAGGTATGAGAGAGTGAAGCTGGCGATAACTGACCCCATAAGCTCTGCCATTTTCTTCCACCGCGAAGCAGAGATGTTCTTTGAGCATTACGTCAAGGTTGGGGAGGAATCTGTCTTTGGTCAGATTGGACAGTATTTTGCCGCTGTCGAGACCAACGAACGCGGTGCTCTTCATGTCCATGGTTTGCTATGGCTCGAAGGGAACTTGGAGCTCGGAAACTTCATCGGTGCTCATGGAAACGGGGAGGATGATGAGAGCGCGGCGATGGAAAGGGAAGGAATCCTGAAATATGTCGATTCTGTCTTCACTGAGGTACGCACATTCATATACTGATATGACCGAAAGCCAATGTGGGGTCGGAAGCTGAACTATTATCCAGGACCTGGATGAATCTGCTGCCTTTAGCGAGGAGAGCGAGACTAGGGTGGTTTACGACAACATATCCTACCTGATGACCGATGCAGGTCGCTTCTCTGAACAGTTTGACGATGAAGCCCACTTTTGCGCGGGCAGGGTCCAGATGCACGTCCATACCGCAACTTGTGTCAAATACTCTCATAACAAGGAGGGGGACAAAAAGCCCACATGTCGATTCCATGCGCCTTGGAAGCTCTTTACAAAAAGCGAATTTGGCGCGGATGGTATACTTCGGCTCCAACGCTCACATCCCATGATCAACCGATGGAACAAGTCAATGGCGGTTGGGTTGCGGCACAATCACGACATCTCCTTCATCGGAACCCAAAGCAAGACAATGGCGCTGATATACTACTTGACAAACTACGCCACAAAGATCCAAGATCCGATCTGGAAGAGAGTGGCCATAGCAGCAGAGCTCTTTCCGAGTATCAGCACAACCAGCGCCGTCGGGCTAGGTGCAACAACTGCAAACTACGAAGCCAAGGCAAATATAAACCGCCAGTATCTGATGAGAATCGCAAACAGAATATTCACCGAGAGGCCATTATCGCAGGTGGAGGTGATTGCGCACTTCTTGGATTACCCAACTGAGTTCTCGAGTACTAAACAATGGTCATATGTGAATATGACAATGATATACTGGGCAATACTCCGACGCTGGGAGCATCTCCAGCAATGCAGTAGCACTTTAGGCGACGACGATGATCGACCTATCGAGAACATAGGTGGCAATGGCAATGGCAACGGCAACGACGCGGAAGCCAGCGCGGAGAGGGTCTTGGTGGGAAGCGATGGCAAGAAGCTGCCATACATTGAAGCCTACCACCACCGTGGAGAGGTGCTGCAGACATTATGCTTCTATGACTACATGTCGCTTGTTACATTACAAAAGAGGATAGATTCATCTTCCAAGGAGTTGGTGAAGATAGAATTTGAAAGGGACTGGAAGCCGGGAAGGGACTGGGTGCAAGTTCTAAGACCCCCGGGGAAGTATGCCGTGCCGTGCATTAACGGCTTTCTCGATATGGACTTTGATATTGATTCAAACACAGACAAATACCGCCGGTAAGCACAAGCCATTTAATAGTACAGATAAACAAAGAGCATGTACTGATATTAGTACTAGAGCTGCAGTACAGCACCTTGCACTCTTCGTACCATGGGAGAAGTTTATTACAGCAGCGTCTGGTGACATCAACGAAATCTGGGAGCACTGGAGACGGCGACTCCCCAAAAGACTCCAGACTATCGCAGGCAACATCCAGCTCTTGAAGCGATCAGCGGAAGATGCGCGGCGAGATGCAAAGCAGTGGGCGGCTGCGGGGGACGACGCCATTTTGGATGATATCGACGCTATGGGGTATGATCTGCAAGATCCTTCAGGTCCAGTAAAAGCATATCGCCCAGACCAGGTTGGCCAGCTTGGCCGATTGATTGAGACAGTACGAGGTGCTACAGCCCCCAACCAGGTGACCGCTGGTTCGGAGCATCTTTTGCAGATGCTAGATCAGCTCCGCGAAGCCCAAGCAGATATCACCGAGTTTGCGGATGACGTCGAGACTGTCGCTTCCGCAGAGAACCCAGAGCAGTACCAGCCAACCATGGTAGCCAGGAGCGAGCTCCCAACGCAACGTCAGCTTAGAGGAATTAAGAGCAAGCAGGATCAAGCTGACAAGGAAATTGTGAAAAGGATCCAAGGCTCTGATGGAGTTCAGATCACGCAGAACACAGCTGCCGGCGCAGAAGCATCACTGAACCATACCTTCGCGGGCGCGGGAGAAGATATTATAGAAATAGAAATGTCAGAAACAGACACCCGGAACACCCAAAGACCCAGTGCCAGGGTCGCCTTTGGACCGTCGACAACATTCCTCCATGCCGGTCGGGAGATTGCAAGGAGGTTCACCTTGAACGAGCGGCAGGAAATCGCCTTCCTTTTAGTGTGTCGCCATCTCGATACCATCCCGGATGAAGATAACAGCGATAATTTTGAGAGCAGTAATGTCGAGAACAATGATAACGCACAACTATGCGAGTTCCTGGGTGGGGAGGGCGGCACCGGGAAGTCCAGGGTCATCGAGGCGTTGGCGGAATTGTTCGCTAGCAAAGACATATCGCACAGGCTGCTTATGACGGCGACATCGGGGGCCGCAGCAGCGCGGATCAACGGCGTGACTATTCACTCCGCCTGTGGGATGCAACCCAACGCATCCGGCAGCAATGCCGACGATGGCAGCACGGTCACCTACGTGGACGGTGATGGTCGAAGAAGATGGAGAGGAAAGTGGCTGCTCATCATTGACGAGGTGAGCATGCTGGGCCTCCAGACGCTCTCCGACATCAACAAGCGACTTTGCGCCTCCCGGGGATCGAATCAAGATTTTGGCGGCATCCCAGTGGTGCTACTATCAGGAGATTTCCACCAGTTCCGCCCAGTGCAAAACAAGTCGCTATTGACGCCATGGTCCGCCCTCAGGATTGCGGACGAAATGAGGGCGCACGCACTCTGGGCTCGATTTACCACCGTCGTTATGCTCATCGAACAGGTCCGCGCAGCAGGGGACCCGGAGCTGCAGCGGCTGCTGACTCGGATCCGGCAGGGGCAGCAAGACGAGTCCGACATGGAGCTTCTTAATAGCCGGTGCTTTCAGGATGGCCGAGCCATACCATGGGGCAAGGGCATCACAGCAGTCACACCCCTCAACAGCACCAGATGGAGCCTGAACATGGATGCGGTCTTGGCCTTCCAGAGGCACCACCAGAAGCCAGTCCGGATATTTCTACCCCAGCACCGTTGGGGTAAACCCAATACATTGCCGGTAACGGAGGAAGAAGCTACGCTCATGGCCAGCGTCGGGGATGACAGCAAGATCTGTGTGCCGGCCACATTCATGTTCGTGCCTGGTATGCCGGTGGTGGTGACCATGAATATAAACCCAGGCCTCAAGCTCGTGAATGGCGCCAAGTACACAGCGCTAGAAGTTATACCAGACACCAAAAGATTCCCAGGCTATCAACTCGCCCCGAACATTATCCTCCACTTTGGACCACCTGCCGGCATCATCCTGTCGTCCGAGTCAACCAAGAAGTTCGAATTTGATGAAATGCCACCAGGCACAATCCTGCTTACTCCAACGAGTGCGCAAATACCAATCGAAAAGAAGAAGAGGGTCAAGAAGAGGCCTTGGCAGAGGCATAATGTGAGCCGCCGAGGACTTCCCTGCACTGCGGCATTCGCATGCACCGATTACAAAATCCAAGGCGAAACCCTCCTCGAGATTGCGCTGGAGCTGCGAGGAACCGGGACAAAGCTGAATACCAAGACTGGACAACTCGAGCCACGAAAGTGCGATCCATACAGCCTGTATGTGCAGCTATCGCGGTGCAAATCGCTGGATGGTATTATATTGCTGTCAAAGGCGCGTGTGGAGGATATAGTTGGGAATAAAATACCACAGGAAATGTTTGATGGCGAGGCTAGGCTGGAACAGTTGTGCGAGAGGACAGTAAATGAGGCCCGATTATCGTTATTGTCATATCCATCTGCACAATACTAGCGGTAATGTAATTTAGATAATAGGTTTCTTATATATAAATAGAAGTAGGTAGAAGGATAGAAAACCAATACATATATAATCAGAGCATAAGAGGGAATCTCATAAAATGTATAACGTGGATGTCACTCATGCGTCGCATCCAACCATGCGTCGCACTTGAAATTTCTTAGTATTTACACCTAAAGCTAAAATAATTCTTTAAAATTTAAAAAAATTATAAACTAGCTAAAATTTTAAAATGAGCTTTATTATATAACGTGCATGACAAGCATGTGCACCAAACAAGCATGTGCACCAAAAATCCGTCAATCTCTCCTCTTTCCCTCTGATCAATTGTTTCTCAACCACAAAACATGTCACAGTCAAATAAAGAGGCAAATATCCTTCTTGCCCTTCAAGCTCTTCAAAATAACTCATCATTAAGTCTCAGACGCGCCGCAAGGATCTATGAAATTGATTATTATGCCCTACGTCGCCGACAGAATGGCATTCTTTCTCGACGCGATTGGATCCCTAAATCACGCAAACTATCAAATCTAGAGGAACAGATCATTATTCAGTTCATTCTCGACCTAGATTCGCGAGGATTTCCTCCGCGACTGCGTGGTGTGGAAGAAATGGCCAACCGACTGCTCGCTGACCGCGACGCGTCACCCGTCGGCAAGCGCTGGGCTTCCAACTTCGTCAAGCGACACCCAGAGCTTAAGACGCGTTTTTTTCGCAAATATGACTATCAGAGGGCTAAATGCGAAGATCCGACTATTATTCGCGACTGGTTTACGCTTGTGGCGAACACAATCGCGAAATATGGTATCACCCTTGCTGATATTTACAACTTTGATGAGACTGGCTTTATGATGGGTATGATCGCAAGCGGAATGGTCGTCACAGGCGCAGAAAGGCGTGGAAGACCGAAATCAGTCCAGCCTGGAAACCGGGAATGGGTTACGGTCATCCAGGCTATCAATGCGGAAGGCTGGGCGATCCAGCCGTTCATCGTGGTTGCGGGCCAATATCACCTCGCCAGCTGGTATCGAGAAAGCAACCTCCCGGGCGATTGGGCCATCGCCACGACCAAAAATGGCTGGACTGACAACGAGACGGGTCTTGAGTGGATCAAGCACTTTGATCAGCACACAAAGACCCGATCAAATGGTCGCTATTGCCTTCTGATCCTCGATGGGCACGAAAGCCACCACTCGACCGGCTTTGAGACATATTGCGAGGAGAACAACATCATCACGCTTTGTATGCCACCTCATTCGTCTCATCTACTCCAGCCTCTTGACGTCGGGTGCTTTGGGCCACTCAAAAAGGCGTACGGTCGGGAAATAGAGCATTTGATTAGATGCTCTATAACCCACATTTCAAAGACCGAGTTCTTTCCGGCCTTTTACGCTGCCCACCAAGCCGCTATGACAAAAGGCAATATTCAGGGAGGTTTTAGAGGAGCCGGGCTTGTTCCTTTAGACCCGGAAAGTGTCATATCCAAGCTTGATGTGCAGTTACGGACTCCAACACCTGTTGAGGAGGAGGCGAGCCTCCCCGACCCTTGGGTTCCAAAGACCCCAAAGACCGTCCTTGAGGCTAGCTCTCAGTCTGAATACCTCAAAAGACGAATTAGAAGGCACCAGAGCAGCTCCCCGGCATCTATTCTTGAGGCACTTGAGTCATTTTCTAAGGGAACAAAGGCAATAATGCATCAGATAGCATTACTGAAGTCTGAGAACCAGATCCTTCGACAGTCAAATGAGGTACTTAGCAAGCGGCGTAGAGCAAAAAGAACCCGCCTGCAGAATAGAGGGAAGATGACTGTAGATGAGGGAAGGGAAGCAATTGATCAGAAGGATGTTGGTATGCAGGTAGTGGCCGAATCATCGAGAAGTGGTGGTCAAAGAGGATCGGCGCGACGGAAGGAAAGCCGTTGTGGAACATGCGGCGAGACCGGGCATAACGCAAGAACATGTCAGATCGTTGTTGCGATGTCTGGAGAGGAGTATAGCGATTAGTCTCAATTGATTAGATGCTTTGTTGTGTTTTTTTGCTATGTTTTATCTTAAAGGTTAAGTGAAAGTGGTGCACATGCTTGTTTGGTGCACATGCTTGTCATGCACGTTAATGAATTTTAACTATAAATTTTTTTTAATTTTTAAAAAAAATCTTCATAAGGCTATTAAAAAAATTCTTATTCACACTGTTTTTTTTAAGTTTTCTTAAGATTAATAGCTATATAAATTTTTAAAAAGTCTAAGAAAAATATATTTATGTGACTCTTTTATTTGGAGTTATAAAGATAATTTCTCCATATTTTTATAAATTATATAGCGCATTTTAGAAAATCTAAAGTTTAGCCTTTTAGCTGTACAGTATAAGTGCGACGCATGGTTGGATGCGACGCATGGGTGACATCTACGTTATAGGGACAAGAATGGATGGATGGATTTTATTTCGCCCGGGGGTCCAAGTGTTCAGCATCCTATCCTCAGCAGCTGAAGCACGGTCTGCCAAAATGAGACTGTATGATGTTAGTAGGATTCAATCTGAATAGTTAGTGTGCCTGAGGCTTCTGGTCCATGTCAAGCCTCCCCGTTGCAATGGCAAATTTGATCGTCGCCCGTACTGCCCGCATATCTGGCGCCCATTTGTCACCGTCAGACGCCGCCTTTCCTCCCAGGAAGTATGATAGGTTTCCCATCTTTGTCTGTGAGCATCGCAACATGCCTTCCCGTTGCGCGGTCCATTTTGCGCAGCGGAATAGGAAGTGTTCCCTGTCAGCAAATGAGGAGTCCCACTAATAACGTGACCAAAAAACCCAATGACGCTAAACTTCTCTTGGAAATTGGCCTGAGCATGCTGAGGTAACGAGTTCCCACGTACATTTCACGTGCATTTCACGTGCATTTCACGTGTCTCTTAACAAGAAACCCTCCAAAAAAGAGAAGATTGGCACCTCTGGGGCCATTCGGATGGGGTTAATCCGGACCAACAGGAGGTGCAGTTGCGCTTCCGAATCGGGTAATCAGGATTTTGGGGGGTGAAAAATCCCAGAGCTTAAGAAGACCTTTCGTACCGACAGGGGAAGGCGCACGTCCGCCGGGGGAAGTTGGAGGTTGGAAGCTGGGCGTGGTGGGCAAGTTGGCGGCTCCCTTGCGCTGAGTAGCCTTTCGGTACGAAGCTTGGAACAAGAGCCTGTTTTTACTAGTGGGTTGCTGCACGTGTTGAGAAGAGGGCGCGGTTTTAAGTGGTCGGCTCTGGGTGGGTGGATGAAGAGACTTGGCCAATAGGGCGTGTGTGTGTGTTACCTTTGTTTTGCGTAGCCAATAAGACGTATGCAGCAGGCTTTGATTTGAAGAGCTTAATGCGGAACTAAGAGACCTAGCCAATAGGGTGAAGGTCAATAATTGAGACAGGGATCAAGAGACTGCGGTATAGATGGCACGGGGTTCGAAGTCCTGCTAGAAGATATCATGATGCAGGTATGGATGCGCCCGTACGGAGCACGACGCGAATTTTTTGCAATAGTTTTCTGGCAAGTGCAGACGCGCCAGGTTGAGTAAACAGACCTTCCCCGGCTTGCTAAGGGCGCAGTGGACCAATGGGGGTATTGAAACAGTAACCTATTTAGGCCAACCCAGACCGATCCAGACCACCCCAGACCGATCGGTCTGTCCGGTCTGTCGGTCTGATGAGAATGGCCGGTCTGTCGGTCTGCAGTCTGGCAAACGGACTCAGCCGGTCTGTCAGACGGTCTGTCTGTTAGCCACAATGTTCTTGGCCTCTATGATCGCCTTGATCCTCCTCAGTTCTTCCTCGTTCCTACCGATGACCCTCAGGCGGTTGGTATTTCGTCCGTCTCTGGTCACTGCGACGCATCGCCAACTAGGTTGGTCGCTAGACGTTTGCATTTCCTGTTCAATGGCCCTGCGAAGCACTGCTGGTGTAGTATCTCCGATATGATCCTCCGGCACCCTGGATGTGTCTTCTGTGCAGAACACCGGTTCCGGAGTTGCCGATCGAACCGTGGATGGAATTGGAATGGTAATACTAACAGGGGTTATTCCGACAGCATCCGCATATGTCTGGCCAGGCGATCGTGCTGCATAAGCATTGTTATGATATCCAACTGTAGCCGGGTTTGTTCCAGCTTGCAGCAAACCTGGGTAAGCTGCTTACGGACTTGGGATAACTCTTGTGCCATCTGGGCCGTGGTCCTAGTGACTTCTTCAGCCATACGGTCGTCGTGAAGCTTTGTAAACTCGAGCTGAAACTCAGTGATGTTATTGGATTGGATTGGAGCTGGATCCGAGCCTCGATCCAATCCAGTCCAGACGTGGGGACAGGCAGCCTCCAATATATCCAGAACGGATTCCAGTTCATATTGTTACCCTTTTGAGACAATAAATGAGACGCTGAATAAGCAGATTTCGGGTAGAACGGGAATTGTGTCCTGGTGTATAGTTATGACAGCACTTAAATACGTGCTCATTATGCTCTCCAGCAACTTGCTTCTCCAATATGCACAACTCCCTTGGCGCTGTTGCAGTTGACACAGATAGCAGTGAGAACCACTTAGACGGGTCCTGCTCGAATTGTATGTCTACCATACCCTACTGCCAGACAGAGTAGAGAACATATTGCTTTCCATTCCGCTTGAATTCGTCAGGTTCGATCAGGGTTCCGGCGGGGTGGTTTGGGCGGGGGTTAAGATATGTTGGAGCAAGAATAACTCTTTCAGGATCAGGACGGCGACCGCTGCCAGGGCCGAAATAGCTGGAGATAGTAGCCATGGTGTAGTTGGTGAGTGGGCTGTTCAGACACGTCTGCCACAGCAGAAGGACTGCCGAAGTTACGAGCGACGCATTTGCTTCCATGGTTTTGCTAGTGGACCAATCTACGCGAGTTGGATGTTGACCATGGCGGGCAGTTGTATCGTAGTCTGTGACGGGAGCCCCGTCACTGCCACCAAATTAGGCTTAGCTCTTGCCTTATCAGGTTAGACCATTGGAGCTCCAGGAGCTCCATGCCAATGAATCCAATCCAGTCCAAATCTTCGAGAGCCCCAAATCAGTCCAATCCAAATTGCCTCCAATCCAATTACATCACTGCTGAAACTCGGCCTTTATGATTTCCATTTTGTTATTGAAGTCTTGTTGTAGGAGTTGTTTCAGGCCCTGGATTGCCTCGATCATAATGCCAGCCTGTTGAAATGTGCAGGTTGTATTAATTGAAGAAGAAGAAAACTAGCGCTAACCAGCGGAAGCTACTGACGAGAAGATCATCCACATCCCAGCCACCAATGGATCGGAATAGCCATTGATCCGTGACAACGGATCTCAACACAGCCGCCTTGGGCGTGGTCTTTTTCTTAGGTCGGTTACGGCTCGACGCTCCCTCACTGCTCTCCTGCTCCTCCTCCCATTCCCTATCACGTTCTTGTTGTTCCGATTCCATTGCCCTCGTCGTTCTGGCTCTTTTACGCAGGGGACGATGATGTCCCCCGCCCGGAACGTCCGGTTCGCGTTCCATGACGATGATGACGTCTGAAGCGGGGTTCTCAGCACCAGGCATCCACCACAGACCCAACATCTCCGCCAAGTGGCTACCAGGTATTCCATAAGGTATAAAGGAGATCAATAATGAGATTTCGAGAAAAATCAATCCAGTTTCCTATATATATATTATATATTAAAAATCCGATCTAATATAACTAATATAATAGATTTCACCTAACTCAAGCAGAAGCAGGAATCTCACAAAATGCAAACGACAAGAGCAACGACATTATTATAAATTAAAAGCTCACGTGAATCCCACGTGATTCTTAACAGAAAAATCCCAGTCAATGAAGACTTCTTTACACTTGATGTCGGGGGGGCGAGGGTGAATTCGAAGTTCACGTGAATCCCACGTGATTCTTAACAGAAAAAAACCCAGCCAATGAAGACTTCTTTACACTTGATGTCGGGGGGGCGAGGGTGAATTCGAAGTTCACCCACATGTGGCAAATGAGAGTGGGAGGATTCGGACCATTAGAGGGCCCCGGATGGGGTTAATCCGGACCAACAGGAGGTGCAGTTGCGCATCCGAATCGGGTAATCAGGATTTTGGGGGGTGAAAATCCCAGAGCTTAAGAAGACCTTTCGTACCGAAAGGCAAAGGCATACAACAATACAATCCACCTGCTATTGCAGCTTTCTGGCCCTTCGTGCCCCCTAGGGCCTCTGGCCCTTGGCTATCGCCTCTTTTCGTATCAGGCTGACATCGTCAAAAAATTATCTCTTGCAAAAACAACAGCAGGAAATCTGTTGAAAACGCCTCAATAGGGGCAGTTTCTCGTATGACGTTTATAAGATTAGCTGGGGGGGGGGCATACATGGGAAACTTGTTCTGTTATTCTGTTGCTTGTTCTGTATAACGTGTTAATATTTTTTTATTCTGTTATTCTGTTATCATGTTATGGCTCTCACACTAATCTGTTATAACGGAATAACAGAATAAACAGGATAAGTGAAATAAGCTTTTTTTATTGCTTTTGTCACATCCAACGGGCCAAAAGGTCATACATTTGATCAAACCGGAAGGAAGGTCCCTCAGCTGCTGAGAAAGGCTGTTCACTGGCAGGTCGGAAGTCCGAACTTCCGGTCAGAAGTTCGTGTCATCTATCTTTCCCAAAAAGCAAGTTCTCCAACACAACGGCCCCGGAGGCCCTTCATCCTAGGTATAAGAAACCGACCTATTTACCACTCATTAGATAGAGAACCAAGAGCTTCTATGGAAATCAATTCATCGCTGAATGTGACAGCTTTTTATCGCCCCAGACATCACAAATACCGGAAACTTTTCGTATTATAGTTTTCATCTCATACCCATCATTATGGCTTCAGAAAGCGATATTTTATCGTCGATCGGCGACTCTAATTCTCAAACATCTGATCAATTGCCTTCAAACTTCTTTTCTATTATGGATCGGCAGTATCCAGATAAGAATAAACCGGTTGCCGCCGGCCGCAAACGAAAGACCAAAGGCACTGTGCTTTATTGTGACGGGACAAGAGCACGAACGAGGTCGAGTGCGACTTGGGCAAAATGATTGTTTACAAGGAGAGAAAGAGATTCCTAAGGAAAGCTCTGACTTAAGCTATTTATACAATGTTCATAAAGTGAGACTATTCATAAAGTATGAAAGTCACATGATCGTTCCCTCACATTTATGTGTGCCGATTATGCCCTAAATGGAGTCATGGGCATCGAGCAACAGCTGTACAGCATATCAAAAACCGCCATGCTGCACAGCTTCGACCGCCGCCGCCGCCTTCGCCGATATCATCGAATCAACGCTTATTACCCGCCATGTTTGCATCTATTCCTACACCTGATAGTCTTCGGCAGGTTTTCAATCGGCAGGCATACAATGAGGCTGTTATAGGACTGCTCACACGGCGGAGAGCTCCTTTTTCAGCTGTTGAATGGAACGAGTTGAAGGATCTCGCTTTGGCATGCAATCCGACCATCGGTGATCAATTAATCACGTCTAGACGTCAGGCCATGCGTCACATTGCGGAAAATCACGTATTCTATAGAGATCAGATCAAAGGCAAACTAGCAATCGCGTCTTCGCCTATTCACATCTCCACCGATCTCTGGACATCGCCACATCGCCATGCTCTACTGGCTGTTTGTGCTCAATGGGTTGATCAGGATTATCAGCTGCAGAAGGCACTTCTAGGACTACCGGAATGTCGCGACAACCACTCTGGAGAGCGGCAAGCTGATCTCATTATGAGTATTCTCGAGACCTTCGGAATCATGTCAAAACTCGGCTATCACACCGGGGATAACGCTACGTCAAACGACACATGTCTGGAGTCCATAGCACGTCGATTGAAAGAGAATCTTGATGTAAGTTGGCGGCCGTTTTTGATGGACTAATCTAATGATGAGCGGTAGATCGACTATGACCCCAAAAAACGCCGCATCCGCTGCATCGGCCACATCATCAATCTCTCCCTTCAAGCCTTCCTTCTCGGGTCATCGAATGAAGCCCTCGTCGCCGCACTTGAAGCCGCATCTGAAGTCACTAGTGAAGACCTGTTAATTCGCTTCTCTCAGGCCCTCACCACCAGAAGACGTCGAGGACGTAGACGTCTCTCGAGATCGGAAGTTGATGAGGACTATCTAGGCATTGAGGGCATACCTGCGCTACGTAAACTGCACGGTCTGGCTGTTTGGGCACGCTGCTCATCGCTTAATAGCCAGCTGTGGGACGATGAAATCGGTTTGCGACTAGGGATCGATAATGAGACGCGGTGGTCTTCATGGTATCATGTCCTCGATAAGCTTTTCAAAAAGAAGTCGCAGATCGTTCAATTCATGCATGAACACGAGCAGATCCTCGGAGACAATCGATTGACAGCGGCTGATTGGGATTTGCTTCAGAAAGCGTACCTATTTCTCCAACCCTTTGATGGGGCCACATTGTGCGCTGAGGGCAATAAAGCATCTCTTTCACAGTCATTATTTCTAATGGACTGCCTTCTTTCTCATTATGAAAACGAGAAGGTGAGCCATTTCATTGCGACGTAGCGAGGACATCTCATCACCGGTCTCAACAGCTAAGATTGATGCTAATACGATTATAGCGGCACTACAGCGCACCCGAGACACGCGATGAGCGCATGCTACATGCCATCGATATGGGCTGGTTCATTATGAATAAATACTACACTATGACCGAGGATGTTCCCGTTTATTCCGCCGCTCTCCTTCTCGACCCTTCGAAACGAGACGCCTACATCAAGCAGAACTGGCCGGATGAGTGGTACGACAACGCAATTGGCGGAGCACAAGCGATTTGGGAGGAAGAATACAATATGGAGCTCCCCACGAAGCCTCCGGCCACTCCGAGCGCTGTCCCGGACTTTGTGGAACATGAGACTAATAAACTAGCTCAGTTGGCAAGGAATATGAAGGTAAAGACCGCCGGATTGCGTTATGAGGATGATTTCATGACCTTTATTACCGCTCAACCGATAGAGATCGATTCTACGCCGCTTCAATGGTGGTGTGCGTCTGAGCAGCGGAGAAGATATCCACGACTTAGCCGCATGGCCATCGCGATACTTTCCATCTCACCAGAGTCGTCCGAGCCAGAGAGAGCCTTCTCTGGGGCGCGCAGGACATGCTCATGGGATAGACTGCGGATTAAATGTGCAAACATTGAGAGGGTAGAGTGTATAGGGAGCTGGTTGCGCGAAGGTCATATCTTACCTACATCCCGCGGTGGATTTGGGTTACCGATGATGTTTTCCGCATTAAAAGATGATCTTACTGATTCAGATGAAGATTTAGAAGACAGGGAGGATATTGATTGATATAGAATAGAGTCGTTAAATTAATTGTTTGATTTGTCGCCTCATTGGCCCACTATCGTGTTCCTTATCCTGTTATCCTGTTATCTTATCCTGTTATCCTGTAATCTGTATTTTTTCTTATCTTGTTCTGTTTAACATGTTAAGGGATTTCTTAACATGTTATACAGGTTGCCCATGTATGCGGCCTGTGGCCAATGCAAATCGGATTGTCGCTTGAACGGCCTTCATGTTTGGCGTCCATTTTTGGTCATCAGATGGTGACTTTCCTCCAAGATAAAAAGAGACATTGCTCCTCTGGGTGCTAGTGCATTGAAGCATCTCTGTACGGTATGCCGTCCACTTTCGGCATCGGAAGAGGAAGTGTTCAACCGTCTCGCTCGCTTGTCCACAATCACACTGGTCCGATGATACCGCTTTGATGTGAAAGAGGTACGAGTTTAGTCTTGCCATGCCCGTTCTGAGTTGCGCCAGCACATTCGCTTCCTTCCATGATAGCTGGTCATAGAGTTGTTTCGTGTGTTTGCCTGGCAGTGCTGCGTCTATTCGCTTGGAGTGTCTTCCTACTTTTTCCGGCAGTGTCCTATTAGCGTCGACTTTCGATTGCGCAATTCTGAGCGTCGTCGACCGCATGCTAGAGCACTGTTTTTCGGGCATGGTTCCTTGCTGTGTTGCCTTCCGAGCCTCCTCCTTGGCATGCTTGAGAAGCTTGTTCTCGGCACTTGAGGGTAGCCACAGGACTTTCACAATGTTTCCATTATCCCGTAGTTCCTCAATCAAATCGTAAATACAGCGTATGTATTCTTGTCCAGATTGCTGACGGGGTTGCTTGAGTGAGAGCGCAGCAGCTTTGTTGCTCGTGATCAGTGCGACGCTGCGATATTTGAAGTATGGTAGGGCTCGCCTCAAAGATATTCCATCGCCGCAAGTTCTCCGCTGTACGGGTTCTGTTCTGTTCTCAGACCAAGGGTGAGCGAGAAGGTCTGGAGTTTCGGACCGCCTCGCATGGACAACGGAATCTGGATTGCTCCGCCAACACCTACTATGCCGTTCCGCGCGGAGCTGCTCACCGCGACGCGTATGGCCCAACCTGCTTCTGCCTCTCTCGCTGCTGTCCCATCGGTAGTAGCTTCCACTCGTTCTTCTCATGGCGCTAGCGTAAGTGGTTGAATAGTTTCCAGCTGTTCCATTGGGATATCAACTAGAGTCGTTGCTACCTGGTAGAGCGGTGACCGGTGAGATCTTCTGAACATTCGTATGCGAGATGTCATTCTGCGAAGAGGGTTGGTATCGGGCAAGGTGTGTATATTCGTTCACAACTTGATTGCCCTCTTCCAAAACCTTTGTTGTGCTGGAGCAATGTGGGCTTCTGCTTCTGCCACGCTCGTCGCCACGGTACTAAACGTCCCAACAATTGCCTGTGCTCCCGCTTTCTGAACCCTGTTGATCGGTCCTATAAGTCTGTCTTTGACACGATGCATCCACACATTGGAGGCATAGTCCACAACTGGGGCTACTGTAGCTGTGAATAATTGTCTTGCCGTTGCTGGCGACAAGCCCCTTAGCCTCTTCAGTGCCATTGCTGCCTTCAAACCCTTAGAAGCTGCCCTTGCAATATGTTCCTTGTACTTGAGCTCGGCGTCCATGACGACTCCCAGGATCTTGACATGGTCTTTTGGTTGAACCACCTGTCCCTTGATTGTGAAAGGTTTTGAGTCGGTTTTGTAGTTTCTCCGAGTGAAGTGTATGATAGCCGTCTTGTCCGCCTCAAACGTCGCGCCGCTTCTCCTCTCCCAATCCAACGCGTCTTCGATGATTGACTCGACGCCCTCGCGGTTGCTTTGTGCCGTTGGCCCTGTGACCCAGGCTGTGAAATCGTCCACGAATGCGATCGCTCCTCTGTTGCTGTCGATATGACGCTGTACCAAATCTGCGTTGAAGAAAAGGAACAAGATTGGAGAGAGCGGAGAGCCTTGGGGTAGGGCCTGCCTGTGGTAGGTCTCGGGTTTCTAATGACTCTCCATTGATTTGGATCATTGCCGTACGATTGGAGCAAAACGCCTCAACCCATTAGAGTAGTTTCTCCGGGATGCCACGTGCTTTCAGTCTCTGAAGCAGCCTCTCCTTACATACTCCATTGTAGGCTCCCTTGACATCAAAACTGACCAGGCTTACGATCCGTCGACCTCGCCAGGCAGCATAGATTTGCTCCTGCAGGAGTAGAAGAGCTTGCTCTGCTGATCGTTGTTTACGGGCTCCAAAGTGATTCGTCGGGAGCAAGCCGTATGTTTCCACCGCATGTGAGATACGTTCTGCGACTACCGATTCCAATACTTTGCCGAGAGTAGCTAGAAGTGAAATTGGTCGCCACACCTTTGCAATCGTGTGGTCCTCTTTGCCGGGCTTTTTTTAGCGGTATGATCTTTGCATGCCTCCATTGATTGGGTAATATTCCCTCATCTAAGGACGCTCGGAAGATGGCCATCACCTGATGTTTGACCACCGGCCACACCTGTTTCCACACAATCACCGGTAATCCATCTTCTCCAGGCGCCTTCCATGATTTTGCCGCGAAGAGTTGTCGTTCTACCTCCTCCATCGTGATGTCAGGCATAGACACAGGGGCTCTCTGAGGCCTGGGGCATTCGTCTTTGATGTCGGTCGGCAAGGGAGGGAAGAACTTGGACAGCAACTCTTCAGCTTGTTCTCTATGGTTGGTTGTGGTTGTTCCGTCCGCCCTGATTAGCTGCGGAACCTTGCCGAATGCCGTGTCATCGCCGGACTTCAGGTACTTAGCTGCCTCCCAGATGTTATCATTATCCGCCAGAAACTCGTTCCAATGCTTCTTCTTTTGTTGCCTGATGGCGTCATGATACTGCTTCGAGGCCCCTTTCGCTGTCTCTTCCAGTTCCATCCTCGCCCATCCTGCCCGTCTCGCGGACCGAGCGCGGTTCCTCCAGTACGGGTATATCCGACGAAGCTGCGTCAGATCTGCCGTCCACCACCGCTTAGCGTACGGCGAAGGCTTGGCTCTTGGCGTCAGGGAATGCACTGCCTCCATAACCACCGACATCAATTTGTCAGTCTTCTCCTGTACCGTGCCTTCCGACGGCATCGTCCCTAGCGCGCTTGCAATTCTTGCGTTGATTTCTTTGCAAGGCGCATTCTTTAGGAGAAGTCGATTCTGCTGTTTTGGCTGGGGAACCGAAATATCGAAGACCGTGTTAATCGCCTGATGATCCGAGCCGTGCTCCGTCCCGTGTATTGCGCATTTGACGGTCGAGGCCGTCAACTCCTCCGAAGCCAGGACCAAGTCGACTGTTGTTGCAAAGTCTCCACTACTCCACGTCTTCGTTCCTCTGGGGAGCAAGCTGGTGAGACCAAACTCGTTCATGAGGTCAATGATCCGATCCGCTTCGCCTTGTCTTACTAAAGAAATATCATCTCCTCCCCACAACTGGTCGTGCTGGTTGAAGTCTCCGACAACCATCACATCCACAAGCCTGCCAGCCTCTCCTCTTGTGTCCAAGATGACCTGGCGTAAGGTGTCGCAAGTGTCTCGTAAAGCCTGAGGATCCCCTCCCGGCACGTACGTTGATATCACCAGAACCGTCCGCTCCGGGAGACGTATGATGGCTGCCGTCATATCCGGCGTCTCTATCGGTATCTGCTCTGCTTCCATATCCTTGTTCACCCACAGCATGCTCCGTATCGGCCATCTGCCCTCCCTCCAAACTGTAGGGACCATTTTGATCCACCTGGGGTGTCCCATAGGGGCTGTCAGCAATTTGCCGTCGATTTTCCGTGCCTGTGGTTCCTGAATCGCTACAACTGCAAAGTCTTGGAGCTGCTTGTCGTTCATTAGGCTCTCGTGTACCATATCCTGTTTTCTCACATTCAGTTGGATTGCCTGAAACATTCTACACATGTCGAGTAGGGTAGAGTTTCGGGCAGCTTCGACTGAACGACTCATGGGGGCCACCACAGGGTACACACTTAGGTACCTGCGCCTGGCACTCACTATGATGATGGCCTTCGGCAGCACACCTTGCACAAACCCGATTCTTGCTGCACGAGAATGCCTTATGGCCGAGCTCCTGGCAGTTATAGCATTGCATTGGTCCGGTTCTGCGCTCGAAGGCGCTGGTGTATGCCGATTCGCCGGCTGCATGGAAGTAGCGTTCCTGTAGAAGTCTCATAGCATCCCTATTTTTAGTGAGATATACTACCATGGATCCATACGCCTTTGCGCAGTCCTTTCGGCTCAACCAGGCTATCTTTGCAATTTGGATTTCGTTCTCCTGGCCCAAGGCTTCCATTGCTCCAGGGAGGATCTTGCCTTCCTGGTCGAGAACGGCAGCACGGTTGATGTTGTCAACTTTGACTGGGTACAGTTGGTCTCGGAGGACTCTCGCACCTGGAGCCTTCTTGGCCTCGATGATCGCCTTGATCCTCTTCAGTTCTTCCTCGTTCCTACCGATGACCCTCAGGCGGTTGGTATTTCGTCCATCTCTGGTCACTGCAACGCATCGCCAACTAGGTTGGTCGCTAGACGTTCGCATTTCCTGTTCAATGGTCCTGCGAAGCACTGCTGGTGTGGTATCTCCGATATGATCCTCGGGCACCCTGGATGTGTCTACAGTGCAGAACACCGGTTCCGGGGTTGCCGATCGAACCGTGGATGGAGTTTGAGTGGTAATACTGACAGGTGTCATTCTGGCAGCATCCGCATATGTCTGGTTAGGCGATCGTGCTGCATGAGCATTGTTCATGATATCCAACTGTAGCCGGGTTTGTTCCAGCTCGCTGCAAACCTGGGTAAGCTGCTCACGGACTTGGGATAATTCTTGTGCCATCTGGGCCGTGGTCCTAGTGACTTCCTCAGCCATACGGTCGCGAAGCTTTGTAAACTCGAGCTGAAACTCGGCCTTCATGATTTCCATTCTCTTATTGAAGTCTTGTTCTAGTAGTTGTTCCAGACCCTGGATTGCCTCCGTCATGCTGCGAGCTGCCTTAGGCGTGGTCCTTTTCTTAGTTCTGGTGTGACTCAGAGCTCCCTCACTGCTCTCCTCTTCCTGCCATTCTATATCACCATTTTGCTGCTCGGATTCCAATGCCCTCGTCGTTCTGGTCCTTTTACGCAGGGGACGATGATATCCCCCGCCCGAAACATCCGGTTCGCCTTGTTGAGATCCGTTGTTTGACGGATCAATGGCTATTCCGATCCATTGGTGGCTGGGATGTGGATGTCTTCTTGTCAATAGCTTCCGCTGGTTAGCGCTAGTTTCTTCTTCTTCAATCAATACAATATGCTCATTTTAACACTATAGGCCAGACTGAGGACGCGGAGGGCGAGTTGATTCGTGTCTGGTGCGGCCAGCCACCTTGGCGGTGATGCTGAGCAAGTCTCCCGCTGCGGGGATCTTGACCTTTTCCCAACGCTTCGTGTTTTGCAGGAAGCAGGCGACCGAGAAGGGAACCGGAGCAGCTTTTGACGTGTCGTAGACGGACGTTTCGAGAGTGAAGCGGCGGGGTTCCGAGGGGTCAGGGGGATCGTCGGAGCGAGCCGACACGGAGCCGGTGATGGTCACCATCGGGCACCATTGTTCTGGCAAGTGGCGCCGATACTCGTCAAAGTCGGACGGGTCCCCCGGGTGTCTCGAGAGACTAGAGGAACTGAGGACCTGGACGCTACTGTCCAGGGTGCCATCGGCAGACGGGGTGGCGGAGAAGCAGCCGTCAGCATAGAAAAAGGTATTAGGGACGTAGAGGTTTCGTTTTTCTCGTGTCAGGTAGGCATGGATGCGGGTGCGGATAGGTTCGACATCGATACTGCAACTATAGAAGCCGTCCTCCTCGAAGATGTTGATCTCCGCCTGGATCTCGACGTAGTTGGCGGCGTTTTCCCGGCTCGGGTCGTCCTTGATGTTATCCACAAAGTCTCGCAAGTGGATAGTATTCGAGAATGTCGATTGCCGAGACATGTCGAATAGCGGTTGAAGGTTGACGGAATGTGTGGAAAAGGATCCGGAACTCGGAGGAGTGCGGACGGCTTGTATGGAGAGCAATCCCAAATCTTTGGTGTTGTGGCCTCGGCGGCTCGGCCGAGGAAATCTATATCTTCTCATGGATACTGGATGCCGAAAGGGCGTTTTGAGGCAGTAGTGGTCGAACACGGCAGATGTACGGCCAGATAGGTGGAAGGACAACTGCCGAGCCGGCCGTGATTGTTGACAGGTGTGGCCGAGACGGGGAGAAGGTAGGGAAAGGTCTGGGACGGGTGACACTGCGGGTGGAGCAAGTCGCGGGGGAGGCCGTGCGGGAGCTCGGCAGGACCTGGTGTTCGATGCGGGGCTGAAGCTAGCATTGACGATGGGGGCAGAGGGTGGTGATCGGTGGTCAAGATGGTGCCTGACATGAGGTGATGCTAGAAAGATTAAGGTTCGGCACGGGTGCACTGCGCTGCGGGGTGAAGGGGACCGAGGGCAAGTATGCGGAGGGGCCTCATTTGTATGACGAGAAGCAGTAGGCCGGCCATGTTCCGGTTGTATGGCAGGACACAGAGACATGCCGCGGTCGCCAGAGGGAATATATTCAAGTCGATATGGCCGGGCAGGTTGGAGTTCGCCAGGTTCCATCTTGGCATTTCAGCCGCTCATGATTCTCGGTCTGGGCCAGCGTAAAGGACCAGGGTCAGCTGTCGAGAGGGTGGGTGGTGCGGAGAGGTCACGGCCAAGGTAGCAGGACTATTTCTCCGGGACTCTGCGTCGTGTTTTGTCCAGCGCGGCAGAAACACAGAGATAGGAGGGCTAGTAAAAGCGAGTCGTTATGGAGAGGGAGAGTCTAGCCGACTTGTTCCGTCGCCTGGACGCGCGCAATCGCGAGAACGTGGCGCTTGCCGGTTTGGGAATCCGCACATCAGCAGACATCTTCGAGGCTGCACAGAGACAATACGAGGAGGCTAGGGAAGAGAGGAACCCAACGCGCAGGGGAACGGCTGACGCTTCGGCGCTAGCAGGTCTGGGCATCCGGACGTCGGCTGACATATTTGAGGCGTCGCAGAGGGAGTACGAACAGGAGAGGCGTGACGGGACTTCTCGCCGGAAACGGAGCCGGAAGCCGAGGGCTTCGGCGCTAGCAGGTCTGGGAATCCGGACGTCGGCGGAAATGGTGGAGTCTGCACGGCGAGGCCGCACGGTGGCCAGGGCAGAGGGAAGCACAGCGCGACGAGGGACGTCGGACGCTTCGGCGCTAGCATCCGTAGGGATCCGCCAATTAGCAGAAACATTAGAGGACGCGAGAGGAGCTCCTGGGCCGGGTGGAGAGAAACAGGTCGCAGAGAGGCACGGTCGATGCGTCGGTGCTGGAGAGTCTGGGCGTCCGGACGTCGGCTGACATTTTCGAGGCGACTCGGAGCGAGTACGAACAGGCGAGGCGAAAGGAGGCGCCTCGCCGGCAGCGGGGTCAGAAGCCGCAAGTGGCGACGTCCGGCGAAGCCGCCGCCGAGATCGAGCGCATGGCTGAGGGCCGTGCTCCTCCTGCGGGGCCGAGCCGTCTACCGGGACGGAAAAGAGTGGGTCTTGGCAATATTGATCAGCCGGCGCCAAAGCGCACGAGGACCGTGACCCGACGAGAGAGGAACGAGGAAGAACAGGCGCAGGATCTCGCTAGCGTTCTGCGAGCCCTCGATGAGGAGTTCGTCGAGAAGGACCGACTGTCTGACAGACAAGAATGGTGTGCACCTGTTCCCCAAGAAAGGAAGGTCAAGACGGTTGTGGCCTTCTACAAGGCGTTCCATGACACAAGGACGTTGCCGATCCTCACGTGTATTTTCTGCTACCGCAAATATAGCAGGGCAGAGCTGGAGGATGTTGAGTGGGAATGGTGGATGGCAAGTCCTATTGAGAAGCGTGACGGCTCGCCCTTCAAATGCGTCCGGTGCTTCCCTGTGGGGGAGAGGATTAGCGGGTGTGCCGACTGCGTGAGACACCTCGGGCGAGGAGCCTTGTCTCCAGCAGCGCAGCTGCACACCCGACTGGGATGCGAGCACATGTTTCCCGACGAGCTGAAGGGCCTCACGCCGGTCGAGGAGAAGCTCATCGCGCTCAACTCGTGCTACGGCTTCATCACCAAGTACAGCATCGCAGACGGACATCGGCAGAACTCCAGATATCCAAGGAACGTCAAGGGGCACATCACGGTATTCCCCAACAACGTACAGGAGCTCGTGACGAAAGTGCTGCCGCATCCGCTGCTGAAGGTCATGGACGAGATCCATGTGTCATGGCAGGGGCCGGAGAAGCCAGAGCCAAGCGATCTGGCCGTGCTCCTCTCGGTCCGTCGCCGTGTTGTGGAGAATGCGCTGATGTGGCTGAAGGGAAACAACCCTCTGTATGCCGACATCAACATTGACACGGCGGAACTGGATAGCTGGGAGACCCCGTCGCATGGCGTGCCGTCCCAGGTCTACGGTCGATTGGAACGGAACGAGCCTTCGGCAAGAGAAAAAACGCAAACGGCGCACATCGTCCCGCCGACCGAACGTGGGCTTGACGATCCGGGCACGGTAGACATCCGAGAAATCATGGCATCCCTGGCCGAGGACCGGAGCAGCTCTGGGGACGCAGCCAGGAATGATGCGGCTTCCATGGAAGAAACTGGAGGTGGGCCTGATAACAACCGCGATAGCGTGCACGAGATCGGATCGTCCGGCATGTTCGGCCTGGATTGCCGGCCAGACATCGCGGACGTGGAAAAGTTGCGGTATCTTGTGGATTCCATAGGCGGAACCGTTACCGGAGAGGAGACGTGCGGAGCCGCCTGGAGAGGGTCGGCCGAGGTGCGGCACGGGTGCGCGGCTGAGCCGTATATCGTTGTCTCCCGGGGCCAGGACTTTGCGGATTCCTTTGACACGTGGTTTTTGGCAAAAGCATTCCCTACTCTGTTTCCGCTGGGTAAGGACGGTCCTCGGCAGGCCGAGGAATGCGTCATGGGTGCGGAAGGGGAGGCATTTCGTGCTGTCGACGGGGAAGTCGCTGCGCAACAGTTGGTGTCGTCCCGGAACATGAGTCTGGAGGCATGGGCTAAACTGGTTCTCCAGCGCCACGGCGGCCGCTTTGCAGCGCACCCCGTGCTTGCGTTTCTTGTCTTCAATATGGGGGTCCGGTCCAGAAATCGTCGCGTGAGCATGGCCAGCGTGAGGAAGAGCGATTTCCCGGAGGTAGAGCGCACCGTCCAAGCGCTGACGGCGGCGAGACTTGAAAGGGCGAGGGTCGAACTGGAGGCCTTCGGGAAGACCACAGATCAAAGGTGTCAATCGACTACTCAGAAGCCTGTCGCTGTACGGCTACCGTCAGCCAATGTCGAGGGAGAGCCGATTGGCCATGCGGCGGAAGATCAAGTCCCTCATAATCCGGTACGGCATCCCCGCGATATGGTTCACACTCAACCCGAACGACATTACGAACCCGATCAAGCTTAAGCTCGCCGCATACCGCACACGCGAGACGGGCGAAGCCGAGGAATTCCTGAGAAGTCTCGATCAGGTGTACAAAAGGGTCCGACTCGCGATATCGGACCCCCTGAGCTCTGCCATCTTCTTCCACCGGGAGATCTCCATGTTCTTCAAACACTACGTGAGGATCGGGGAGGACTCGGTGTTTGGCCGTGTCAGCCAGTACTACGGGGCGGTAGAGACGAACGAGAGGGGTGCGCTCCACCTCCACGGCCTCCTCTGGCTCCAGGGAAACATGCACCTGAGCTCCCTCATGAGCGATGTTGGGAGGGAGGATCAAGCTGCATACCGGGAACGGGTGATCGAGTACATAGACAGTGTCTTTACCGAGGTGGGTTCGCCCAACGACCGGGGCAGGCTATCGATGAGTACGTTCTGACACGTGCAGTAGGACCTCGACGCAGAGGCATCTGCGGGAGTGCGGGCGGGCAGGTCGGTAACCGGCGAGATATCGTCGTTGCTGGACAACGCGGCCCAGTTCGCCGCATCATTCGAGGAGGAAGCGAACTTCTGCGCCGGCGCCACCCATGCGTGAAATATGCTATGGGGAGACAGAAGAGGCAGAATCCCTGCAGGTTCGGGGCGCCTTGGCAACTGGTCGAGAAGACCTGCTTCACGGAGGACCGGCTGCTGCGAATTCAGCGCGGCCACAGCTGTTGAATCGCTGGAACAAGGCGATGGCGGTGGGGTTGCGACACAACCACGACATATCCTTCATCGTGACGAGATGCAAGGGCCTGGCTCTCGTCTATTACGTGACCAACTATGCCACCAAGGTAGAGGATCCGGTGTGGAAGCGCGTGGTGGCAGCCAAGGAACTGTTTCGGCTCCTGGGCGACGGGACGACGAGGGATCAGCCGAATGACGAGCCGCGCTCGACCGAGAGTGACGGCCGGGGGAACCGAACGCGGCAGTTCCTCCTGCGCGTGGCCAACAGGATCTTCACGGAGCGGGCGTTGTCGCAGGTTGAGGTGGTGGCCCATTTTCAGGGGTATGGCACAGAGTTCACAAGCAGCAACGCCTGGACGTTTCTGAACGTGTGCACCCTGTACTGGCATACATTTAGGCGCTGGCCCCTCCTGCGGCGTGCAGCCGGCGGGGAGGACCTGGAGGAGCCAGTCGAAGAGACGGTCCTGCTGGGGGAAGGTGGACAGAGGATCTCCTTGTTGCAGGCGTACCCATACCGCGGCAAGCTTCTGGAAAGCGTGGCTCTGTGCGACTACATGTCGGTGGTCAGGCTGAAGCGGAAAGGGCAAGGTGTTGCTTGGGGAGAGGTGGAACTCGACAGCTCCTGGCCGCTGTCGAGGTTGTGGGTTCAGGCGCTGCGGCGGCCAGGGCAGCATGCAACCATCTGCTTCGACGGGTATCTGAGCATGGATTTCACCGAGGACGACTCTTACCACAGAAGGTACGTGAGACCCGCCACACAGCGGCCCTGGTGGCTTGTGCAGGCAAAACACAGAAGAATGAAATGGTGAGAAGAGTGCAGAGCAGAGCTGAGAGCTAACGAAGGGTGTCGCTAGCTTCAGAGCAGCAGTGCAACATCTTGCCCTCTTTGTCCCATGGCAGGCATTCCTGCGTGAAACGTCCGGCGACATCAACGGCATCTGGGACAGACAAAAGATGCGTCTTCCCAAGCGCATCTTGTGGCTAGTGGATAACATCCAACTACTGCGGCGGTCGGCCGAGGACGTCGCGCAGGACGCCAAACAATGGGCGGCATTGTCCGGGGAGCTCGAACCCGCCGCCGACGCGGCGGAATCTAGCAGTGCCGTAAGGAACGACGCACAGAGCGTAGCATATCGGTCGGATAGCGTCGGGACCGCGACACGTCTTGTAGACGTATTGAGAAACGCGGTATCTGCGAAGGAGATCACGGCCGGTTCGAAGGAGATCTCCGCAATGCTAGAGCAAATGTACCGGTTCCAAGCGGCCGCTCTCGGTTAAACGGAGGATCTCCACGGTGCGGTCCTCGCCGAGGACGCGACAAGGATCGTCAGCATCCTAGGAGGGACAGTCTCGGGAGTGGAAACCCCAGGTCAGGAGCAGCTAAGATCCATCAAGGCGCAGCAGACCGGTCTCTCCCGCGAGCGAGAGAAGGCGATTCAGGGAATGCAGAGCGGGTCAGGCGATGGAGTGGCGGTCCACGGAGCCACGGTGCAGAGCAGGTTTGACAGCCCCGGTCAACAGGACGACCCTTTTGTGGAAGCCGATTGCACATGTCAATCCCCGGGCACGGAGCCGTCAACGAGAATCCGGTTCGGCCCGTCCACATCGTTCTGCGAAGTGGGGAGGCAGGTGGCCGAGTCCCTGACGCTCAACCGAAGACAGAGGATTGCCCTCTGGCTGATCTGCCGCCAACTTGACCAAGTACGGCACGACGAGAGCGGCACCCCACAGCTCTGCCTGTTCGTTGGAGGCGAAGGCGGCACCGGAAAGTCGCGCGTCATCGCGGCCGTCGCCGAGTTGTTCGCCCGTACGGAACAATCCCATCGCCTCCTGGTGACGGCAACCTCCGGCACAGCGGCGGCGAACATCAACGGAATCACCATCCATTCCGCTTGCAAGTTTTCCAAAGACACGTCCCCCAGAGCCAGCCGGGCCGGAGACCCAGACGGCTTCACATCGTCTGGCTCAGCAGGCCTCCGGATTGACGGGCAGACCAAGATGGACTGGCAGAAGTAGTACGTCCTGATCATAGACGAGGTCAGCATGCTGGGTGTGCGGACACTCTACGCCGTCAACGAACAGCTCCGCAGGCTCCGGGAGTCCAGCCGAGACTTCGGCGGCATCCCGGTGGTCGTCTTTTGCGGGGACTTCCATCAGGTCCGTCCCGTGCAGGAGAGATCGATTCTCCTCCCCAGCTCGATTGTTCCGTGGGAGGGAGATCATGGCTTCGGTCCGGAGCAGCGGCGACAACACGACGTGGCTCACGCCCTGTGGGGGAAGTTCACCACGGTGGTAATGCTAAACGAGCAAGTCCGTGCCGCGCAAGATCCACGACTACGCGGCCTGCTGACGCGCATTCGACAAGGAGTGCAGGACCAGTCGGACGTGGAGTACCTGAACAACACCTGCTACCAGGAAGGCAGGCGGATCCCATGGGAGTCGGGAATCACGGTGGTCACGCCGCTCAATAGGAACCGCTGGAACCTGAACATGGAGGCGACGATTGCTTTCCAGAGGCAATGGCAGGCCCCGCTCCGCATCTTTGTTTCTGAGCACAAGTGGAAAGATGGCGAGCCAACGGAGGAGGAAGCCTTGATGATGTTGGGCCACGGCGATGACAGCGCAATCCCGGTGCCTGCCGTCTTCATGTTCGTTCCCGGCATGCCCGTCGTCGTGAACCACAACACCCACCAAGGTCTGAAGCTGGTCAACGGCGCCCCCTATATGGCGATGGATGTCGTCCCCGACAGGGGGCGCCCGGGTCATCGGATCAATAGCAATACCGTACTCCGCTTCGGTCCGCCGGCGGGGATCGTGCTGGCGTCGGAGACGACGAGGGACTTCCGCTTCGTGGGCATGCCGCCCGGCACTATCCTCCTAACGCCTATCAGCACCAAAATAGAGTGCCAGAGAAAGCGGCCATGGCAACAGCACGACGTCTCCCGCAGGGGGCTGCCATGCGCAGCCGCGTTTGCGTGTACCGATTACAAGGTGCAGGCAAGGACCCTAGATCGGGTCGCCCTGGACCTGCGGGGGACGAGGACGACCAATATTGGCGGCCAGGCGGTTCCGAGTACATGCGACCCATACAGCCTGTACGTGCAGCTGTCGCGGTGCAGGTCGCTGGACGGCATCATGCTCCTGACCAAGGCTGGATGGATGGATTTTATTTCGCCCGGGGGGACACACCCCAGAGGGCCTTTGCGCTAAGCTATTTTCGTTTCGTACGGTTCTTCCATAATCACCCGAAGCCCCACAATTTCACTTTACTGACTGTTCCAATCTGATGTATATGCAGTGACAGGCCTGCTTGAAGGCCAATTTCTCCAAGTATTCAGCATCCTATCCTCAGCAGCTGAAGCACGGTCTGCCAAAATGAGACTGTATGATGTTAGTAGGATTCAATCTGAATAGTTAGTGTGCCTGAGGCTTCTGGTCCATGTCAAGCCTCCCCGTTGCAATGGCAAATTTGATCGTCGCCCGTACTGCCCGCATGTCTGGCGCCCATTTGTCACCGTCAGACGCCGCCTTTCCTCCCAGGAAGTATGATAGGTTTCCCATCTTTGTCTGTGAGCATCGCAGCATGCCTTCTCGTTGCGCGGTCCATTTTGTGCAGCGGAATAGGAAGTGTTCCACTGTCTCTGATGCTTGCCCGCATTCGCAAGTGTCCGATTCCATTGCTCCTATCTTGCACAGAAAGCTGTTAAGTCTCGCCATTCCGGTGCGGAGCTGCGACAGTACGTCTGCTTCCTTCCTCTTCAGCGGGTCATATAGAGTACGGGTATGCTTGCCTGGCAGTGCCGTGTCTATCTGCTTCGAGTATTTCCCGACTCTTTCTGGTAGTGTTCTTGTTTGCCGCTGCTTGGTTATCGCTAGTCTGATCCTTGTGGATCTTGCTAGATGTGGTGGCACGTCTGGTCTGCATTCTCCTTCTGTGGCCTTCCGCGCTGCTGCTTTGGCTTTTGTTCCCAGCGCGAAATCCTCTTCTCCTGTTGGAACCCACAACATCCGGAGAGAGTGGCCCTCGTCTTCGAGACGCTTGATATGGTCGTATATTTGCCGTATGATCTGTTGGCCGGATTGTTGTCGTGGCCGCCGTATGACTTCTAGTGCGGCGCGGGCGCGGGTTGCCTGAGGATTCTGTCAAGGTGCTTACACTGACTAATCGACAATTTTCGCGCCTCCGGAGTATCACTTTTTTCCATATCCATTAGTAGCCACATCAAAGCACATTATATTTGTCTTCAATTTCACTGGGCTGTGCATAAAGGTATGCTCTATATAGAAATCAATTTTTGTGACACCCGTATGCCTGTGTCTTGTGGAAAACTCTGATATGCGGTGGACCAAGACTTTGGCGCAATCACCGATCCTGCCACTCTTCTGCCGAATAGCCCACGAAGCGAAGAGGAAACATGGTCAAAAATCAGTGAAGTGCTATCGAGCATTGTATAACGCTTCCTTCGGTCAGAGTTTGCATGTCTATCGTGTTGTAAGGCACGCGTTGTGTCCATCTTGAGTCAGGCCCAAAATCATTGACACGGCACTCAGACCATTTGCTCGAGGACGTCAGGTGACCTTTACCGATTAGGTATAGTCCCGTCCGTTGCCTTTGCACGAGCAAAATGGTCTGAGCTTGCTGAGGTAAGGCGCGGGAGCGTGACTGGTAGAGAGCGAAAAAGTCACGCTGCAAGTCACGCGCGAAGTCACGCCTCAGATCACGTGAATTTTGTGTCAGTGGGTTTTGGCTGAGCCCCTCTTTTTTCCCCGCGCCCGTCCTCTAAGACCCTTTCGTTCCTCAAGGCACAAATTGATGCAGTTACCGAGAGCCGGCGGTCTAGGCTAAAACTAACTCATAGAACGTGTGACTTGCAAAGGGGGGGGAATTTGACCAGAACTCGTTTGCTCGCTCGCTTTACACCCGCCGACCCAACTTCTCCCCAACCGCAAACCTTTCCTCCAGCAGCCCATTAATCCATGCCCACCGCTCGCCAATCAGCCCATGCCCTAGCCCCTCCGCCATGATCCCCACCGACGGCTCGATATACTCGATCAGCTTTTGCCCGTGCGGCGCTGGGATAACGTGATCCTCCGTCCCATGCACAACTAGTATCCGCTCCCGCCCCACCCGATCCGCCATCTCCTTCAGCTGCGCTCTCGTCTTTCGATGGAACCCCACCGCTACCACCTGCAGCATAAGCCCAGCCTTGCCGAACCGTTCCTGATCTTGGCGCTTGACTAGTTCCTGTGCCGAGAACCGCTGAAAATTCGTGTCGAATTTACCATAGGCCCCGTTCGGCGGTAGCATACACTTCGGTGTTGCCGCTGCCGGCAGGTGTACGTCGTCCGGAGCGGAAAGCCAGGAGGAAGTAAAGTTCTGGCCTGCCGTGTCCACGATAATACGGTCGATGCTCCTAGGAAGAATCATTGATATGCGGCCCATCATGTTCTCGCTCAACATCGACGTATTTATAAGCTGCGCGGAAGTGGATATGAGATTTAGGGTGCTAATACGGTCGGGAACCATGCAGGCGAGCTCTTGCGCGATCATACCGCCGAGACTAAGTCCCACGACGTGGAGCTGTCGCGAACCGGACCATCCTAAGTATTCGAGAACCTTGAGCAGGTCTTTGGCCATCTCGGACGTCGACGACCGCACCAAACGCTTGTCAGAGTCGCCCATGCCGCGGGTATCCGTCAGAAGGACGGAGTACTTGTCCCCATGCTCATGCCCAAAGTACAGGGTTTGTGGCTGCCACATGCTTTTTAAACTGCCGGTCCCGTTTATGAACTGAGGGTGTTAGCTGCAGTAAACTTGGGAATGAGTTTGTTCAAGAGGAAGCCAAGCACTCAGTATCAGTAGAAAGGGAGAAACTCGCTTCTGTCACGAGAAACGGATATCCACTCACAAGAACATTGATCTCGCCCTCGCCATGAACCTCCCAACTAATTTTCTGAGGCCTGGTTCCTCCCCCCGCCACGGGAAGCAATCCGCTCTGATGAGGCTCCAGCTTCCATATTGCGCCTAGGTATGATGGATGATTGAGAATTTCTTCCGTTGTTGAAATTTGTCCCTGGAAGATACATTTGTTAGCCTTTTCCTATTTGCTATGTTTCATATCTAATTAGTTCGTACATCTTGCTTCTCCATGTATGTCTTCAGGCAATCTTTTTGGATAATGCTGGTGCTTTAAATATAATTGAAGAACGGAGGTCAACCAGGGCTAGAAATACTCTAGCAGGAAACGTGAGCAATATAGCAACGGCGACAACACGCAGATGGTTATAACGAGCAAGATTCACTACGAAGGCCGGGCTCCTGACAATCTCCAGGCACTTGCAGGAGCCGTCTCGCGGGTAAATGGAGATTAGTTCTGTCTCAGCTTAGTCATGTCGAGATCCAGGTCGTCGGTGAAATAGCTGTGGGCTCATCCTGTTGTCAAAGGTGGCATCACCCCCACAGGTGTTTTCCAGGTGAAACGTACGATCAGGTCGCCGACCCCGGCTTTCACCGCCATACCCCGCACGATGGGTTAATACAGTATGTGCCTGTTGAGAACAGACAAATAGGCCCTAATTCCACTACCGGGAGACGCCGCACTTGCTGACCAGTTCAAAAAGTCTAAATGTCGCCACCAGCAATCTGCCGTGTTGAACGTCCTCACATGATATCAAAAAGATCAGCCCACCGTCACCTGATCAAATTATATATCCCAACCTATATCTGGGTACGCACTCTTGACAGGCCATACACGGTCGTTGTGCCATATTTTGCAGAGAAATGCTGGACAAGCAACACCATCTCAAACTATGGCGCCAAAAACCAACACTACAACCGCCAAAACCCCCCCCGATCTTCCTCACACAACCGTAATCCGCCTCGCATTCACATATTTCGGCGTTGTCTTTTCCACCGGCTTCCTCTTCGGCACCCTCCGCCAACTCTACATCATCCCCACGTACCATCTCCCCTCATCCAACACCGAAATCATTGAGGCACCACTCATGTTCATCGCTGTTATTGTTTGGGCGAATTGGCTAGTCAACCACTACAAGATCCCCGCCAGGGCAACTGTGAGACTGGCAGTTGGACTACTGGGCCTGGGAGTTATGGCTTGTGTGGAATTCATGGGGAGTAGATTTGTAGGAGAGCGGGGTCCTGTAGAGGAAGGTGAGGAGGAGGAATGGGCTGGGGTAGCTAGAGCGCTGTATTTGTTTGACTTGATGGTGTTTGGGATCATGCCTTGGATTCTGATGTTGATGGAAAAGGGGCGGGGGAAGCAGAAGGCAGAGTAACTGGCTTGCAGAGGAAATTCGATAACAATTTGATCTGTAGACCCCATCATCCACTTGAGCTCAAAATCCTTGATAAATAGAGTGACAAGAATAACTCGTCCCTTCCATTATAGTCTGCAGTTCTGTAAAGACCTCATCGTCTGTCAATGCATCAATGCGTGTCAACACTTCTTTTGGCGAACGAGAGAAGGTCCGGTGAGTGATGCGAATATACCGCGGAGGTCACATAAAGTGAGGTTGTCATGTAGATGTAGAAAGATGGATGACGAGCTAAGACTACAGTTGAGGACGGGAGCATAAGGTCTCCTTCCTCACGTGATGTTACATATAACGCCAGTCTTAAGCACCAGGCCCAAGACTGGTTTTTCACGTATCAGTGAGACAGTGGTAGATTGATCATATTGCTGGGAATGAGTGGAACAGAGGTCCTGTAAGAAGTCAAGTCATTCGGAGCGAAAAAAGGTGAACAGGTGAGATGAACGATGTGAACGGCCTCTAGTAGCTGGATTCCAGCTATCTAGTCCAGGATGCTATTTACATCAAAGATGAAGAAAGAAAGAAGTTCCCAAGTGCCCCTGAGCTGTGGAACGATTTCTCGTCCCTGGCGCGCACGAGCCTAGTACGTCTTGCGGCACAGCCGCAAGGATATGGGCCCTGGCCCGTGACAAACGAGGAGATAGCGAAGGCTTTATTTTCTCGCTCCTCAATAAATAACAACAAAACACCCTTTCCAACACCCCTCAGCAATCCTGATAAGAATATACACGTGTCTTTACTTGATATCAACCATTTAACAAGCCAAGCCAAGCTCAGTTACAAGAAAACGAAACTAAAATTATGACTCTCCGAGCGAACGGTCTCTCACCGGTCTCCACTAGGAAGAGCTGGTATCAAATATAACCTTCCAAATCAAATTTGTAACTTTTTCCTCCTCTTCCCCTGGTGCAAACAAATTGTACCCACAATCCCAACAGCTCCCATGCTTCAGCAATCCATCATGACCCTCAAAAGTCTAGTCAAGGCTCCTGAGCAGCTAGTAACGCTCATAATCCAAGGATGCGAATGTCACGGGCCAGGGCCCATATCCTTGCGGCTGTGCCGCAAGAGGTACTAGGCTCGTGCACACCAGGGACGAGAAATCGTTCCACAGCTCAGGGGCACTTGGGAACTTCTTTCTTTCTTCTTCATCTTTGATGTAAATAGCATCCTGGGCTAGATAGCTGGAATCCAGCTACTAGAGGCCGTTCACAGCGAACCACTCAACGTACTTCAATATATTGAATGGATTGATGATCAACGTCAATTCAACTCAATCAATATCGATATTTGATTATGTAATACGTCAATCCATTTTGATATTCTGTTGATTGAATGGGTTGAATTCGTTGACTTGTTGATTTAGGGTAACTTAGCGGATTCTACACCCCGTGATATGCCTTGTATACGAAGCCATCGGGTCAGTTGAAATTACCCTTTTGAGTTTCGCAGTCATTGCACTAGCCTATTTGGGATTTAGCGCTCAAATCTCTAGCCAACCAGAATTTAGCCGTCACGCACTAACTTCATTTGATTTTCGCGGTCACGCACTAGCCTAATCAGGATTTCGCGGTCAACTCAGGGGCAAGCTCATTTCATCAAGCTGCGGGAACTTCAACACAGCCCAAGTCAATCACTGTAATTCTGCATCTTGCTCACTATGCCTGAAGCACCCAAAAAGCGTGGGCGACCTCGAAAGTACGATACGCCAGAGGAGAAAGCAAGGCAAGATGTCATTGCTAAACGCGCCCGACGACGGCTTCGGAACTCCTCGGTGCACGGAGATATCCGATTTCAAGTCTATGTCCCCCAACCGATAGAAGCTTTGCCACCTTCATCCTCGCCGCAAGGTCGCCCAGAGTCAACAAGCTGCCTTGATGTCCTCGCAAATACCGCTAGCCGGTCAGATCGAACTGAGACGCCACTCCCACCAGCCTTGAACCACATTACAAGCGACACCATTGTGGCCAGAAATGGATTGCGTTCACAATCAACGGAAGGGGCTGTGTTGGCACCGTCGTGTCTGCAGCATCTACGCAATGCGGCAGAGCCACGCAGAACAATTGATACAGGCTCAAATTCGCCTCGCCCGTTAGGAGAGGCGGTGTTGAGCTCGTGCGTGATGGGATGATGCGCAGGCGTAATCTGGTGAGGGGAGTACATCCTAGGCCGTGCCATCGACTTTAGCCCAGCAATTGATACGGCGGCTATGGCTGGGGTGGCTACTGGTAGCAAGCAGCTGAGAGTGTGTCAGCAACAGACTGCTACTACGGAGGGCCCTTTCAAAAGTCTTGTCCTGGCGCTAGTTCAAAATGGGAAATCTGGCGGCTGTGGCTGGGCCAAGTACGTCAAGTACTTCCTCTGGGATCTTATCCACTAAAGGCTGCTAATTTTATAGCAGCTTGCACTCACTGTGTGACATGGTGGTCCCCCTAAAGCCCCTAAAGCTGTAGGGGATATAGCAGCTAACCTACTGTGGCTGGGTTCTGCACCTTGTACCTCAGGTAGCCGACAAGGATTGAGGGATGTGGCGCATTTAGCGTTGGACAAGACTTTTGAAAAGGCCCTCCGTAGTAGCCGTGGGGCTAATGTAGCCGTGGGGCTAATGGTGGCTACCTCAACAAGAAATGGCTACTCGTAGCAAGTGACTACTCGTCTCCGGCTGCTACTAGTAGCCGCCTGTGGCTGTGACGGATGTTATTATTAGTAGCAAGTGGCTACTAGTAGCCGCCTGTGGCTGCGAGGGATGTTATTCTTAGGAGCAGCTACTGCTGGCTACGTCAGCAAGAGCGGCTACTCGTAGCAAGAAGCGACTGTTGGCTCTGACATCCAGGTCAGTTAGCGAGGGTGGATTAGGGTTAGGCGGCGAATTTTAGCGACACGACCCCTGTTCGTTACGTTCGACGTTTTCTTATGTTCTGTTACACTGAATGGATAGGATCACAATGATGATGATGAAAGCTCTTGATTTCTAGCTAAGGGACGGGCCTAGAGCCCGTCTTTTATACATGATGAAGACGGCTGCTGCCGGAGGCGGCAGTCCGTCGCCGCCGCACAGGGGCCGGGGCCCTGTGGGTCCCGGGGACCGGGATCGTGGTCATAGGGCCGGCGATGTGGTCTGAGATAAGACGAGAAAGAAAGGAAAGTCGCGTTGTCTAGGAAAGCCGGAAACGAGGTTATCATGCGTCTCAGGATGACCCCGAAATGTGACACGTTCTCGAGCCGATCAGGGCCTAAATCCCCCTCCGTAGTCAGTCAGCTCGCTTCCTGCCTAATCAACAAGTGCATGCTTCAACGCTTCCCTCGTGCTCGTGCAGTGTCACCCCCTCTCGTCCGGCATTTCTTTCTCATCTTGCCGTCCTAATCTGGCTCGTTAGCCACTGTCTCTAGGGACCTTTGTCTTCGGGCTGTGTTACCTCAGGTACCTGAGGCATGGTGCCACCACGCAAGCGGCGCCGGCCCCGCTCGCTTGATGGCAACGACACCGAGTTCGACCACCACGGCCACCACAGACAGCCGCGCTCCGGCTGCATAACACGGTCTCGTGCCGCCACGGACTGTGCCCTAGCTGCCGCGGGAGCAGCTACCGGCCGGTCTCGGCGCGACTTTCTCTCTCCGCTCCCCAACGAGCTCGCCATCCGCATCCTCTCCTACTTGTCCGCCTGGGAGCTCCTCGACGTCTCCCTCGTCTCCAAACAACTCTCTGCCTGGGCTTCTAGTCCCCAGCTATGGCGCGGCCTGTACTACCGCTGCTTTGTCCTGCCCAACGCCGGGAGTATCTTCCAGCGCCGCCCTGACCGCGGCGGCGATGAGAGTGTGCTCTACTCCTCTGTCCATGACGTGGAGTGGGTGGCACGAGGTGGCAGCCTGGTGTCCCTGCCCAGGGATGAACTTGATGGCGAGAGCGCCGGCGGGGGTGCCAGGGATGCCGACTGGAAGCGGGATTATAGGAATTACCATTCATGGCGAAAGCTCTCCTGCATCGTGGAGATACCTCTGGAGGCCCCCGCGCCGCGCTCTCCAATGACACTGTCCTGGGCAACGCCGTCGATGGCTATTCTTAGTGCTACTGGTGGCTCTCGTAGCATGGTGGCTACTCGTACCAAGAAGCTACTGGTGGCTCGGGCATCCAGGTCAGCAAGGGCGGGTGGCTCTAGTGTTTAAGTTAGCGAGGGTGGATTGTCAATGACCTGCAACGACAGTAACAGGAGACCGGTCCCCTACGGGGTCCGCCAATGCCTTGAGGAACGGGACGAGAGTTGAGCATGAGTTTGAGTTTGAGCATGGTGGTGGGTGTCGGTCCGGCGGATCAGCGGGAAATCCCTTAATGAAGCTTGTTCCGCTCGTGTGGCTGTTTGCTCATCTTTTAACCCCGCCCACATCACCTCACCGACTGAAAAGCTCATTAATTACACGGCTTGTACCTACCCCTCATCCACCCACTCAAGTCTTTATTGCGACACAAGCTTGAACACAGACTTCAGATTGATTCAGTCCTCACAATCAGTCTTTTGCAATTATCGTTGCCGGAAACGACTCATCATGGCCTCTGCATGCACCAGCTGCAAAAAGTCGCCGCCGGAGGTCCACCTCAAGCGGTGCGCAAAATGCTCCACGACCCGGTACTGCTCTAGGGACTGCCAAAAGGCAGACTGGAAGGCCCACAAGAAGATTTGTGGCAGACAAGCCGACGCCACGACATCGTTTTCAGATGGGCCTGCAACCGCAAATTTATCGCCTCCGAAGGGGTTGGAACAAGGTGTCGCCTGCCCCTTCACTCGCCTTGATAATGGCACTTGGCTCCATGACCGATCGGAGAAGGATGTCTATGGGCTGCTCATTGACGCTTACCGCTTACGCGTGGAGGACATGTACAACATGGAAGGCGAGGCGGACACAGACAGCATCTATGGCGGCGCTGCCGACGGGTTGCGTGGCTTCCAGCACTTTCTGGAGCGCGTCGTGGCTTGTCCTGGTCTGCTGCCACCGTGGTGGGATGCCAAGAAGAAGAGGGATTGCGAGCTACTTGGTATGACTCCGTCGCAGTGGTACGACCTGCGAAGCGCTGTGCATAAGAGCGACATCATTGAGAACTACGGCGACTCTCAATTCCCGATGCAGTTCGCATGTTTGCCGAGGCAGTGTACGGTCAAGCTCCGGGGGGGACAAATGGGACGGCAATGAGGCAGATGATGGTCGCAATGGAGCAGGGCAGAGCAGGAGGCATGCACTCGCACATGATGGATATGTCACCAGCTATGTTTGGTCGACGTTGAGGAAGAGAGCGACGCGAGACTTTTGGGATGTGCCTTTCCTCAGCTATCGACGAGATTTATCGAAGAATGCCAGCCCAACTGGTAGCTTTGCAGCGCATGGCCCCGAGGCCAGAGAGCTCTGCTTTGGATCGTCGGGGCGGTGGCGGTTGCAGGGTTGGGGGAAGGGGAAAGAGACAGCCAGCAAAAGAAACCATTGACGTCCACTCGTGGGGTAAGGGCGGTCTAGCCGTGCCACCGGGGATGCAAACGCAACCATTGCACGGAATCGAGTCGAAAGGTTCAGAGGGATTTTCAGGATAAGACAGGAAGAGCTCGGCCGATGATTGATTTATCGGCTGTGTTTGGTGAATATAGACCGTAGTGGAGCTATCGAAGGGCAGTTCCCAGTGAGCGGAGTCAGACAGACAGAGATGGAGCCTCGGGCGGACCACCCCGCATTCCTCTGCTGTGAATCGTGGGTGAATCGATCCCAAACTTGGTCCTGTACTGTATATTTGCATACAATAACTGGGCTATCTTGAGCTGTAAGCGCACAAGGGGAAGGTATTACGATCAGAGGGCAGGACACGACCCATCCCGTCAGTTCGACGTTCTGTTGAAGATCGATCAGCCCGCTATCCACCACGCACAACCCCGCAATCGTTCTATAACACTTCTCGAGCGCGACCCGCCCACAAGAACACTCGCAAGTTTATTAATTCCAAAGCTTGTTAAATCTCGTCATTTTACCCGCTCGCTCCGCAAGATTCGTTGCGCTGTTGACATGTCCTTCATTAGCTGGTCACGCGCCACGGCCAGCTGCTGGTTCTCCTCCTCCAACCATAAAATGCGCCGTAGCGCAGCATCCAGGACTTCGCCCTTGCTGACAATTGCGTCGACGTCGTCATAATCGTCGATTGACGACCGCATTGGCAATACAGAAAGTAGTTTCTCAAATTGCATCTTGAGCCGATTTCGATATTGCTTCTCGACCATGTTGTGATTCTCTCGTGCATGCAGTACCGTCTCTGGGGCGGGGATCTTGCGGGACGAGTTCTTCGATTTGCGTGATGCTGTGCGGAGCTTGACGTCTGGGCGGCCGGGGGTGCTGTTGTTGCTGCAGGGGGAGCAGCCCAGTGGACTCTTATCTCCCGCTGGTGACAAGACCCTGATTGTCTCAGCATCGACGCCCTCTGAGGTGGGAGCATAGCTCGGTTGCAGGTTGGTTTCACTGGAATTATCATCGCTGCTGACCTGACCATATAGTATGTTTGTATCCAATTGCGAGGGATCGGCCGGCAGGATTTCTGGAGATTCGAAGGCCATATCAACATCTTGGGCGAAGCACTCAGTTGCTGGAGATCCATCCGTGCTCCAGGTGGTCCAGGTCGGCGTAAAGACATCTGCCCAATAAACAGAGTTCAGAAGCGTACCTTGACCCAGGGAAGGGTTCATGGATGCCTATAGACTTGTTTTAATTATCGGCGGCCGGAAGAGCATTATGCGGTGGTTTTGCAGCAGGAGGAGTGAGCAGAACTCCGCTAAGCCGAAACCGTGGCAAAGGTGAAGAAAGAGCAAATCATTGGAAAAGGTAAGCAAACAGGGGGGTTCTCACCTGAGCTTGGCGGTCATTTTGTCCCCAGTAAAGGAGCCCCAAGTCCATATCACACTCAGGCCCAATCATGATCGGCTTGACGGCAGTTGTTTGTGTTGCTAGAGTGGAAAATTGTGTCTTTGGGTCTAGGACCAGAAACAAGAAAGCTCGTGCTTGGCGATATTTAGCAAAGAGGACGTTGCAAAAAATATACTTGCAGTAACCGTCTCGCAGCGGTCACCTCCGTCATTGTCACTTTGGCATGAAGCATCACAGTTGGGCCACAGCAGCTCGTGTGGGCCGATACGATGAGTCTAGACCACGCGATGGTTTGCAGATTGGGTTCCATTCCCAACTTCCGGTCGACTCCCCTCACCTCCAGTACCTTTAGGAGCAATGCCTCCAAATAATGCCTCCAAAGGAGGATTTTCCGCAAGGGTCCAAGTTGGGACGCAAGGGTTCACTATGATACCCTGTACTGTATCGTCACTTCTGACGCAGGGTTCAATTAGCTTGCAAGTCCAAGTTGCTTCAAGATTTCCTCACACCATCGCATTGTCATGTGTCCATCGGGCCGCGCCGAGCGCGACGATAAGAACATAGCCAGAAAGCAAATCTAAGCCTGACTGCCCACGACCGCCGCCTGGATGGGTCGGGTATCTTTTTCGTTGCTGGTGCTGCTTGGGGCCGCTGGTGCGCAAGACGCACGCAAGTTTGGCCAATCGCGCCAGCACGGGCGTGACTTCACCCCGTTCACTCCTCACCCTCATCAACTTAACCCTTTGCTTGTCGCCCTTCATTTGCCCTCATCTCCTACCACCCTTCTGGCTCATATGAGGTATCTCAACGTATGCTGACGTTGGCTTTGAATCGCGTGATTTGCCTGCGGCCTTCGCCGTCTGCCGACACTGGTGCGAAACTTCATCCTGGCCAGGCATGATGTGATTCCGAAAATTAGCTTCGAGGCTTGCCCAGAACATCGGCTGATATAGACACGTGCAGGCTGGTAGGGTGCCTAGTGCGCTGCAACTTATTTCGTAGCGCGGTATTTGATTTGGCAATTCACCGGAGGAGGGTCTGCCTAGACCTGCTTCACACCTAGTCAGCTGCTCATAATATCATGCTGCAACGCGCCATGTCATTGAATTTTAGCGTCAGAACAGCTCAACACGGAGTTCGGAAGACTCTTGTCAGTCCATCCAGCTTCTGAGATTGGAGGTGGATACGGCGCTTCCAACGAAATGGAGGCCCAGAGGAGTAAAGGAACGGCTCGGACGGTCAGCAGGGCGAAAGTGCTAGGCATTGCAATGAAGAGGATCAGGAATTTGGCGGCCCTGGCGCAATATGAGCAATTCTGGAATGAGCAGCCGAAGACACAAGAGTGATCGATGATGGCGACAAGGGCCCAAGCAACGGTGAATGGTATGTCATAAATCCTTCGCGGGGGCACGGGGCTTGTTACCAAGCGTCAGACCAGGCGTTGTGGAACGGCGGACCAGGGTAAAGAGACGGACCACCAAGTCAATGAGAGCATAGCTCACCAGAAAGGAAGGAAGCTCACCAGTGTGAGTTTAGGAACAAGGTGATCCAAGGACAAAATACGGTGTGTATAGACCTCACCAATTTCCTTCATGATGTACGTACATCACCAAACGTGACGCCAGCGCTCACGACAACGCCCTAATAAATCCCTGACCTAGGTTTATCCCTTAGGAAACCCGGTCGTCGCAGGGCTGTCGTAGAACCCTGACCCTCCTAAATCAAAAGTCTTTCATGTCGCTGTTAGTATGAGACAATCCCAGCACCTCTCCCTCTTTTGCCTTCTCTTCTCCTTCCTCGCTCTCTTCACAGAGCCAGGGCTGCAGATGTTGAAGCTGAGATGGAGTGTCCGGAGCTGTGATGAGGGGCGTCAGGCGGCTCTGGAGCTCCATTTTTTCCTGCAAAAGGCTTTTATTCCTCTGGTCCAACTCCATAATATAATCCGTTGCCCTTTTGAGGATCATCGTCTTGCTAGGATTGCGCTGGGGCGTTGATCTTGGTAATGCCTTCTCCAGGAATGCTTGGTCTTGCTCGTCAGCCTCGCTGTCCGTTTCTTTCATTTCCTGCTGATGGGATTCTAAGGAGAGCGGAGGAAGACATTTGTGAAGCGCCACGAACTTGTCGTTTAGGTCCGTGTGGTACCAGTCCTCGACCAAGCTGGACGCTGTCCCTTTGGATAGGTAGCTGAGAGTGTGACGATCAGGCGTTGAAAGGGACGGCGATGATGACTTATAAGGCGACGACGGGGCATTGCCTGAAGACTCTGGCTTGGGCGAACAGCGAGGTGAGGAAGCTTCGGGTGATGAGGATGGGGGCAGCCGCTTCTGCTCTAGTGATACAGGAACGGAGTCGATACGATCATCATTAATTTTCCCCCAATCTGATTTTGCAGGTTCCATTCTGTCAAAGTGAGTAGGAAGATGCCATGCATGTGAGGGTTATTGAGAGTCAATTTTTTGGCCTTAATCACTGCTCAAGTCAAGAGGACGAAGGTCCCAGTTATATACACAACAATGGTGCCCAAGTGGGTCGGGACGCCTCCTCGGCTGGGGCGGAATATCGTTTGACACTCCCACTCATTCCAGTCCGAGGGACCTTACCTCCGACCGCTTGGTTACACTCTTAACGGTGGGTCTAGGACACCTCCCCCATGGACGCCACGTGGTGAGACCAGTTACGTACTCCTCCCACTGGTTCCTCCATGGGGGCACCTTTCCTAGCCCTCTTCCTAATGGTGGCTGGCCAGGACGCCTCCCCTGCGGACGCCAAGTGGTGAGGCCAGTTACGTGCTCCTCCCACTCGATCCAATCCACAGGGCCTATCCCTAGCTCTTTGCCTTGGTGCTCTGTAGACCCGGTCAGGACGCCTCCCCTACGGCCACCATGTGGTGAGGCCAGTTACGTACTCCTCCCACTGGTTCCAAGTCCGTTGGGGCCCCCAGTGATGGATTTATACATTGAAACTGAAACCTAGCCTCTGTTTTGTTTGTTTCAGTGAAACTTGCACTCTGTTTCGGTTTTGTTTCAATGTTTATAAAACAGAGCTGTAAATATGGTAATTTGGCGGAAAACCTGAACCCAGTGTATGTAACAGTCTCCAATTAACTTAGTAGTACTAGATAGCCGGAGACAGGGTTCGGAATAGCTCGTACCTACCCCTAGTTACTCTTAAAGTATAATGTAATCCTCTCGAGGATCTTGATCTGCCTCTATTCGGGCATTTTCGAGTATTGCTGCTGCCTCTTCAACCTGTGTAGCATTCCTGAATATGCCACTTAACACTGCCCGCTCTTTGCCTGGTGGAATCCTCACCCAGCTCTTGAAACACTCGGTGATCTCTACCATCTCTGCTCCTAGCCGAATGCGCTCAGGCGCTATAGTATGCTTTGTACCTGAGAAAACCCGTTCCGGCTCGGCTGACATGGGTGGGATCGAGAAGATTGTGATAGCCATCTTGCTCAGATTCGGATAGACGAACTGGCGTGCCGGCTCAAGCCACCAACCTAAAGCTGATTGTTCGCCGATTATGTGAGGCGTTGCCTGGTCTACGTATTAGCAAATATTCAAAATGTTGATAGGGCGCAAACAAATCCTGATGAAGTCGTCAAATTCGTCTCGGAGTTGATCATGAATAGCGCCTGCTGCCTGAGCCTTGAAGCGCCGAAAGGGATTCTCTATCTGTCCGATATTTGAACTTTGGGAAGTTGGCGTGAGTTCTTCGCTTCGTGGCTTGAAGTGCTTCTGCCATAGCTTCCGCGCAGTCTTGATTGTTGGTTCGATATATTGCCTCTGATGGTCCCAATGAGTGTCAAAATAACCCTTGCGGTACCTAAGCTGGATGGAGAAGTACTGCAGCGGCATAGACTGGCGTGTCATCAGTAAGCTTGTAGTACTTATCAAACTTAAACCACGAAGCCAGGACACGAGCTTCAAGCCGCGGATGATTTGACTGAGCGCACTTTTCCTGCTCTTTGTAGTGCTGAACTAGATAGTCCATTGAGAGCAATATATCATCCAGAGTATTGACCTTCCCCTCAGTGCCCTTTGTAGCAAAGAGAAAGGCTTGCAAAAAAGAGAAAATGTCCTCGAGCTCTTGCCAATCTTCGTGGGAAAGGTAGTCCTCCTTCAGCTCGTCATAGTGATCATCAAGGCAGCCACGAATCTCCTTTCTCATTGCGAGGGCCGCTTCAATCTCTTTGGCCCAGGGATTCCACCGAGTGTCGTTGTCCAGCGGGATTGCTCTGCCGGCTGCCGCCACAAACTCTTGATAGCGCTGTGTAGACGATCGAAACCAAACGTTGATGTTATGGAGCTTGCCAAGTGCACCCATCTGACGCCATTCGTCCGCGATATCTGCTTGATCTCTCTTATTGCTGTTTTCTTCGTCGGTGAGGCGTTGAGTATCCTGAAGAGCCATTTTGATTGCCTCATCCTCATCGGCTCTAGATGCTCGACTCTTCCCCCGGAAGAGGAAGGCTTGGACTGCGAGGTCAGGGCTCCTAATAGTGCAGACCATTTAGACTATTAGTGCAGACTGCAGATCAGGGCAGGGAATACGGACGCCCGGTGTGGACGCTAAGTACGCTAGGTTGTTGGCATGGTGTTACAAAACCAGGGTACCCATGATTGTTGCTGTGCCAACCACTTTGTTTTGGATATTTCTGATCAATTCACTGGTGCGATCCGGATCAACAAGGCTCGTTTCAAGGGGCGCATCATCCTAGTCGTCAATCCACGAACGCCCGTCGTGGATTGATTATTGATCTTGGATTGTAGTCTGCACTAATAGTGTAAATGGTCTGCACTATTAGGAGCCCTGTGCGAGGTTGATAACATGCCCGTTACAACGAACCCGGCGGATGCGAGGGACGAACAACGCAGGATGTACCTCGTTGATCTCTTCAGCAATAAATCGAAGCATATTATCATTCGATGCCGCGTTATCAGGGGTAAAGAAACCAATCCTGTCTAACCGAATTGCATAGTCTTCAACGACCTCAAGGAATACCCCAGCTTGCTGCTCGCCGCCGTGAGTTCCTCTAAATTCGCGGAGGGAAAGGAGAGCGGTCTCTGCTTGCATTGATTCTGCATCGACCCAGGAGGCAACGAGAGCTTGGTAGCCGGTTTTTGACAGGGCTGTCCACATATCGATAGAGAAATGGATCCACGAGAGCGAACTTTGAAGCTTTTGCACGAGCGCGTTCTTGTGGAGGGTGAAAGTCCCTCGGAGAAGCTAAGGCACATCCTTGCGGCATACTCTAATCATATCCTTTCCCATGTAGTTAACGGAGTGGATAACTGCCCAGAACTCAGGCCAATCGAGGAGAGTATGCGGATGATTTCGGATGGCAATAAGCCTAGCGCAAGCTTCGTTAAACTCGGGAAGTGGAATAGCCGAGACAAGGGCTTTTTCTTGCTGAATATCTCGTTCTCTCTGGCGTTCGCCTTCTCTCCCAAAAATATCATTAATGGTCGCTTGATTGGCAATTGTTTGAGCTCCTGGTGGCGCGCCTTTCATGACGATGTTGTGCTTGCTGCTCAGATGGGCGCGGAATCGACTCGAATTCGGTGTACCGCTATACGTACAGTGTGGCTGGCCACAATAGTAGATCTCCTGTTTATGCTTGTTCCTTAGAGGTTCTCCATCTTTAGGAGGCCTCGTGTGAGCCCAGAGGGCTTTGTTGCCGCGCTTCCGCTTTGCTGGTTCGTCCTCCCCCCTTGCATCTGATCTCTTGCGCTCGTTTCGGGGTACTGGGTGTGATTCGAGATTTTCAGTGTACTCCGTGAGCTCGGAGACGCTGAATTCATCGTCTAAGGCCATATTAGCCTTCGTCACTGAGCTAGGTTGGCTGGCGGTGGTGGACGTGATCAAATTTGTGTGATTAACAGAGGAGGCCAGTTGACTATTTATTACTGGATGACTCAATCGAGCGATGCACGACCTGTAATATAAACGCACCATTGACAGCCAGGCAGCTAAGACACTTCGTAGGCAGCGTAGCCAACACAGGCAACCACAGAGATCAGTTTGAACTAATTAGGCAGCAGGGAAGCTTGGAATTATGTTGAAACGTTTGAAACCTTGAAACAAACATCTGGCTGGTTTCAATTGAAACATGGGAGGTCGGTTTCATTGAAACTGATGCGTTTTTTTCCATCACTGTCACGATGACGCTCTGTTCAAACTTATTGCCACCCGTCTGGTCGAGCCACACCACAGTCGCCCCCACCACAGGGCCAAAGAATCACAGTGTAGTGGTGGAGTGAGTGTAAGCTCATCCTAGCAGCAGCTCACAGCGGGCCAGCATGTGAGAATCACACCACTACAGAGCAAGAATGGACTGATCAGCATGTGAGAATCACACCACCACAGAGCAAGAATGGACTGATCGTAACAATGGCCATATATTAATCAGACTAAGTCGTTCCACAGAATCCTGGAGACCAAGAGCTTCATTGCCGAATCGCCTGGCTCCTCTTACTTCGGTCTCACAGCCAAATATATCCTTGACCGCATAAGCTGCTTGTCTAATGGAACCTGCAAAATCAGATTGGGGGGGGATTAATGATGGATCGTCTCGACTTTAAACCTGCCGTTCTATCACGAGAGCAGCAGCGGCTGCCCGCATCCTCATCACCCGAAGCTGCCTCGCCTCGCTGTTCGCCCAGGCCAGAGTCTTCAGGCAATGCCCGACCGTCGCCTTATAAGTCATTATCGCCGTCCCTTTCAACCCCTGATCGTCACACACCCAGCTATCTATCCAAAGGGACAGCGTCCAGCTTGGTCGAGGACTGGTACCACACGGACCTAAACGACAAGTTCGTGGCGCTTCACAAATGTCTTCCTCCGCTCTCCTTAGAATCCCATCAGCAGGAAATGAAAGAAACGGACAGCGAGGCTGACGAGCAAGACCAAGCATTCCTGGAGAAGGCATTTCTAAGACCAACGTCCCAGCGCAATCGTAGCAAGACGGTGATCCTCAGAAGGGCAACGGATTATATTATGGAGTTAGAGCAGAGGAATAAAAGCGTTTTGCAGGAAAACATGGTGCTGCAGAGCCGCCTAGCACCCCTCATCACAGCTCCGGACACTCCATCTCAGCCTCGACCTCCTCTCTCACATTTGCAGCCCTGGCTCTGTGAAGAGAACGATGAAGTGGAAAAGAAGGGAAAAGAGGGGGAGGTGCTGGAATTGTCTCATACTAAACGCGACATGAAAGTGATTCCAGGAGTGTCACAATTTCTGATGGATCTGGATCATAGGGATAAAAGCTCTTGATTTTCCTATCTAGTGAGTGAAGAAGGGTCGGCTTCTTATACATAAGATGAATTGAGCCTCCAGGGCTGGTGTTGAACTTGCTTTTTGAAGACATGACACCAACCTCTGGCTGGAAGTCCGGACTTCCGGGCTGCCGGCAGTGTTGCTAATAATATGGCAATAAAGTAGTATATTGCAATATACCCCATATGATATGGACTTTCTCATATTGTGACAATATAATATGAAGATTTTGATATTGTGACAATATAATATGAGGATGTCCATATTGGCAATATATTATTTATATTGGGTTCAGTCCTGGGGCGAATTTGCCTCTTGACAGTAGCCGGACAGGCCTTACCCTACACCAGCGACAGGGATACTTGGCTTTTTATTGGCTGGCATTCACTTCGACAACACGTCTTCGTTGACAATCATTGAATGAATGAAATTTATTCCGCCCGGGAGGACTAACCTCATAGGGCCAAGTGCGCTAAGCTATTTACGGTTCTTAAGTTTATCGGTTCGCGTCTCCCAGACCACGCGTTTCTTCCACGCGTCAGAGAAGGCATAGCCGGTACAATCCGCGAACCGGAAAAGAAGAGTGGCGCTGCAAACATTGTGACAGATTGCAATTCTGAACGGGTTTATGGCTTTACAAGCGCCCTTGCATAGTGGCTAGAGGAGGCGCAGCAGAAAAACTACCCGAGCCTGAGCAAGATGGCCGTGGATATACTGTCAATTCCTGCAATGTCTGCGGAGCCTGAACGACTCTTCCCTGGGGCAAAGATAACGATTACAGACCGTCGAAATCGACTTGGGAGTGATGTAATTGAAGCATTGGAGTGCCTGAAGTCATGGTTTGGGATACGAGATTTTCAAGGTGCGGTTTAGCGATGGGGTCACGTGGAATATATTGGATGTATTGTCACACTGCCAATATATTGGGTTCTTGGCAATAAATACAATATGGGTCCTGTTCATATTGGGTAATACAATATGCACCTCTTGACAATACAATAATATTGCGAGGGTGTCCATATTGCCAATATCGTATTGTTTATATTATTAGCAACACTGGCTGCCGGTCTGAACAGCTGGAAGACCTTCCGGTTTGATCAAATGTATGACTTTTTAGTCTGTTGGATGTGACAAGGTCAGGGTTCAACGACAGCCCTGCGACCACCTGGGATTCCTAAGGGATAAACCTAGGTCTGGGGTTTATTGGGGCGTTATCCTGAGTGTAGGCATCACGTTGGTGATGATCTCAAGGAGATGCAAATAAATGATCGTGGATAGCTAAGGAGTGTAGATACATGATGAAGGAAATTGGGGAGGGTCTATATACACCGATTTTTCCCTTGGATCACCTTGTTCCCTTAAACTCACACTGCTGAGCTTCCTTCCTTTCTGGTGGGCCATGCCCTCATTGACTTGTCGGTCCGTCCATTTACCCTGGTCGGCCGTTCCAGATCTAGCCTCCAATTTGATTTGATTTGGAAATTTGGATAGCCCCACTTTTCTCCCAAGATGATACACACAGAGCTGCTCCTGCATATAATATAAAATACTACGTCACCCCATGCACATTGGAGCGGCGATGGGGTGCATGGGGTAGCCTCAGCCGAAGGCTGTGTGTCCGCGGGCTGGGAAGCTATTCCTACTACTGCATTATCTACGTACTGATCCATTGCCATGGCCATTCTTGGTATTATGTGACATGTACGGATTCCGTGTGAGCACCTGTCGTTTCCTAAGCTCCTGATCCCTCATCTTCATCTTCATGCCATCCGGGGGAGACCCGTAGACCAGGTGATTACGATCAAATGGTGCATCCAACATCAGACCCTCGAGCGTTTTCACGCGAGAGACAGCCACGTAGCTTAAACCAGTCTGAAAGTCCCGGCAGGACAGATCTGTAACTATCATGTCTTCGGTGATGCTTTGTGACTTGTGCACGGTAATTGCGTAGCATACGATCAAGGGAAACTGGGTGCGAGCGCAGAGAGTGGCTCCGATGAGGAAGTCCCTCTCCACTGGGAGAATCGGCACAATCTTCCTGCCATCAGCGGTGGTCAGGAATACCGGTCCGCTGTATTTGTCAAACTCCATCATGATAACACAGGGAGGGTCTTGGATGGGGTCGGCCCCAGGACCCAGGTGCCCAGCCGATATCGTAAACTGTGCCGCGAGCGCCGTTGCAGAGGCCAACTGGCTGCCAAAGGTTGGACGTCAGCATCAGACGGGAGCCAATGCATATGGGGATCTGCTTCGCAAGGTTGCCCGCCTTGTCATCAGGCGCAGCAGCCGCGCCGGGGCCGACGTTCTTAGCCATGACCTGGATGACTGGCCGGCTGAGGCGGTCGAGGTGATAGTGGTTATATTCGTTCACCCTATCTTTAGTAGCGTATACTCGTAAAGCGTTGACAAACCTTGCGACCTCTTGATCGTCTAGTTTTGCCTGTACGCGGTTGGAAAGGAGCTTCCAGGACTCCACGTCTTCGTCCCCTGGTTCGGAATCGCACTCTACCCCTAATTGCTCGAGATACCTCCGAGGCCGAGCAGGCGAGAGAAGCAAATTGAAGTAGCCCTCGGCGTTATTGGATTCAGAGAATTCCCCCTTGTCACCCATATTTATCCCGTCCCGTTCTGGATGTGCGCCATGACCGTCGGCTAATCCAGTGGTTAGCCTGCACAACGACGACGATCACGGCCAGGGATACCTTCTTCAGGCTCATCAGGAACTCCAGAGACGCCCAGTTGAGATATCGAGGGAGTCAGGGAGACAGTCTCCCCCGCACGGCGCCGTGAACGATGGTCGTGCTGTATAGCCACCTGCCTTGCCTTCGCCTCAGCCTTGGAGGCATCATCTTGTGAGTCTTTCCCGCCCTTATGGAACCTAGAAGCTAAGTAAGAGTACTCAGCATCAGTTGTGCTGCTTGGGACAGTAGATGGATCAGAATGTGACGCGATTTGATCGGTCGTTGGCTGTACGGTCGGTGAGGGAGCAAGAGTCCGGAAGTTGCGCAAGCTTTGTTGGGTTGGTGGGATTGGCGTCCCCAGCACCACCTGCGGCTGGCTAATCGGCTCTTCAAATAACCTCCTCGCCGTGTGAAGTTGCCGTAGCCTCTGGGGAAGTAGGCTGGGTTCCGGATCTCTCGTTCGGAGGCGAGAGGCCGGCATCACCGTCGGTTCTCTTCCGGGCAGGTCTTTCAGCTGAGGAAGAACGGACGGCGAGCTTCCTCAATATTTGGATCGCGCTTCTGGATCTGGAATTCTTTATTCAGTTAGTGTTGAATGCTCTTATGGTCTTACGGAGTGGGGAGACAGAGCTGACATGAGAATTGCACTGACTACGACAGCCGAGGCAGTTTTTGGTTTTCCCAGCAGATTTCCGTTTGCTGACGAAGTCACCCGCCGGTTTCTCCTCGCCACAGCGGGCACAGACGATGGAAATCAAGTCATCTTGAAGCCCTTGAGGAGTAGACTTAGGACTCATTACTTAATGAAGCACGCATCAAGACGCGTTGTTTCAATGAAATTTCTATGTCAAGCGAAGCGCAAGTAAACAAACCAGGGGTGCTGCGAGCCGCAGAAAGCTAGGCCCACTTCTTAGCAGCCATTGTCCAGTTGTTGCACGTTTTGCGACCATCCATACAAATTGTTGGCCAATCAGAACCCGGGAAACTTATTGACCCCTGTCTGCACCAAACCCTTAATGTAGAGTCAGCCTTCGGCTGAACAAATTCAAAGTTGTGGGCTCAGGCCCTCTGGGAGCATTACCCCTTTAGGGAAGGCGTCGCGCTATTAAGCGCGTCCAGTGGGCCTGAGTGCCTGAGGTAATAAGCTCCGGTCCTCAACTGTAGTCTTAGCTCGTCATCCATCTTTCTACATCTACATGACAACCTCACTTTATGTGACCTCCGCGGTATATTCGCATCACTCCGTGACCATCTTTCATACCAGGAGGGTGTTCAGCGTGTAGAAGCCCCAAGTTCTATTCTCAATAAACACGGGATTTTAAACCTGCAACGGGCAGAATCGAGGGCGCAACAGATGCGCTATGAGCTGAAACAGAGCGCCCGTCCAAGGCAGGCCGGCTTTAAATCCTCTTGCTCCTGCACTGTCATCATACGGTCGATACAGTCCAACTCAGCTTTCCTGCGCTCTGGACCTGGTCGATACGGCGACTCTCAGAGCATCCAATAGTCCTGATGCTTGGGTGCGTTTAGAAGCTGGCGGCGGCATTGACACGGCCGCACCTCACGCGGGGTTCGATGGGCACGAAGGTCGAGTCGAATAGTCGATCACGGGGCCGGAGGGTGTTTTCGACTCGAGCTTAACCACCAAGTCCGGGGGCGAGATGTCCAGTTGGCCCAGTATCAAATCACGCAGTGCTGCCATGAAAGAGTGTATAGATTGATACTCTCCGGTCGGCGCACCTTCTACGATACTAACGGTCAGCTCTCTGCTAATCTCTTCGACGGACGACCTTGTTCTGTTTCCTGAGAAGCTGGCTCTTCATGGCTCTTCGCTTCTCTCGCCCTGAGGGAGCTGGACGCTCGGAGCAGACTAGATAAACACCGCGCGCTGCTAGGTCGGACCGCCTTCTGGGATGGGATCTCTGACAGCGGAAATAGAAAGGCAGCCAGCAAGAACTCGCAGAGCGCGGCTGGCAGGATGTCAGTATTTAGGAATAATATGTAGAGACTGGGATAACTGACCTCCGAGCAGCCTCTCCTGGTTGGATATCTCAGTGATGGCGGCTCGGTATTTTGAATGGAAACTGATACGGCCTGGCGCACGATCTGAAACGTCCCTCCTCCACGGATTCCCTTGCGTTCCAAACGACCAGGGAAGTCTACCGAATGCAACCCTGAAGAGACTAACGCCCAAGGCCCACACATCAGTCCTCCCGTCGTATTCCGAACTTTCGTGCTCCGGGGAGTGAAATCCTATAGTTCCATTGGTGCCCGGTCGAGCTGGGATGGTCTTCCTCCCGTGGTGGATCTTCTCGATCGAGTCGAGGTCGAGAAGAACAGCGCGGAGTGGACGTGGAGGGAGTTCTGATGAGGCTTCATTGTGGGCGTGATCCAGCCGCAGGTTTACGAGACCAATGTTTGTCGGCTTGATATCTGTGTGGACGAAGTCGTGGGCGTGCAGAAAGGATAGGCCTTGGAGACAGTCGCGGAGTATCAGTTCCAGTTTTGTGCGGCTACCACCGTCAGTGACCTGAGCTTGTAGTCGTCAAGATAACCTTACTGCGTTTGTAATGGTACCTTGTCCAAAGTGATGTCGACAAAGGGTTCTAGCACGATATGAAACTCGTGTATGTTGCCTCCCATGTGGATGGACTCAACGCAGGTCAAAATGTTGGTCTGCCTCTCCATGGTGGCAATCTGCGAGATGGACTTGATCACCTCGATTTTCTCACGGATAGGCTGCGTATTCCCAGCCTTCTCCAGAGTCTTGATCGCCACGAGCTTGCCATCCGGACCAGTTGCCGGCCGCACTCGTCCGAAGGAGCCCTTGCCGACCATGCCGGCCGCAGTGATGGTGTACGACCCGATGGTCTGGGCATTCATCGTGGGGGTGGGCGTCGCGAGAAGGGCTTCTTTGGTTGGCTGGTCATCCCCGTGGATGGCAGTCAGATAGTCACGGAGCCTCGCTTGGCCTTCGGAACGCCGGCAGTGTGGTGTATACTCGAGTGTGTAACGTAGATCTCCCAACGAGATGGAGTTTTCTGCATTTGCACAGGCTACAGTACTCCCTTGAGAGCTTACCGAGGTATTGTTGATAACAGCAGAGTCGCCAAAGTCGAGACTGACGCAGGCCATTTGTGTTTCTTTCGAAAACGAGATGAAAGCATGTCGTCGAGCGAGTTGCGTTTTCCGCGATATCGTCAGTAGCAGGTCAACGACAGGCTGTCCCAAGGCGACATTCTTCTTACTTAGGCGCCCTCCAGACCACCCCAGAGAGTGTATAAGAGGTGAGGTGTCCGGATCCAGGAAGTAGAATCCAGTCCAGATAGTCACCGGAGGCGACGAGTGTTCGCTCGAGGAGGAGGGTGAAGAGCTTCCAACACTCCTTCTCTGGTTCACTAGACGTGTGACGGCAGGATCAGAAACCTGCTCGTCGGCGAACCAGATAAATTGCGCGTAGTGAGACTGAATGCGGACCAGGTTCTCGTCATCCCGGTGAGTCTGTTCCTGGATGAAGTCGACGACCTCGGAGAAGGCCAATTTAGCAGCGGCATTTTCTGGTCGCAGGATGACGAGAGCACGGCCGGCTGGAGAGTTCGCCCCAAGAGGATCCCAGTTCGTGGCATTGCTGCTTGGAGACGCCATGCCGGTAGTTGATCTGGAACGGAGGCCGGGGTGAATGGCGGGAGTCGGGACTTCGTCGGCCGGCGGGCTGATGGAGCGGATTAACTTTCAGCCGGACCATCACGTGAGGAAGTGACATCTCCCGGAGGAACCATAATCGACCCCGGGAAAAATTCGAAGCACGTGATTCGGTGTATGGTTACTCCACCTCCGAAGATTTGTTTACATGCTCGCGTTTTGGCCAGTGGCACCCGACTTCGTCCTCTTATCTTCGCGCCTCTCTTTCCAGACCTCTCGTTCAAACTCTGCCTATTGTCCTGGTGAATCAAGATGGACGCCAATTCGACAAGTCAGTCTTGGTGCTCGAAATGTAATGCATTTCGTGATTCCGGGAGCTTCGAGAGGAACAAATCCGGCAAAATAAAGAAGCTGTGCAACCGGCACGGGAAAAAGAGAATCCCGTTTGATGACTGGGACATTTTCGAGAAGCAATTACGCGATTGGAATTGCCCAGTAAGCTATTCATTCAATTGCCTGTTCTCCTATTAACATTTTGCAGAACCAAAAACTCCCTCTGAACCTCGAATGTACCTTCGACATTGATAGTCTACCTATTGCATTTGGTTCCCTCGAAGACGACGGCACGTTTGATCGGACTAAAATAAACAACATAATCAGTAAACTTGCCGAGATAATTTGGGAGAAAGGTGGTTTTCGATTTTGGCACCGAAAGACATACTGGGCCGATCGTGCGTGGATTTATTTCTGTTCCCAAGATGAAGAGCGTGTTCGGGAATCTGTAGCCCAAGGGAAACGCGATACGCCACGAATGGCACGGTTCCCATGCAAAAGCCGCCTAACGTTTAAGCCGGCGCTTGGGGATCGTACATTGGCCGTCAATCTGCAACATATATACCATACGCCATATACAGATCGCCAGCTTTCTCCGGCAGTGGTCGAGTTCATCCAGGCACGAAAACTCCTGGTGAGATATATCGAAATTTGCAAACGTCACAGCCGTTAGGGTGGCAATCCGCAACTCCATCTCAGGTCTATTACCTATGGCAACAATCGAACTCAAGCATATGGCGTCGCGACCAAGATCCTTTGGCTTCAGCCCAAATTTTGCTATCGGAGCACCAAGAATGTACTTCATCTTTGTATTTTTCAGAGAATTTACGTGCAATAGCATTCTACGTTTCGGATGCTATCCGTATTCTGGCTTCTCGTGCGAAAGAATTGGCTATAGATGCAACTTTTGGGACGAACAACATGGGCATGGACTTATTTGCGGTCTTGGCGGAGGTTGATGGCACAGGGGTGCCATTAGCTTATTGCTTTACGGAGCTCTTCAAGGACAACGATCGAGGCGTTCGCCGTGCAAAGCCAGGGGCATCGACGGGTATTCTGGAACAATTTTTACGACCACTTCAAACTTCTGGATTTGATCCGACCTTCTTTGGGACTGATAAGGACAGTTCTGAGATCTCGGCAATACGCCAGGTATGGCCAGGGACGACAATCCAGCTTTGTTGTTGGCACGCGCGGCGGGCCGTCCGTACGAAACTCACTTCTACTCGTCAAACCGATTCCCAGGGGGACTACAAACCCGAAGAAGCCCAAGCAGTGATTCCGGACTTAGAAATCTGCTGGGGTTCAATGCCAACACGTCGTCCAAATGGACCTCATCGATATGGTCGATGTACTTGCCCCTCGAAATCAACGGATATTGTTTCCTCTGGTCGAGTAGAAACATCAACCAGCGACGAACAGGATACCGTCCTCGAGATCTTTACTCGCCACTATAATTCCCACCCATTCATCCCCGATCAAAATGGTACTTTCCGATCTGCAGAGGAAATTCATCGTCTCAGTGCTTCGGAAATGTATTATTGGTGTAGGAAGCGGAATTACTTTCGTTTATGGGCCTATCTTTGGGTCAATTGGTATCACCCAAGCCAATGGGTTTTGTGGGCGAGATCAGTCAATGAGAAGGAAATTCCGGTCCTCAAAACGACAATGATTGTTGAATCGCATTGGCGAAAAATTAAACACGATTACCTCCATCGTTTTAATCGGCCTCGAATCGACCTTGTCGTCTGGGTACTTCTTTCACGATTGATCCCCAGTGCCATGATACGGATGCGAGCTCTCCTTCAACACGATCATCGACAAGCAACAGCATCGTGGAGGAAGGACTTCAAAAGAGAATGGAAAAAGGTAAATGGACGCCTAACCGACCGAACTCGCATTCAGCACTATCACACCGACCCTGCACGATGGACGTGTGCATGCCCTTCTTTCTTAGACTCGCGTTTTTTACTCTGCAAACATATTCTCTCTTGTTATGAGCCGGTTTCCGATCGCGTTGACTTCTTTCGATCTATTCAAAGACGCCGAGAACCCCCGTTTTGGACTCATGCACAGTTAGTTTTACAGCCTCAATATCAGCCATTGCAAGCTGATACTAAGGCTGATGAAACAAACGATGTTGACATGGACGGCGCTGTTAGCATTGACTCAGATGAAGATTTTGATCCTGCAATAGTTGAGCAGGATCAACTGGTTGAGCTCGAAGAGGAAGGGGAGGACGTCGAAGTAGATGGCAATAAGTTTGCTTCAAATATGCAGTTCGCTCTAGATGTATTTCGAGAACAACAAGCGAAAGGGAACGAGAAGTTCGTGCAAAAATTCATGGCGATGTATGGATCGATTGAGACTCTCGTCGAGGAAGTCAAGGCGCTTGAAAACCGACGCACAATGCGTCGGACTTGGGATACTTGGAAACACCCTTTAACAATGTATCATAATTGACAACAGACGCGGGTTAGAGGCATAGATTGACTTGGCGCAAAGATTGACTTGGTGCAAAAAAGAACTTGGCGCGAAAATGAACTTGGGTTGCCTGGAAAAATATTTACCCGCCAAAAGTTCACGTGCTCGAATTTTTCCCGGGGACGATTATGGACGGTCACATCTCCCCTCCTCGTCGCCAGCTGACGCAAATTCCTCGAAACAACAAACGTCGCCTGGACGGTCCAATTCACCACCGGTCGCCAACGTCCAAACCCGCCATGACGGCCAGCAAACATATGCCGCCATGATCTACAGCGTTGAAAGTAATTTCTGATCTCAAGAAACTCCCCGCCCGCGTCGAGAAACACGCTCAGAGCGACACCGCGAATGACGGTCGCAACTCCGCACCTCAGCTACCGATGGACGCACTGGCTCGCCTTGGCCTTTGAGAAGGCAGGAGGGGTATGCTTCCCGACCCAGCAATCTTGTTTCGTTTGGCTGATCATGTCCAGAGCCTCCCATGCCCCGTCTCGTCACAAGGTGCCCACCTCGTCCACCCGCCGCCGACGCCAGCGCTGCGAGATGCCCCCATCGATCCCACTTTCGCCCAGACCCTCACGGACCGACTAAACAAGCTTGTTCGAAGACAGGAGATCCGCGTCAATATGTACGGCGCTACTTTTGCGGAGGAGTGGCCGATCTCGCGCACGCCGATGCAGGAGGCGCGTGAGGCCAAGGCGAGGGTGCAGCAGTTTCACGAGCAGCAGCTGCGCCTCGACTCGGATTCGCCCTCGGAGTCAGAGGAGGATGTCCCGAATGTCCGTCCACAGCTGCCATCGCCGGTCGGTACAGAAGATGGGGAAGAACGCGTGTCGGCTCAACCAACGGCTCAGTTTGTCAGATCGTCTCGGGCGCACCCTCCGCTCAAGCGCAAGCGAACGGTTTCGACCCTTCCGACTTCGGCCGATCGTCGGACCAGTAGACGATTGAGACCGCGCCGACAGACGTGAATGAGACGGGTGGACAAGGCTGAAGCAGAGGGGTGCAGCGACTCGTGCATATGGATGCAACGCCAAATGCCGCTCAATTTTACAGGCGATCGGCCTGTTGACTCGACGGCCGTAGATTATCGCGTGTCAGTGGCCACGGCCTGTCGGTATATACCAATTGAGGCGTGTTGAGCTGCTCGTACTAAGGCGCAATCGTGATTTCACCGTGTTTTATGCTGTTGACGTGACCGGTAGAGGGAACTGCATCGAGGCCGGGGTTGATGATTGACCCATTCTCCGTCGATCGAAGCATCACGGAAGAGCCTTGGGTTATGAAAGGACTTCTATCCAAGGGGAGTTGGACATGATGCAGTTGCCTCTTATTCTCTGCGTCAACACAGGGCGGGACCCCCCATCTCGATACCTCATGGTCGTCCATAAAGCATAGAGCAAACAGCCGCAATGTTCAAGCTGACGACACAGGCTCAAGCTGGTTGATGGTTACCGATGACTGCGCTGCGGCGGAACCTTGCATATGCCAGTGACGACGACTTCTTTCTGGACAAACACACCTTGGAAGAGATTGAGGGCCTTGTCAATAAAGCCAAGGCCAACAAGTCCGAGACTGATAAAACGGCCGACAAGCTCAGGCACCAGGCCCAAAAGGCCGAGGCCGAAACCCAGAACGACCTTCATCAAGCCGCACAGGCGCACAACGATCACAAAGAGGCCGAAGAGAGAGTCAAAAAAGCCAACGCCGAGTCAGTGGGAAGCCACTGTGGACCGTGTGAAGAATGCAACTGATGTGCGGGATGTGGAAGAAGATGTCGTTGATGGCTCGGATGATAAAGACGAGGAAGGCTCGTACGGCATTGAATGAGCGTGATATCTTATGAGTCGTGCTATTTGTACAGCCCTGTTTTGCTAATCGTACAGCTCGTCACGTGAAACTCGGTAATTTCTTCCTTCTTTCCTTACCTTCCCCTCTACATACCAAAAAATCTATGACAACTAGAGGTGACTAAGAATCACGCAAAAAGTCTCTTAGCCTAGGTCCAAAGACCTGACCACAATCTCATCTCGAAGGGGCGATTGAGTGACCGGGATGAAGTTATCGCCGGACGGCGTTGGTGCTGCTGAGAGCCTCGAGCTAGCCCGGGTTCCCCTTCCCCTTGTATTTGTAGCTGTTCGTGATCGAGTCGATGACGGCGTTGAAGCCTGTGTCTGTGACGGCGTTGAAGCCCGTGATGTGGGCAAATCCGCCCCGATAGAAGTCTTGAAGGAAGTTAAAAAGGTCATTAAATGTGTGAAAATTCGGCGATCGGGGCAGTGGCGGGATTTTTGTTGATCTGGTTGATGGTCTAGGATAGGACTGCGCGTTGTCCGTAGGGAAATCGAATTCGCTCTACGACGAGCCAAGGAAGCAGCCAAGGAGTACCACGACGCCATACGGAGCCAGAAGAAAGCACATTGGGACGACTTCTTGGCCGCAGATGTGAACATCTGGAAGGCGGCCAAGTATCTCGAACCTAGCAAGGACACCATGGGCGACAAGTTGCCACCATTGAAGAGGGGAGATGGATCTATGACCAAGTACAAGGCAGAACAAGCCGATGAGCTGCTCGGCACGTTCTTCCCTCCCTTGCCAGCGAGAATCGAAGATGAAGGAGTGAGACAACAGCGGAAAGTGGTGCCCATGCCGGCTGACCCTGGAAGAAATTGAGGAAAAGGTCATGGCAGCAAAACCGTGGAAAGCACCCGGCGATGATGGCCTCCCGGCGATGGTGCGGAGACGACTCTGGCCGGTGGTAAAGTACCGGGTGTTAGCTCTCTTCGTTGCGTCGCTCAGAGACGGCATAGTACCTCACCAATGGAGAAGTGCGAAAATCATCCCGCTGAAGCAGCCTGACAAGGGAGACTACACGGTAGCGAAGGCGTGGCGACCGATATCGCTTTTGTCAACACTTGGTAAAATAATGGAAGCGGTCGTCGCTGAGCGCATCTCCTATGTTGTAGAGACTTACGGGCTCCTGCCCGCAAACCACTTCGGAGCGAGGAAGCGACGGTCGGCCGAGCAAGCGCTCCTGCTCCTGCAGGAACAAATGGAGAGATCGCAAAGTGCTGAGCTTGATCAGTTTCGATGTCAAAGGCGCCTACAATGGAGTGTGCAAAGAGCGACTACTCGAGAGGATGAAGGCGAGAGGGATACCAGACAGACTGGTCAGGTGGATGGACGCCCTCTGCTCCGGGCGTACAGCCTCGGTGGTGGTGAACGGGCACACATCTGAGCAGCGGGAGCTACCCCAAGCAGGTCTCCCCCAGGGATCGCCTCTGTCACTGGTCTCATTCCTCTTCTTCAACGCAGATTTGGTGCAGAGAAGGATTAAGGCGGAAGGTGGCTCAATTGCTTTCGTGGACGACTATTCGGCTTGGGTGACCGGCCCGACCGCGGAGGCGAACCGGGCAGGTATTCAGTCGATCATTAACGAAGCGCTCGAGTGGGAGAGACGCAGCGGCGCAACGTTTGAAGCTGACAAGACGACAGTCATCAACTTCACGCGTGTCACCGCGCGCAACAGTGACATGCCATTTTTGATCAAAAGGAACGAGGTCAAACCTAAAAACAGCGCAAAAATTCTGGGAGTAGTTATGGACGCGGGCCTGCGGTACCAGGAGCACATCGCTAGAGCCGCCGCCAAGGGACTCACCGCCGCCATGTGTCTGAGAAGGTTGAAAATGCTGTCACCGAGGGTGGCGAGACAGCTATTCGTAGTGACGATCGCGCCGGCGATGGACTATGCCTCTAACGTCTGGACGCACGCTCGCCGTGCGAGAGAAGCTGCCGGCTGTACAAAGCCCAGTTGGTGGGAGCGAGCGTTCCGTACTGTTGGAACAGCGGTGGCCGAGGCCGAAGCCAGTATCCAGACGGTAGAGGAACGACACAGACAAGCCGCAACAAGATTCTGCATCAACCTTCGGACCCTTCCGAAGACACACCCGCTGGCAGCTTTGAAGAACAAGGCAAGCAAGCGATTTATATCACCAATGCAGAAGATTGTCTCGGCGGTGGGAAGGGTCCACACGGATCGAATGGAGGTTATCCACGAGTATGCGGTGCCTCCATGGACCAGCCGCATCCTAGTGGTGGGCGAGGACGACCTAGCGAAGGTGGTCAAGGCACCAAACGACGTCGATGGCATCATCATAGCAACGTCTAGCTCGCAGAAGGGCGGCATAGTGGGAATGGGAGGCGTCGTGTGCGACGCAACTCGCAACAGCGCAGGCGAGATGGTTTCCAGCTATTCGGTCACTATCGGGCCCGGAGATGAGCAGAATCCGTACACAGCGGAACTAGCAGCAATAGCGATGGCGCTGAAGTGCACGCCGCCCAGGCTTCCGTGACGGTCATGACGAGCAATCGCTCGGCCGTGGAAGTTATCAGGAGGCCTAGGCAGCAATCCGGTCAATGCACTATCCGTCAGATATACGACCGCACCAAGTGCCTTCAGAAAAGAGGCTGTTCTGTTAGACTCATGTGGGTGCCGGCTAAGGCCGAAGGTTTTATATTGGGACCGATGGCCAAGGCAGCAGCGCAGAGAGCCACCAAGGCAGAGGGCATGCTAGAGGCACCGTCGTACCAAGCAAGGTCCACAACACTTCGACTGTCGCTCCTCCAACAACGGCAGTGTGGGCGACTTCCGGAAGGGGTTGGACAGTACTCGAAGCGCATCGACAAGGCGCTGCCGGGCAAGCACACCCGTGCACTATACGACTCACTAAAAAGAAAAGAATCGGACGTAATAGCGCAGCTTCGGACCGGGATGATGCGACTGAACAGTTATCTTCACAGGATAGGGGCAGCGGAATCGGACATATGCGATTGTGGACAAGCAGCAGAGACGATTGAGCACTTCCTCTTCCGATGCAAAAAGTGGAGAATGCAACGGGAAGCCATGTTTAAATGCTCACGAACAAAGATTGGGAATTTGTCGTTCTTCTTGGGAGGAAAAGCTGCGTCGGACGACGAAAAGTGGAAGCCAAACATGCAGGCCGTGCGTGCGGCAATCAAATTTGCTATCGCGACAAACAGGCTCGATGCGGACCAGCGGCATCAGCAAACTAACCTCTAGCGTGCGACTATACTAACAAAAAGCAGCCTCGATTTTGGCAGGCCGTGCTTCAGCTGCCGAAGATGGGATGCTGAACACTTGCAGAATTTGGCCTTCAAGCAGGCCTGTCATGGAACAAGCAGCGACGAGGTTGAGCAGCAAGCGATGAGACGACGATCCGTGGGGCTTGGGGTGTCAGGTACCAAATGTTCTGAAATGTGAACTAGATTGTGTCAAGGCCCTATAGGGACTTCCCTCCGGGCGAAATAAAATCAATCCAACCGTAGTCGTCACAGAGGAACCAGGCAAAATTTCGGGCAGGGCTTGGCTAGGAGCCCTGTAACGGTCGGTTCCTTGCTTGGCGGCCGCCACCAACACCAAACCCCGGCACCCACAGGCGATACAAGGCCATGACAACAGCGCATCAGAAAACGGCCACTCCTCGTAGTTCACAATGGCAGCCAACCCAGCCTCCTCTCCAGCCGAAGAGGCAAGGGTACCAGTGCTCGCCCTGTTGTGTTTACTGGTAGCGCGTGGTCGGTGTTTTGGAGGCGGTTTGAGCTGGCGCCGTGTACCCATCTGCCTGCGGGCAGGGAACGCAACTTTCCGTCGTTTGTGTGATGGCATATCTTCATCGCCGCCTTCAGCCTTTCCTTCTCCGATAGAAACCCTTTTGGCCGGGGAAGAACGATGACTGCGCATGCTACCAAGTGCCGTGTGGTTTCGCAATTGCGTCTGCCCTTCCTCACCGTCAAAATCGGCGCCATTAGGCTGGCTCGCCCAATGGTTGATATTCCGAGGCTCCCCGGCGCAGGTCTGACCGCTCTGAGACCGCTCTGAGACAAGGCCTACATGGTATGGATATGCGCAAAATCCCCTGTCAGCTGTCCCTACTCTCTCACTGTAGCAGAAATCACCGAGCGACCGACCGCGAATTAGGGCAACCTTGGCCGCCTTGTGTCACAAGGCGAATCCAGGCCATGGCACTGCCCCCTTTGGCCAGGGCGGGGGCGGCTTTCAAGGCTTCTCGGAACAGCGTTGCGATTCCCCGACCGGCATCTCAAGGCACCCATATCCCAGTGTTCCATACTCCTTTGAATCAACCAACCTCTCTTCGAATGTTACAGCGACTTGGACTGTACGTCTAGCGATGGACAACTGGTGGCGCCCAGATCCGCCAGGGACCATTAGCCCAGCAAAGCTCACCTCATGTACACCAACTACCTCCGAAGCCCTGACCGCTCCTGAAGCCGCCCACCAAAGAGTCCCATCAGCAGCACCGACCCCGACGATACCTCGTTCAATTGCTCCCCCTCTTCCTCGAATATCTTCCGACTGGGATCCTGAACACGATATTGTGGTGCGTGGGAACTTGGGACATCAGGATATTCGGAAGGAGTTTGAGGACTCTCATGTCGCGAAGCGGCGCCTGGCTGCTACGAGAGCGAGGCACACTTCGCACCATGGCTATTTTCGGAGGCAGACTGACGGTAGGGCGAGCCTGCGTGTTCCCGTTGATCTGGGAGCACGTGCCGATGCCACGGTCTTGATAGATAGGGCTACGGCGTCGATATATGATGTTTACCTCCTACGGGCCGACATCTCGAAGAACGAGAACTTCTTCCGGAGGCATCAAGTACGTGAGAACGCATGCACATGTATAGACGATGTTAAATTACTAACGAGAAGCTCTACAATAGATAGTATTCAACCCAGAGGCCAAAACCTACACGCTCTTGACTCGGGAAGGTCGCGTTGGGCTTCAAGGCGTAGGCAGGCAGGAAATGGAGGAAACCGATCTAAAGCCCGTCATTGCTAGGTTCCGCAAGATATTCCGCAACAACACGGGCCTGGCATGGAACCGAAGATACGAATCCCCTTTCATCCCGAGCTGGCACTTTATGTTCGTCGAGCTGGACTACCGCGGGACCGTCGCATGCCCCAAGGAAGTCCCAAATTACGCAATGATCGACGCCAGGATTACGGAGGAGGTGAGGGATTTGATGGAGCTTATGCTCTATGGCGGTTCTATGCGGAAACATAATGGCGGCGAGAGCCCAAGCACGTCGAGACCCTGGCCGCCATTTAGCGCTCCGTACGAGCAGCTCAGTCCTTGGTCCATCTTCTTGGCATTCAAGATTCTGGAGCGTATCTGGAAATACCTCGAGTCCGTGCGCCCCATCCACTGGAAGGCCATCCTCAGAGCGTCGTCGTTGTATCGCAGCCGGATCCCCTTCTGCGCAGGGCACGACCGCCCCCCAGTGATATCAAGCTATCATGCCATCTTCCTCGAACTCAAATTCCTCCACTCGCTCCATCCGCGGCAGGAAATAGCCAACATGCTAGCCGACGTCCACCGCCGAGGTTCCCTCCAGCTCAATGCACATAAGGCCCTCGCCCAGCCGCTGTACCAGGCCTACAGCTCTCTGCGGCATGGCTTCCGCCGCCTGACGGATGCTTCGACGCTCGAGTTCCGGGAACTAAAATATTACCTAGAAAATTCCTGTCATCGCACGCATTGTCGGATCCTGGAGCTCCAGGACATCTACCGAGTCTTCGTTAAGGCTAACCTGCCAAATCCGTACTGCGACTGGATCAAGGCAAAGCAAGGCCACGATGTCTGTGGCGAGGAGAGACTCCTACTGTGGCACGGCACGCCACTCGACTCTCTGCTGGGTATCCTCGACCTGGGGCTACAGATCCGCAGGCGAGGGGCTAGCTTCACGGGGGCCATGTTCGGCAACGGCATCTACCTCGCCGACGTGTCAAGCAAGTCGGCGGGCTATTGCAAGCATGAATTGTGGGGCGGCGAGGCGGTGATACTCCTGTGCGAGGCCGACATTGGGGCGCGGCGGATCCGGAGCCTGACGAGCATCAGCGATGGACACGAAGCCATCGAGAAATCGGGCGGGCAGCAGAGGTGTATTGAAGGGGTAGGGAGGGTTCGGCCTTCGAAGTGGAAGAAAGTTGGGTGGGAGATGGGAGGACTGCCCTGCACGGGCGAGGAGATGGTTTTGATGGTTTGTAGATTGAAATTCTTTCTCCTCCTTCTCTTCCTTCCATTTTATTGCATGTGGTTATTTGAGAGGATTTCGAGACTAACCCGTGCGTGACTTTATAGCCCGACACGACGGTTCCATACAGTGACACATTTTCAGGGGGGAGCTTGGCGTTCCATGAATATGTTGTTTATAATCCTTCGCATGTGCTTATACGGTATCTGTTTCGGGTGAAAGTTAAAGAATAGATAATTGCGTGTTGGATGGGAAAGGGAAGAGAAGCAGCCAAACTCACGAAGTGGGGGTTCAGGGCCGCCACTAGAACACCAGACCTTCGGACCGACTCAGTCCACCCAGACCGACCGGCGGCTCCGGTCGGTCGGTCTGTTGACAATTGCCGGTCGGTCGGTCTGCGGTCTGTCAGACGGTCAGTCTGTTAGCCACACTGTCCACCACCGTAACGCCTGCGAGGAGATTGAATGGGGCGTCGGCAGGGCATCAGTTCTATTGTATAATAATACTTTGCCCTAGGCCTGGTGTCCCTGGTGATTGCTTGCTTGCCCAGTTCGTAGTTCCAGCTCGTCCTCCCAAAAAGCTCTATGCATTGGGCCATGGTCCTGGCTCAAGCTATCTTAGGCAGGGATGGACATCTTACGAATCTATCGAATCGAACGCCAAGCCTTGGCGTTCGAATCGAATGTGACCCCGTAGATTCGAATCGAATCGGACGCATCTCCCACAGATTCGTATCGAATCGAACGTGCCACAATTCTTGTCCTGTAGATTCGACTCGAATCGAACACATCTCCCGCAGATTCGTATCGAATCGAACGCGCCACAATTCTTGTGCCGTAGATTCGACTCGAATCGAACATGTCTTCCGTAGATTCGATATCTATCGAATGCCAAGATTCGATCGAATTCGATTCGAACTCGATCGAACGTAGAACTAATCCCGGCGGAGACCGAAACACCAATAGGACCTAGAACCAAATGGACCGTCGTCATCATCACCAGGCCGTCATGCCGTCATACCCCGACAGAAGAGTGGTGAGAGGTGCAGAGCGGGTTTAGAAGGTATCACGGCTTCAGATAAGACATCGCAGAACATCGTCAATTGTGCAAAGGCAGGTACTAGGCAGATTAAATGTCACTCGTCCCCCTCAGCGACGCAAGTGCGTCAACCCATTGATCATCACTGAGGCTAACCAGCGGCAGTGAAGGCGTGTAGATCCCAGCTTTACTCCATGATCGAATGCACTGAGCCATCGCCACTATCTCCCTCCTCAGCCGACTTCTCAACGGTGCCGTCATACGTCCTGCACTGCTAAATGTCCTCTCGCTCTCCGCAGACGACGATGGGATGGTGAGCATATCAACCGCCATCAGAGACAGTCGCGGGTACCGATTCCTGTTGATTTTCCACCAGTCAATCGGCCTGCTTCTGTAGTGGTGACTGTTGACAACATCCTCAGCACAGTACCGAGCATATTCGTCATCAGCAGTCGCTCCTGCTGTCGTGTGTTTCGTCTTTCGGGTGCTCTTGCGGGCACTGGACACTGCCAAGGACGAACCCTGGGCGCATGGCGACCCAGCTACACTCCTGGCAAGTCTCCGCTCAATGTAATCCATTGAGGCCTCGTCAGATGTAGCGAAGACTTCGTAGTCAACTTCGCGTTCCCTGTAACTCTCCCAGATCTCCAAGAGCTGGGATTCGTACTCTAATCGCCAACCCTTGGCCTTACGAGAAGGCACTCGAGACCACAGTTGATCGAGAAGGCGCCACTTCTTCGCCGGGTTGAAGACAACAGCGCCGACATAAGCTGCGCTAGTCAGACAGTTGTAGTACTTGTGCAGCTTCTTCCATCCGAGCTTGATAAAGACCTTGAGCAATCTACGGGTTCTGCTATCGAGCCCGTCGTAGATGGCGACTTCGACGTCCTTCTTCTCCTTGCTCACTGGATCCTCAACTTCTTCAAAGATTGTGCCTTCGATAGCTCCTTCGAGGTGGTCAAGTAGGATCTCGAAGACAGGGAAGTATTCATCGAAACTACCGCAAGTCGACCTCGCGTCGGGAATACCGTCGCCCTGAAGTTGCTTGGTGGCGATTTCAAAAGGCTTCAGAAGCTTGACAAGCACCTCGATAACCTTCCAGTCGTACGCACTTAAGCGGTATTGCAGAACTGCCGGTTTCGGTTTGTCACAAAGACCCTCAGTTTCCCAACGGTTCTGAACGTCATTGAAGAACGTATTGAGAGCCGGGCGGAGACGAAGGGCCCTCTCCATCATCCGCATATCCGAGTTCCATCTGGTGGCATTGTTGAAGACCCAGTGAAGTGTTGATTCATGGCCGGATTCCTTGCGCTGAGACTGAAGAAACTGCTCGTACAGCTGTGTAGTCGCTCGCAGCTGAATCCCGATGTTGTGAAGCATTCCTGGGGCGCCGTTCTGGCTGTACTCCCTGAAAGTGGCTCCATTGATCTCCTCCGGGGCTGGGTGGGATGATAGGAAGTCCTCTTCTGGGATACCAACGGCAGTGTTCGCTTCAAAGTCTTCATCCGTGCCGTCTTCCATTTCTACATCCAGGGCCTCGTCGATAGCTTGATCAACTAGCTCCTCATCGTCATCTTGATCGTCACCATCGGCAGCGATGATTGCCGCGAAGTTCTCTCGCTTCGAACCGTATAGCATTGCCCGCACGCAAAGGTTGAAGATATGCGCAGCGCAGCGGATCCGTCGCTCTTCAGCTGAGAAGCCGTGTTCAAAGGCAAGATCGTCCATGCAGGTGTCATTGTTGGCAGCATTGTCCAGCGTGAAGTAGCCAACCTTGTCCGGGTCGTTGATTTGCCAGAATGCGAGCGTATCAGCGACCTCATCGGCAAGTGAAGCACCGTTGTGTCTGCCCGAGAGAGGTCGAAGCCCAAGGAGGATTCGGTGTTGGACAAAGTGGTTATCAATGAATTGAGCGTTGATCCCAAGAAACGAAGTGTACGACTTGGATGTCCAACCGTCGAAGGAGAAATGAATCTGGGATCGAGCGCTGCGCAATACTTCGGTTACCGGCCCAACGGCACCCCTATACTCGGATTCGAGCATGCGAAGCAGCGTCTTCGCAGAGGGAATGTGGGTCACATCAAGGAGGGGATTGCCGTAGAGAAGGATCCGCTGGAACCGCTCGGTATTGACAATGTTGAACGGCAGGTTATGGTAGGTAATCCAGTCGAGGAGGAGTACTCGGAGGCCTTTGCTGCTGAATCTTCCACGCAGCTTGCTGAGAAGAAACTGGTCGTGGGGATTATTGAAGTCGGCATCGATGAAGTCGGTGATGGTCCTGTCATTTAGAAATGAGCCCCCCACGGGGCTGGCAACTTTGTTCGGGGCCTGCCAAATCAGCACGTTATCAAACCGTAGATGAGAGGCACACACTTACAAGAATCCCGTGGGCTTTGAGTAGGTGTTTCCTGATGGCGACTCCTGTCGAGCAGACGAAACAGAAGTCCGACTTCTTCTTGAAACCTCGGGCAAAGCAGTCGGCGCAGATCCACTTCAGCTTATTTCCCTGCCGCGAGGTGGAACGGTCCTTAACGCGATACCCATATTGTTGCCACCATGCCCTCGTGTCTTGGCCGCCAGTATAACGCTCGAATCCGGGCCATTTGGCCCACTCTTGGCGGCCCCAGAGTGTCCAATCGACCTGAATAAAATCGGCGGCAGTCCCGCGAGGACGGAGCGATGGCGTCGTTGGTAACGAGGTTCCTGGAGACGGGGCGGCTGGCGAAGAAGAGAATTCATCGCGCTCCATCACACCTGGTTGATTCCAGGACGAAGGGCTCAAAGAGAATGGTTCGGAGGACATCATGATGCAGTTAGTTTAGCTAGTCGGACAGATGGGTCGCGTGGGTCGAGGTTGTTGGAAGCCATTGAGACTGCACTGAGGCTCAACTTAAATCCATCCATCCATCACTGACTGGACAGGCATTGAGGCCAATAACACGCGTATATCACGCCCATTTTGTCGTCAACGCGAAATTCGCGACATCTCCACTGCCGCTAAACATGCAAAGTCTTGTGCGATTAATGATGCATTCGCGAGCAGCGCGAACGACGACCTGGCGCGCCCAAGGCGAGAGAGTCGCGCGTGAAGCCGCCATTGTATGTAAGAAGCCAAACTTTGTTCCGACCATTGGTGTACGGAGATTCTCCCAAGTGCCGCTCCACCAAGCTCTCAGTACTTGGCAACCAGCCAAATCGGGGTCTCGTTGATTAGGTCCACAGACGGCGGGGTAAGATTCCATATATTCCCTGTTCCACTTGCGTCAGAGGCTCCTATTGGCTCATGCCACAAGCACAGACGCATCACTACGGGCCAACCTTGAAAAAAAGCCATCCCGTTCCTCAGCCGAGTCCCCATACCGGCTTTGCATTTGTGCTCATTCCAATCTGGCGTCAACTCAGAATGGATTCTTGAGATTTTCGTAAACCGTTCACGTGAGGGGGCGGAACGGTGGGGACTTGAAGTTGAGGCTCTAAGTGGATGCACCTGTGAAGTCGCTGGTACATCGGTTCACAGGCAAAGCTGGCTTTAGGCGCAGGTCCCCGAGACAACCAAAAAGTTAAAGAGGGGGGCAGGAAGATCATGAATCCCATACTCGCCAATGCGTGAAAACTTCGAGCCGGACATATTCATCTGATCATGCCAAAGCTGGCATCAGTAAAAACTTTTTAGTAGAGAGAAATACGGAGACAGTTTTTTTTTGGTTTCCTTTTCTTTTCTTTTTGCTTCCTTCCTATTATTCTGCAGAAAAAGCGGCGTGTTTTTGGTGATCCCCCTCTCTGTATAGCGGCCTGTTACTGGGACAAACATACCCTATACTCCTGCGTTAAAAACTACTGTAAGCCCCACCTACTTTATATGACGACCTTGGTACCTCCTAACTTGGGAGGTTGTATTTTACAGCAACAATAACTCATACTTCAACCCCCCACGCGACAAATATATATTCCTCATAGAAACCGACTCAGTGTTTTATTACAAGATTAAATTGGGTTGTCCGTTACATTCCTGTAAAGCACCTGCTGGTGGGTTGTTTGTCGGGATTGTGACCATGGGAGTCATTCCCAACTGGTAAACCTGTTGGCAATTCGCGGTGGCCGGCGCGTTAATCCGTTCCGGGCTGGGGGGCGGTTAGACAGGGTCGTGACAGGGATGATTGCTGTAGTTGCAGGGTACCTAGTATGCTATGGGCTTTTAGGGTCATGTTATGTACTTGCTAACACATCTTAGCATTAAGATGAATTGTTGTCAGTGTTGATCGCGTTGCACTTCTCGCGTCGAGGAGAGTGCCAGGGGCCTCTTAACGCGTCTGCGAATCGCGCTGAATCCACCCCTTGGTCATGATTCGCACATCGCGTCTCTCTGTTCGACCGAATCGATCGATTTTCGATCGAACGGGTGGGGGCGATCGATTCGATGTCGAATCATATGGTGACCTGTACGGTTCGAATGTCGAATAGGATGCCCCACATTCGAATCGATGTATTCGAACATCGAACAGGACATGTCACATTCGATTCGATGCGAATCGAATGGGCACGCCGCAGATTCGACATCGAATCGAATGCCAAGAAATTCGATTCGACATTCGTAAGACTTGGCATCGAATGAATCTATCGATTCGATTCCCGTTCGTTCGATGTCCATCCCTGGTTTCATGGTGGCCTCGATGACATAGAAGCCAGTGAACTCAAAGAGCACCAGGCTTAGGTCCAAGGGGACGACAAGGGCGTTGACAAGAATCAAGTGTGACATGACCCTCGACTCCTCGCGGCCCCTAGCTGCCAGGGCGGGTTGAAGACATCGAGCGAGTTTGTAGGCTTCGTAGATGTAAAGTCCAGATATAATGACTTCCTGAAGGGCGAAGCCAATGATATGAATCCTCTCGAAAACCTGGAACCCGCCAAGGAAAGGATCAGGGTTTCCGGAATTAGCACCCAGGAAGAGGACTGTGGTTGGGATATGGAGAATGCAAAAGTTTGTTATGATCATGATGAGAACCCAGCGGAGCTCCGCTCTATTGTGAACCAGCAAATGGAGGCGAGAGTATAGAACAACGGCTTGGCCGGTCACCATGAAGTACCAGGCCAGGTCGTTGAGGACGCTCATGACGAAGTTTGGGCCGACAGCGTAAAGGCGGAACAAGACTGTGATGGAATGGAGCGGTATGCCGAACGTGGCCACGCACATGCTCCAGAAGTACAAACCTCGTCGTTTCTTGAACATGTAGAAGATGGAAATAGCGATTTCGACGGCATTATAGCATGAGATGCCGAAGAATGCGGCTATAATCATCGAGAGTGAGAGGGAAAGACCCGCGGCCCCGGTCTCGCCGGCCATGTTGAAGATTGAAGTCTTGGGTGAAATCTAAATGTGAAGAGATGGTTAGAAGGCTGAGCAGAGCAGGATCTCGAATCTCCATCCTTGTCCCAGCCCGTTACAGCGAGCCCGGGGGTCCTTTGAATCACCTAGTCTGTAAGGTGCTTTCTCTGTGTCCGACAACCTCTGATAAAGCTCTTTCGCTTACCTTATAGGTTGGGCTCCTGCTAATCTGTTGCCAATCATGTACTTCTCCAATGTTCTAAGCGCGGGACGCTCTGTGGATCGCCATCCCCCTTGCGGACATCATTGGTGGCGAATTGGAGGTTGTTTTTGGTGTATTGTGGCATGCTAATTCCAAAATGTATTTGTTTTTCGATTCTCTTGATACGTTGTTGAGAAAACGCGATTTTCTTGTCGGGTTGCGGGGAAGTTTTTTGGGGTGTGGAGAGGTGCGCAGGAAGAAAAGCGGGGGGACTTGCAAATAGCCTCTTTTCATCCGTCGGCGATTTTGTGGCTAGGTCTGGATCGCGAAAAAAGGGTGCCGTGTCAGGCCACATGCAAAGCTAGTTCAAAACTAGGCCTGATGTTACCCCACAGATTCGGCAGGTTCACCAAGGCGGGCGGACCTATGTGTGGAAGTAAGATTACTCCGCACCACGCCAATTCAATCTGTGCCACACACTTGGGACAAACCTCACACAAAGGTTAAGGGCCGAGAACTTACCCATCTCGTGACCTCTCCCTCCTACGCGGCCTCTACGTCACTCCACTACCAGCTCTGCGTTATATCGAGCATCGATACCAGGCTGGAAGCCGCGGAGGAAGCTGTACTACAGATCGGGAATGCATTTCCTTTGGCTGGGCCAAGCGAATCTTGTCGCACTCTAGGCATTCGTCACCAAATATGGGGAGCTGCCGCCAACGACGTATATGTATGGATTGAGCGAGTTTGGCTCAAGTGGCAAGCCTGCCTTTGCCTTGCGCATCCACCATGTTTTTAGCGCCGCAGGGCGCTTGGTCTTAAAGTGAAGCCCAGGTCGGGTCGAACCTTAATTCCAGATCGGCCAATGCTTGTCCAGCAGCTCTTCTTTGCGTCCTATGTGCGTCGAGGAACTGGGCAGAAAAGTAGTGCTGGCGTCACCGTAGTGTGCGTCCCTCGCCCCCCCCCCCCCCCCCCCCCCCCGGAACTCCCAGCGGCACTACTTGCCGGAGTGTCTCATCCACGTCTCAGACAATTCATAGGCGTTGAAGTTCCTAAATTAGGGTATGAGGTGACTACAGATCTGGTTTCTTTAAGAATCATGTTTGCGCTCTAAGGAGTTCAGAGTGTATTCTGAATGTTAATTTGAGATATTCAAGATAGCAAACGAGCTCAAGTGGCCCTTGAACAGATTCATATTTCGACATCTCGCAAATAATAGTGCGATCTCTACGGAATGTTCCATCCAGCACGCGCCCGCCACGAGTCATGTATACTTTACAGAGGAGCTAACGCCTCGACGGATATCTCCCCGTGCTAGCGTATAGCAAGGCACTCATTGAAGACTTGCACTCGGACTGTTTATGGTTATATCAAGTGGATGTAACAGGTCGGATTGTATGGCGGGTTTTCGGAAAACCCCGCACCTATTACACCAAATGTTCGCCAAGGGTGTACCCGCGACATGGCTCAAGGCATATAAGACTGAGGTTTGGGGTTAGAACGAAGCTGCTTCTCGGGGACTTAAGCATAGAATTATTCTCCATTAATAAGAAGGTGATGGATCTAATACGCCTAGGTCGATCAAGAGATAAGTAATTGATCAAATGGTCTGACTTCAATGATGATTGTGTTGATGATCTTGGGTCCTTCCGGACCCCTCTTTCTGTGAGGGATTTAACTGTCAATCTCACCCCCCTCTATGACTAAGATCAGGATATTGAAATATCAGAGGATTGCATCAGCCGAGGGTCAATCCAACAGAAGGTTAGTCCCGTAATATTCCCTGTGATGCTCGGGTTTAATAGATCGGCCCTATCAGGTAAAGCATTCCATCGTTTGCCTTGCTGCTGCCTAAATTGGGCGCTCCTCTGCTATTGGGGCTGCGCCACAAATGAAACGGCGCATCACGAGACGCCTCCAGGGTATAAAACCAAGGCTCTTCTGTTCTATTCATCAGATGCGCTCATCCCTCCATTTCGATCAGCTCGTAACATTGCGGACCAATTCACGACTTGCTGCCTGAGGCGCCAATACGACCAGAACACTCCTTCCGTCCGACAGAAGCCTGATCTTACAATCTTACGGCGCGTGCAACGTTTATCTGGATCATCACCTTTGGCCTCATGCCATTACTTAGTCAAAGTGACACATTTTCCCCCAGGATAAGCCCTTCAAGTGCCAATCAGTCAGATGAACTAGTCAGAAATTGATCAAATTATCACGCGATCAACAACTGCCTAAACCTCAACAATCACGGAGACAACCTCACTCCGCAGCCCAAACGCCACCTTTCTATCTTTGCCGAGCAACCTTCAGGAATGTCGGCTTGCTCCTATTGCCGGGCTGCTTTTTCAGTTCCGTCCACACTGCCCATCTTACCAGAGTCCTGGCGGTATTTCGTTGGGTCTATCGGCACTCGCTCCCCTACATATTACTTCCAGCTCAGTCGAGATGCGGCGGATTCCTGGGACACAATTGGCTTGCCACATCATTCCAGCCCTGATTCTCTAACGCAGTCTTCACGCGACTGTCCTCTCTGCCGGCTCATCTTGCAAAAGTTTGAGGGCTTGGTTGCCGAGTTCCGAGAGGTAGAGCCAGGCTCAGTCGAGAGATACTTTCAGATCGAGCGTGGAGGCCATGGGTTGCCAGTGGAATCAACTTTCAAGATCGTGCGGCGCTTTGATGGAGGCGATGGATTTTCGGTTCTTACAAATAGCAATAGAGGCAGCGTTTTATATCTGGTCGCCGTGATCGGATTCTCTGCGGAGCGCGGTATGTCTACCTTGCCTTGGTTTCTTTGCGGTAGTAATGCTAACTGAACGCCCCGTGCGACTAGAATACTCTAGCTTCATTCCAAGTCAAAAAATTGGCCCAGATGCTGCAGCTGAGGGGCCTTTGGAGTTGGCATCCGGCTGGCTGGATGATTGTGTGACGAACCACCAGTGCTGTCAGCCTCCAACCGGCGTGTTGCCCTCCCGCGTCATTGACCTCAATCATCTCGATGATCTGGACATGGTCTGTCTTGTTGAAACCGACGGCAGCCAGAAAGGTCGCTACATCGCGCTCAGCCACTGTTGGGGAACCAATACCTCAGGGCACATAAAGATGACTCGGGACACCCTTCCAGACTATGTTGGCGGCGTTGCGGTAGAGAGCCTCCCAAAAACATTCCAAGATGCTATCAAAGTCACGCGTCGTCTTGACATTAGATACCTCTGGATCGATTCGCTATGTATTTGCCAAGACGACGGCGACGACTGGGCACGGGAATCCGCAGCTATGGGGGATCTCTACGCCAAGGCCCACTTAGTGATTGCTGCCGATGGCGCCGACAGCATAACGAAGGGCATTTTCCAAAGGCAAGAAAGGTACTACGTACCCGTGAAGTTGGCTGTCTTATCTCCGCATGAGGGAGCTGACCAGGGGTCCACGACCATCCCCGCGTTGGCATATGATGCTCCCACGCTTCCAGCTATCTCTCAACGCACTTTACTCGAGCTTTTCGATGAACCCCTCATGTCCAGAGCTTGGGCTCTCCAGGAGCGTCTTCTTGCATACCGGATACTACACTTCGCATCTGATCAGATCTTCTTTGAGTGTAATAGCCACTTTGTATCAGAAGACGGCGCTGTGGTCCCGGGTCGCTGGAACTCGATATATCAAGAACCTGAGCCGTCGTCTACCCAGATTGCTCGCATGTCTAGACACAGTGAAATTCACCAGCTGTGGTATTTTATTCTAGAAAACTTTACGGGGCGGAACATGACCTTGGAAACTGATCAGCTTCCGGCTATTTCGGGGTTGGCGAGTCTCATTAGGGGAAAGTTGAGGGCCAAAAGGGCTTCGGATGGTGGCATTGAAACCTCAGCTGGCATCAAGTATGTAGCTGGACTCTGGAGTGACGCCATCGTGGAAGGTCTAGGCTGGCAAAGTCTTGGCAAGAAAAAACACAACCACCATTTACCAGACGAGTTACCTCTGTCAGGAGAGACGGGATATATCGCGCCGACGTGGAGCTGGGCGTCATATAGTGGGAAGTCGGCGCACGGAACAACGAGACTGGGCTGGGTGGACGTGGCGACGGCCACTGACTGGAGCGTGACGCTGAAGAACGACCAAAACCCATTTGGAGAGCTGACGGATGGCTGGGTCAGACTGAGAGCTCCCATGCTGAAGCTACATCTGAGCGAGCTGCCGGAGCGAAACGAGGCGGAGCTGCCGGAGGGCTTTCGCCCCAACATCCGGCTATGCTCGTCCCAGGGCGACCCGTTCGGAGTCTACTCGAGCTTCGATGGGGTCTTGGGGCAGGCGGAGGAAACGAGAAGATGGGCGCTAGAGAAAGAGTTCTTTGCGCTGGTTCTGTCAAAGACGCAGTCTTTGAATGCCGATTCTGACAAGGAGGGCTGGACATATACCACACTCATTGTGGATGCTGTCGCCTCGGTGAGCCCAACGCCTTCTGGGGGCAAACGATTCAGGAGGCTGGGCAAGCTGGTGATTGGCTCAAAGTCGTTGCATGGAGATGAGGAGGTGATTGATGCCCCCGAGACATACTCAGACGTTGTTCTGGTCTAGGATATGTGTGAGGATATATAACACGTGTGCCAGTGAACACTGCGCTTAAGATTGTTAGTAGGTTTGTCTTTGTCTGTGTCTAGTTCTTGAATGTAGCATCTTTCGACAGCTACATAAAAACGTAATATTATTTTTTAAAAAAAAAGTTTTCTTCTCTTTTAACTCTAAATTATATGTCACTTAGAAGTATGTATATATATTTTTCGTCTGAGGGCTGCGAGGCCTATAAAGTCCCCCCTATTGGAGCACAGGACATGCTAAGCTAGAATCTCTACTAGGGGGGTCTCGTCATTTCACTTCAGCTCAACCCCCGTTCGTCCCTCATGGGGGGTCGGTGACTAGCTAAAAAGTCGGCGACCTAACAAATTTAGGTACCTCAATCTGCATCAAATTCTTGGTGTGGGCGATGTGCCTTCATTATAGCGATTACATGGGGTAAGTTGAAATCGTTCCACAGCTCAGGGGCACTTAGGAACTTCTTTCTTTCTTCTTCATCTTTGATGTAAATAGCATCCTGGACTAGATAGCTGGAATCCAGCTACTAGAGGCCGTTCACAAGGGTCATCAATCCCGTATGCTGAATACGACGCCGTCGTCGCAGGTAGAAGGTATCAATTCGCCCAGAAGTGCTGGACACCCTCGCGAGCGCACGTGGCAAACGTCAACCCGAATCGGGAATCGCACAACGGCTCGAGTGAACGCAGACGTGCATGGGCTATGGGCCTAGGACAACCCTCTAGAGGATTTTGAAATTACATGGCACTCTATTCCAGACAACGAACGGTCACCGCCAACCAACTCCTCTGCGTACGAACCTACAAGGGCCAGGGTTGCAAATCAATCCACTGAATGCATTGTCCAGTGTCCCTCAGTCTCCTCCCTCCCTCTTCCAAGACCACATTTCATCGCGCTCTTCTGACCTCGAAGGCTGACAAAAGTTCAAGAATGCAACGAAGCAACGGTGATCATTTGATGGACACTACTCTTCCACTTCCTCAACGGCCCAAACCTGTCGGAAGCGAAGCCTTTTCTCCTTTCGCATCGATTCCGGATCTATGTAGAATCGCAGATCAATGTCGTGCTGCTGTAGGTTTGAGACTCGGGCAACCATGTAGATGGTCGGTCTCTTTGATGAAGAGGGCCTGGGTTTTGTGTTCTCCTGCATCTGTGCGACACCATATAGTTAGTAATGCCAACCCAACGGACTCTAGGCGTCGTCCTATGATGCATACCCTATCGTACTGGTTGCTGCTGAGGTAGAACTCCTTGTTCTTATTTGACAGGGACGACTTGACCTCAATCAGATAATGTGGTTTTTGTCCACGCCATATCCCGCTGTCAAGGTAGCCACTCTGAATGAGGAGGTTTGTAAAGGCACCAGTATCGTCGAGGAAGTCCAGGTCGGCCGTCTCACCGCCGACGTAATCGGGGAAATGCGCCAGATCCGGGTGTTGTTTGGCCCAATTTCGCATGTTGCTCTTCCAATCTTCAACGTAGATACCATTTGCAGGAAGAAGAAAAGAGATCAAGGCCCACACCTTGTAGCATATTAGTTGAAAAGCAGCAGGAGTTCCTTCATGGACTCGACTCACATATAACTCCCCAGCAGCACCAATCTTTGAATGTCTCTCGAAATCAGTAGATGAGCGGATTTTGAATGGGATGGGCGCCTGGGTCGAGCCACTAATAGCTGGCAGTGCGTTCCTGAGGTCTGACATGTTCGGCATTTGGCTGGGAAACCTCTTTTTTTCTGCTATGGTAAAGACATGTTCCAGAAGACGAATGAGTTCTGGGTCCTTCCGAGTGTATGGCGGCTCGTCATTGCCGAAGGATCTATTTCTCCTAGGTTCTTGGGGAGAGATATAGCTCGAATCACCAATTCCGCCAGTCGGCTGTGGCCCCTTGTATCTTGACGGAGTGGCTGGAGGAGTTAAGTAGGAAGGCCCTGGTGCCTTCTTTGATGACCATCCTTTGTAATCGGACATGTTGCAACGGCCCACGGCGCATGATTTGAATGGTTCTCCCGTTTTTTTAGTTCCGCTGCGAGAGTAATAGCCACAATCGCAGAGCGGGTTTCCAGGCTCCACTCCCTCGGTGTCGTCCCACGTGCTCCAGACTGGTTGGTTGTTCCTAAGGTAACAATAACAGCACCAACATGATCGCCTTCCGCGCGATTCCCGCTTACAGGCTTGGCCACATTCCTTGCACTCGGGTGGTTCTGCGAGAGGAAGCGGGGGCATCTGAGGGTCATAGTTATTTTCGGTTTTCCCCATTGCGGATGAAGGTGACGGCTGTGTGTGATGGGCTTGGGATGAAAGGTTTGCAGTAGCTTAGGGATCTGGCAGATGGGATTTGTGGGTATCGGTCTCGTCGTAGCTGAAGAAAATAGACAAGGCAGACCGATTGCGGAAATCTGTAAAATAAGGGCAATTCAACGAAAGATGAGATCGTTTTACGAGTTTGAGGAACCCACGTGGGCCTGACAGATTTGGTCAGTATTTAAGCTTAATATGTGACAATCACAACCAACCCTAGCCAGGCGAGCTAAACAAGCCACGGCGCTAACTGACACAACTCCCTCGACAGGCGCCTTTGATGCCATGGTCTTCCTCTACTATAGCGTGTACCCCGCCTGTGTGAGAGAGAGCCAAAGCGAATCACACTCAAGCCCGTGGAATGACGTTCCTTTGAGTGATTTGTTGTCCAAATGCCCTGCCTGAACTTTGCTTTACATGAACAGCCACGGTGTTCCCCTGTTGCAGCCCAACGAATACAAATTATTGGTTGTGGATGCGCTGTGATGTGATGTGGCTTGCTTGGTCGCCTAGTCCAACTTCGGAAACGAGCAGCCTGCACTGTGTAAGTACCGTCTACTGTGGTGGTAGGTCCAAGGAAGACGGCCTCTCGAACCGGTCGCGGGGTCTTACAGAGTCAGCCCCGTGTTGGCGCAGTGGCATGAAACGATGGAACCCTGGGCGCTTAGCAAACGAGCTCACAGGTTGCATTTCGCGCAGCCTCAACCTTTGCCATTGTGATTGGCGCTGTTATCTCTGTGGGGCCCTTTATGCAGCAACCAAGCCAGGTGGAAATTGCTGAGCTCGGTAAGGTTCAGTCTGGGTGGATGGCGCTGAATGCCGGATTCGTAGGCCTGTTGTCCAGCCTGGCGTTGTGGGAGACCAAACACGTAGCCCAGGCATCTTTGTTGGGTTTGATGTCGTGCGAAACATGCTCGTAAATCCCACAGCATTGGGGGAAGGCGGAGAGCTGGCTCGCTCACTCGTTCCAAGGCGTGGCCCAGAGCGCTTATCATTCCGGCCATCTTGTAACATTCGAGGCCTTTGCCCAGGACAGTCAGTTCATTGGACCCAAACTGGTAGATAGTGTTTCGCCATCGAGGCGGGCGAGGAGCCCAATTTTCGTCGAGTCCGCGAGAAACCTCACCTGGTCTCGGGTCATTGCTGATGCAGTCCCACCCACACCAGCGGTTAGGCTCTCCTGCCTCGGCCGAAGGCCGTCCCACCCCCACCCCCCGGTCTAACCCTTGTGACTCGGGATGCTTTCCCCGGTGACTGGCCGTACCAATGTCGACGACAAGGACGCCCCGTGATCGCGATGGATTGTGACGCGAAACACCCCACCCTTCTCGCCATTCCAACTGGCTTTGCCCATGAAGGGCGAACCTGTAGGAAATACCCCATTCTCGACAACAGTCGAAGTAATCACCACACAGGAAAAAAAAAAAAAAAAGTCACATAGCGTAGTCGCTGTTTCAAGTTGTTGAATAGTGGCAAAAGGAAGCTCATGGAAGTAGCTTGAAAGGATGATAAATATTATCATCAAAGATGACAGTTGCCACCTATTGCCACTGGCTTAGGAAGCAGCTTCCAGTTGATTCCACATAGCAAGGAAAAGGCATATAGAGCTTGCTCTAAAACCTCAAGTAGCAAGCAGGACACAGAAGTCACACAACAATATGAAGAACTCACAATTCACCCTAATATCTGACAAGTTGCTAGCGTCTTGACCCCGGCTTCGGCACAGCCGCAGCCGTGTCCCCAGGCTCTAGCCTGTAACTGTTAGATTGGATCATGTACAAAGCACCTGACCGGGCGGTCACGTGGTGACCTCTAGGGTTGAGACCGCCTATTGGTGCAGATACCTCAGGCCCCCACTTTTAGTGGTGATTGCAACACATACGCAGTCACGGCCGGGAGACCTCCCAGAGACACACAGACAATACACCCACAATCAAGTCATCCAAGTGCCACGCTAGCTTTCCGACAGTAACACATTATAAGAAAAAATCGTAATAATTTAGGAAAATTTACACTTATTAGTATATATTTAATAAATATGCTTTTAAAGTTGTAGATACTTTTAGCCTAATTTGAAATTTTAATAATTTTTTAAAAATCGCGATTTAAGGTGAAAATCAAAGTGCGACGCATGGTTGGATGCGACGCACGGGTGACATATACGTTAGTCAAACTAAATCCGGCATACACGCCTCTTGTTTCTACTCAGACAAAAGCTAGATGCAGCCTTAGTTCGGGAATTATTGCTCTCCCATTCGCAGTTTCGCTCGAGTGCCCTTTAGCCAGCTTCCAAAGCTCTCAGGCCATACTCTGTAGCATCGACGCAGAGCGGGAGGACCAGGGACCCTGATGGGATGATCTCGTTGTCTCCTCTGGGGAAAGAGGAAACTGCGTCGATCCATTGCCGTTTTTGGTTTTGATGGAAACCCTTGTCGAAGACCCCTTGACCGGCTGCAGCCACAACAGCCCCGTCGCAGGGGTCGTATCTTACGAGCAGGGCGGAGAACACGCCAGACAGGTGCCTAATTGCAGGCGGCTAATCAAGTCGTGGCGGGGACACATGGGTATCGGACCTTCGCTTGCGCTTGATCGGTGGGCGGGTGTGGGGGTAGGCGACCCCGAGGGCGGGGAAGCGTTTGTTCAGCTTGAGGGTCACTGGCTGGTGTGGGAGGGGTAAGGCGCAAGCGTCTTGAAGGAAGACGTATACTACGTAGTAAGAAATCGTAGTGGGCAGTGAGGGGAGATCGACTCAGCCGCAAGGATTGGGAATAATCGCCGTGGTATCTTGCCTCGGCTGAGAGGTGACACGAAAGGTTGTAGTAGTGGGTGTGTCGCGCCTGTCAGCATCAAATCGTAGTAGGGCAGACAGGTCCGCTCCGCGCGGATCGCTTTTAGAGCCGACTAGATGATCTGCGTTATCTATTCGCCCTTAGAGGATAAAACTTGCTGCATTGGAGGTGTTGGTTGTAACCGAGCTTCCTGTCTTACCGCACACGATACAAAGACCCATGAGTTGGTTGTCTTCCGGCAGCAGCGGATAAAACCGGCAGGATGCGGCGTTTTCTCAGCCAACGTTGCCGGAAATTCATTGACCCGTTGCTGCCTGATGCTCAAACGTGCAGCAGCACCACCAAAACAGTCATGCACTTTGCCGTCCGAACCGCGCGTTGCTTTGGTCGAGCTGAGGTGGCTTACTGGGGGCTTGCGGGGGCGCGTGATCAGCCGTGCTCCGTTTGAGGCAGGCGGAGTGGACGTCATTCCGTCGTTATTGCAGCCTGACAGCTCTTGGTGTTGTGGGTCATTATTGTGGATCACTCTCTGTGCTACGGAGGAATGAGGCCAGGGGTGGGGCTCGGATCACACAGTGCGTCCGCGATTACTCTTAGGTCGTCGAGGCAAGGGATGTAAGGAAAATATTTCCCCGAACTCCGACCAGGCGGTGGAAAGCTCGTCCGACGGCCTAACATTCGTCCGAGTGTCACATGGTGATTGGTCCAAAATGCCGCGCTGCGCCGCAAGCCACAGGTTTAAGATCAGGCACTTTTCCCCTAGTCCAATAGAGGCCTTCAAGCAGGCCTGTCACACAGAGTCAAGCGAGGCGAGGGGGCTTCTGGGAGACGCGAACGATAAACTTAGAACTGTAAACAGCCTAGCGCACTTGGCCCTATGAGGCTTGGTCCTCCCGTGCGTAATAAGAACGAGGAAATCGTGACGCCAGAACCTTGACTCGCATTAAAGGTATCAAAGTCCTCAAAATATTTAAAGAGCGCCTCGTAGGTATCGCATAATTTCTTGCACACCGTTGGGTCATTGAGGTACTTGAACACCATGCCTTGAATCCAGGAGCAAACAGTCAGAACCGAAAAAAGCGGGTTGAGTAGAATACAAGACAGGGAAGGTTGGAGGACTCACCCATCTCTTTGGTGGCGAGAAGCTTCTGCTCCGCAGACATTCCTGCGTATGTGTCGAGGGCTGTGGACTGCTTGCCGCCAAACATGGAACCCTTCATGCGGTTGAGTCGGGCCTTCAAGATGGTGAGGCGATCGAGGTTCTTCACGTTGCCCAGCTCGGCAAGCAGCAGGAAGATGAAGGCTCTGAGCCTGTCGAGCTTCCAAGGATACGAGCTGTCCGCCTTCAGGCGGCAACGCAAACGTCGGCTTCTGGGTGCGCGATCCGTCAGCGTACCCATTGGCGCAAGCCTTTCTCACAGAGCAAAGATTGATAGAGCTTCTCGTGGACGATTGGGATGAGCGGTACTCAGTGGAGAGGTGTGAGTTTCCACACTTGCATGCGGTTCACTTGGTGATCAAGGGGATCCTGCAGGACGGAGTTAGTAGTAGTAGTGTGCTCGATGGCTTTGGGAAGAGTATTTCGGAGTTTTTGAGGGCGAGGGTTGTTGAGCTTCCGGGGGATTTGGTCGAGGTTGAGCAGCGGAGGAGGAGTGAGGCGCGACAACGGGCGGTTAGCTTGCAGATGAAGCTGTAGCAGGCGTGTGTAGGCAATCGTAGTCCTCAGGAGAGGAGTCAATGACAATGTTCAATGAGTTTCTAGTTCCATGACTTTTGGCATCTCCAGTCTGCCTTGTCCAGCCCAAATGCGGCCGTCTTGCAGACGCCTGGTCCCCCCTCTTACCATTAACCAATAGACCAAGGCGTTTCAAGCCCCATGTTGATTTTCAACCCGGTCGCATCCTAATCACCTTGCCTTTATCAGCACTTCTCGCCTCCCTCCGTCTCTTATCCTTCACCTGCTGCCTCAGTTGATGAACTCTGTGTTGTGTCGCGTGAAAAAACCTGGCAATCTCTGGCTGTCCGAAACGAGTCAACAATGGCTGAACCAACTAGCCTCATCTCCAAATTCGTGTCCAGCGTTGCCAGTGTCCAGAACGAGCTGCAACTAGCAGTGGCTACTCTCAATCTCGACTTTACCCTTGTGAGACTGGAAGCGCCCAAAGAGTACAGCGGCGTCGCCACCACTCTCGCCGAAGACAGGAAGGAGAATGCCGAGTCTGGAAGTCTTCATCGAACGGCACGGAAGCTCGGGGCCTTGTTCGACGGCATTCCTCCGTCAACCCCAGCACTCCTTCGCGCCTACGGATCGAGAGTTTCCGAAATCTGCGAAAAGGAGAAGATTGATCCCCTGGAGCGTGCACGCCATGGCATATTCTCGAGATTTGTTGGTGTTGACTCGGCAAGCATCTGGGCTGCCGCTACGTCGGGAAATAATGCCATTGCCGTCCATCTCCTGGCTTGTATGCTTGCTGAGATCTTCGACGCGCCTCAGGCTGTGTCTCTCTGGATGGAGCTTATCGAAAGGCGCAAGGCAGACATTGAAATGACCATCGGCGACGAGACAGACCAGTCAAGGGCCATCGCAAAAGCCTGCGCAGCAAAGCAGGATATTGCCAGGCCCGAAGTGGCCGCCTGGGATAACAGTGCCAGGGCATGGCTGCGAACGGCCAACGAGGCCAAGGCCGTCGAGAGACGAAGAGCGCTTCTCGAGACCGAGAGCGTCGGCGCAATTGTCAGCACTCTCCCCGATATGTACGAAAGCACAATTCGCGCCTGGAAGGATGCCATGAGCACCATGGATCTTCTCATCAGAGGCACGCCGCAGCGAGGGAGCAACGGCGCGGTGCTGCTGGCTATGAATTCCTGGCATCTCTTCCCTAACCTGTGCGTCCTGAGCCGAGGCCCAAACATCATCACCCAGGATGACCATCTCGTCGGGAAAACGGGGATCCTGACCATCGACTTTGAGACGGCAGACGGCGACTCGGGTGGCATCTCCTGGTCGGTGCCACTGTCCTACCTGAGATATTACGGAAGGCCTATCGTAGTGAAACAAAAGCTTAGCCTCGAAACGAGTCGTGTAACCGTGGAGCAGTTCCGATTCGTTGTCCTGGGCTGCATCTTCTCAACATGGCTGGACTTCAATTCGTCAGCAGACCATGCCATTTCATGGGCGTGCATGCTTCTGGACGTGCTGCGGTCGCCCGAGCCAACCAACAATCGACAGCAGCTCGCCTTGATGCGCCAAATCGCGTCGCCTTCTTCATGGATCGGATATCTATTGCATGCCGCAGACGAGCTCCAAGGTGCTGAGCCTTCGGAAATCGAAACGCCCTTGAAGCTTCTCCGACTTGGACATCGGAAGCGACGATTTCTATGCGATGTAGCGCATCATCCTCCGCCATTGTTCGGACTTGCTCAAGTCAACAACCTCTTCTCCGTCTTGTCTGGCTCCGAGACTCTCATTAAATACCTAAGGGAGTTCGCCAAAGACGTTGGCCTTGAGCGCAGCTCACACATCATCTGCTACAAGCATACACAAAAGGTCCGGAACTCGACTGTCAGCGTATGGGAGTTTGCGTCCATCGCCACGTTTGTAGGTGACGTTGCTTCTCGAGACTCGAAAGGGCGTGTTGTTCCGAATGCCTTGTCCATCCCCGACAAACCAGTCCGCTGGATAATTGTTTCATCAGACTCGCAGCGATGCCAGCCCTCGATTCATGGTTGTCCGTGCGAGATCCACCGACCGACAAACTGCGCCTGCTGGAGGGTTGGGGGTTGCTCGCTGTATTGCCACGACTGGTCTAAGGAAGAACCCTGCGGATCTCTGCATCAGGGAGTTCTGTGGGAGAGGGTTCAAGCAATCACAAACGCCGGCGAGCTATGCTTTCCTGCGTGCGAGAGTTTTCTTGCCCTACCTGGCGTCAGGCAAGTCATGTTTAGCCCCGGCGATGATTTCAGAAGCGGACTGGCAGCAGCCGGTGAGTGTGTCTGCATCGTTAATCGGCAATCTTGTTGTATACTAAAACCGAGGCAGCTGAAAATCCAGAGAGGGCCGCAACTGTCTTCCTCAGATTTCGATACGGAGATCCAGAGACAGCCTTCATCCTCGAGCGATATGACTATGTCCGAGACAATAACAAGCCCCCTTACCCGGCTAATACCACAATGCCCGAGAAAACCTTGGCCACTCTGTTCTCCTCTCGCGCTTTCGACTACACCGCCCTCGCGTCATACCTTCAAAACCATCATACGGAATACCAAAACACCATCGTAGCGTGTGCTAATGCCACTGAGATTTTCAAATGCCTTCCTGGAATGACAATATCGCTTTCCATACTCGAGCGGCCTCAGCCTCTCAGTCAAGCGAGATGGGTCAACGTCCCCAACATGTCAGAGAGAGGCCGCCGCAGCGCCTCCAGCTGGCTAAAAAGCCGAATATTCTCCTGCTTGGCAATGTTCGAATCTGGGAGCTTGGACATTGACCCTAGCAACCTCACGAATGTCTTCGCAATGTCATCTAGCAACTCGATATTTGTTGCCAGCTCAATGCTGTGCGACCCGTACGAAACTACAAGCGAGATGGAAATCCAGCGAGTCCATGGCAACATTGGCCAGCCTGGAGTCTCGTTTCTCGTGCCTCCGCCGGAGCCTGTGGTTCAGAAGCCCGACATCGGCAACTGGGCTGTGCTGAACTATGCCCCGTTCCGAGGCGAATGCGAGGACAACTTCTCTCTGACATCCATCCATCTTCGTCTGACAGAATACGAACTCCCCTTATCTGGCTTACAAGACAACCATCTCATTGACCGTCCAGCGCGTATCCTGGAGGCTCTCGCTCAGGTCTATGACGGCCCCAAATGGGTCGCAGATCTGGACATCCTGGGTGCTCTCAAGCGAATTCACTGCCTCCAGTGTAGATGCAACACCTTGGAAGCGAAGAGCGCGTACTCGGAGGTATTCAGAGGAAAGTCGGGTGTGGTTTCAATTGACAATTGGGATGAATTTCTCACTGAACAAACCGACAACCGGGTCTATGCGGTAAGGTCCTTCGAGAATTGGCTGGCAAGGCTTGCTACGACATGTGTCGGCGTGCAACTCGGCTATAAAGTCTCGGTTTTGCCTCGAGATGTTTGTTGGCACTGCGTGAAAGCGTATATTACCAATGGTCATCAGGTATTCATCCTGTAATAGGGGTATTGTGTTGCACGGTATTGGGCATGATTCTGCTTTGGTATTGTTGTTGGTTGTTGCGTTCCGGATGAACATAACAAATGCCGTTACTGCTTCTGATGGATCTGGATTGACGATATTGTGGCCGGGCCGCTTGACAAGACCACCCTACAACAACAATAAAGACCCAATACCAGTATACTCCGAGACGAAACTCAAGCTCAGCAAAGTCCATTTCCGTTCCTAGAGCTGAGATGCGGCCGATCTAAGCTGAGTGGGAGCTGAGCTGAGGCTGAGCTGCCTGGCTGGGCCTAGTTTCGGGATCGCAAAGCCCTGCTAGGAGTCGGATTCTCGTGCATACAGAATTCCTCCCTGATAGCCTGGCCAGCTCGGCCGACTTTCCCTCCCGAGAATCAGAACCGAGCCTCGGTAAGGTTATTTAGCCCCCCTGCAAACGCACCTCCAGGCGCCTCGGCATGGTGATCACCGATGGCGGGATAAAAGTCTTTTTATAGGCGACCCCAGGTTTAAGAATTAGCGGCATCGTCGCTGGAGATCAACCATCAGAGTTGGGCTTCGGGTTGCGGGTTGGCACGTGTGTCGCGAAAGGATAAAATAACACAATGAAATCAACCAAAAATCAGCCACAACGATACGCGAAATAAAAAGTATATGCACCGATGGAGAAAAATCTATTTGGTTTGATGAAATTAAATTAAATATTTTAATGTCTTCAACAAGCTTTTTATGCTTCATTCAAGTCAACAACATGAATGTACAGGGTAAGTCCAAGTCTATCCCTGTCAGGCCGTGGGACGGACGGTATCCCTGTCAATTCTCCGCGAGCCAATCAGGATCAGTTTATGTTACCAAACCCCTGTCATCATCTCCACACCTTTGATAAGATAAGACCCTGCCGGACCGCTACAACGTTGACCCGGTAAAGTGGGGCTTCCCCCCGGAAAAGAACAACGGCAACAGGACCACTTGATTGACAAATTACGTTAATCGTCTTGTCCGATAGAAAATGGAGAAAGCAACTGAATATTTATGTCAGCCCCCCTCTCACCCGGGATCCTCTGAATCCCAAGCTTTGGTTGTAAGCCACCTCATCTCCTTTGTTATTAGCCATGATTCACTGACCAATCAATTACTCTGGGCGTATTCACGGGGTTAAAAAAGCAAATATGAAAACACAACATAAAGCAATGTAGGAAATAGGAGAACTCCGGTCCTAACGAGAGTGTGAAATCATGGAAAAAACATCTGAAAAGTTATGGGTCGTCGAGCATTCACGAGCGCAACGAAGAAAGAGAGCCCGCGCGAACGTGCGAGAAATCGTCGTCTCCAACAACTTCAAAGAAAACAAACCCTGGTTCTCCAGGAATGTTCTCGCTACCCCACGGTCCGCCTAATTGACGATTCCTTTCATGTCCAGCCAGCCCAGGCTTGCTCCTCAAATCACGACATCGCAGTGGTAAATCCCACGCACAACTTGTTATCGTTGGCGGGGTTGTCGCGCCAGAGTCCTGGGCCTACTGATAGACAGTCTCTGCCAACTGATTCGCTAATTCGCCAAGCAGCAACTACGTTGCCTTCAGCCGTCCTGACAGCTCCTGTGGCTGCCGCACCACCAATACGACTTCCCGCACAGCTGGTGTATTGTCCAACACCCTACGGTTCGAGTGGTGCTCAGACAACCTCACCATCAACCAGCCAACGAACAGAAACAGGAGATGGTATGAGGCAGCCCACAGGACTCGCAGATACAAACCCGACATGCAATTCACCGCCTATACGTCAAGAAGATCACCTTGAAGTCGGCCGTTCCCGGACAGACTTTTCTGTGCGGACCCGAGAACTGACACGCCGCCGCGTTCAAAAATATCGGAACCGACTACATCGCTTACGAATCCCGGCAATTATCCCTACTAACGACCCCAGTTTCCCAGTCATCAGAAATTGCCAGGGGCAGTCCATCCCAGGGCCACCACTATCCACGCCTCGCTCTCATGCAAATCCACAAGCCGACCCGGAAAACTTGCACGCCAGGACGTTAGAAGGCTTAGCAGACGACGCGTCTCCGGAAGGCGCTCAAAATAGCAACGCCACCCTTGAACGCTTCATTCAAGCCCTTCAGGTCGAGGACACTCGAGACGACTCTGACTCTCTTGGGCCATATCGAGTTGCGTATGATCAAGTGTTTCGGATATTCTTCAGCTCCATCTGCGCTTGTATGTCTAATACTATCTTTGGTAATAACGTGTCATACGCTAACCGAACTCTTAACCACAGGTTCACGTCAGCTTGAAGTCGACGAGCCAGAACACACTCATACTCTTCAGGAGGCCGTGCAATACTTGCAGCACTCCCTTCCTCCTTTACCAACAATCTTCGGCGAGCGAGGTTCCTATAATCCTAGCAACTTCTTCCGGGATTGGGAAACTTTTCTCTCCAATCAACCGACGCAGCCTCTTTCCTTTCGCAAGTCACAGGCGGCCCTTACCCCATCAAATCTCTCTATCTCGCGGCAGTGGGATATTGACAGTGTTTGGTTTGGGGCGAAAGGTTTGCAGGCGATCCGGCCACCAAATGACTTCAAGCTCTCGTTTCTTCCCTCTTCAGCCCTCAATCTCTCCACTGATCAGGTGATTCAGCCGCATGGGCTGGATCTAGCAAAGACAAGACATATTCTTATGGGCACCTTCAATACGCAGAGCGTTCGTTTCTCCGCCTTCCTGTTCTTCCCCCATGCTGCTCGAGATTCAACATCGGCTACCAGGAATGCGCTCTCACTCGAGCGGCAGAAGGACCTTTACGACCACATCATCATTCCGGCAGCCTTTGAGGCAATATCTGATCCTTCTCGGCAGGAGATACCCCGAACGTATGACATCGCATATGCAAAGTCTCGCTCCTTCCAGGAAAAGCCTGGCAACAACCGATGGAAGCAGGACGACGTAAGCAGAGCTTTCCATCTCCAGTATACAGTCCCGGCCCAAGATCTCTCGCTCTTCTGGCACTTGGTGGCTGAAAAAGCAGACTCATTCCAGATTCCAACACAGCGGGGAGAAATGGTGTCATACTTTAAGAACCCTCGGTTGCTCTTTCAATCCCACGATCTGAAAAACACATTTGGTCAGAGGACTCTCGAAGAGACCCTGAATATGTTCCAACAGACCATCCTTCAGGCTTTTGATCCTACCCATCTGGATATTCGCTCTTGCTGGCTTGATATTGGGGCCCGCGACCACGTTACCAGTCCAGTGTGTCCAATAACCAAGGTAAGGTAAGGATTTTATTTCGCCCGGGGGGACACACCCCAGAGGGCCTTTGCGCTAAGCTATTTTCGTTTCGTACAGTTCTTCCATAATCACCCGAAGCCCCAAAATTTCACTTTTACTAACTGGTCCAATCTGGTGTATATGCCGTGACAGGCCTGCTTGAAGGCCAATTTCCCCAAGTGTTCAGCATCCTATCCTCAGCAGCTGAAGCCCGGTCTGTCAAAATGAGACTGTATGATGTTAGTAGGATTCAATCTGAATAGTTAGTGTGCCTGAGGCTTCTGGTCCATGTCAAGCCTCCCCGTTGCAATGGCAAATTTGATCGTCGCCCGTACTGCCCGCATGTCTGGTGCCCATTTGTCATCGTCAGACGCTGCCTTTCCTCCCAAGAAGAACGAGAGGTTTCCCATCTTTGCTTGTGGGCATTTCAGCATGCCTTCCCGTTGCTTTGTCCACTTTGTGCATCTGAATAGAAAATGTTTAACTGTCTCGGATGCTTGACCACATTCGCACATATCCGATTCTACTGCGCCGATGTTGTGCAGAAAGCTGTTTAGTCTTGCCATTCCGGTGCGGAGCTGGATCAGCACATCTGCTTCTTTCCTCTTCAGCAGGTCATATATAGTACGGGTATGCTTGCCAGGGAGTGCCATGTCTATCGTCGTCGAGTATTTCCCAGCTCTTCCTGGCGGCATTCTTGTTTGCTGCTGCTTGGTTATGACTAGTCTTATCCTCGTGGATCTTGCTTGATACAGTGGTATATCTGGTCTGCAGTCTCTTTCAGTGGCCCGCCGGGCTGCTGCTTTGGCTTTTGGTCCTAGTGCGAAGTCTTCTTCGCCTGCTGGAACCCACATCATCTGGAGAGAGTTGCCCTCGTCTTCAAGGCGCCCGACATGGTCGTAGATTTGCCGAATGGCCTGTTGGCCGGATTGTTGACGCGGCCGCCGTATGGCTTCTAGTGCGGAACGGTTGCTCGTCACGACGGTTATAGTCCGTCGACGCAGTCCGAGTGGCATGCATCTCAGCGCCATCTCTATAGCTCCCAGCTCGGCTATGTATAGGTTCAGCTCCTCCGTCGACCCAAGAGTGATGGAGTAGCTGGCCACTAGTTCGTCGGCATTGTTGAGGGCCGTATCTCGTACGACACCTCCCATGCCTACCATGCCCTCTCTCTGCGAGGAGCAGGTGGCAATGACTATGCCATCCACCCTCTTTGCTTCTTCCACCGCTCTCTCCCGGTCACGGTCGCACGACACCGGGATACGGTCTCTCCATGGCGGTAACGCGTACTCCCGAATGATCTCTATTCGTTCAGTGGCTGTTTCCCCTTGTACTTGAGCAATCCTCTGCATCGGCGACACGAATCGGCGACACACTTTCATCACCTTCAGTGTCGCCAACGGGTGTGTCCTGGGAAGGGTCCGGAGGTTGATCCAGAACCTTGTTGCTGCTTGCGCATGCCGTTCTTGCACCGGTTGGATGCTAGCTTCGGCCTCTGCCACCGCCGTTGCGACGGTCCGGAAAGCTCCCGTGATCGCCTGTGCTCCGATCATCTGTGCCTTGTCCAGCCAAGCAGCTTCTCTAATGCCACATGAGTGCGCCCACACGCTGGACGCATAGTCCATGGTGGGAGCTACTGTTGCTACGAACAGTTGTCTCGCCGTCCGCGGTGACAGCATCTTCAGTCTTCTCAGACACATAGCAGCCGAGAGCCCCTTTGCAGCGGCTCTAGCTATGTGTTCCTTGTACCGCAGTTTCGCGTCCACGACCACTCCCAGGATCTTGGCGCTCGCCTTGGGCTTGACTACTTTTCCTTTGATCATGAACGGTTTGTCGCTGGTACGCGCGGCGTTTCGAGTGAAATGCACGATGGCCGTTTTGTCTCCGTTGAACGTCGCACCGCTCCGTCTTTCCCAGCCCAGTGCTTCGTCTATAATTGATTGGATGCCGGCTCGATTCTCCTCCGCTGTTGATCCCACCACCCAGGCTGAGTAGTCGTCCACGAATGCCATCGAACCACCTTTTGCGTTGATTCTTCTCTGCTTGACTTGCTTGGTTGAGGTTGCTTGATTACGTAACAACCAACCACAAGTAAGGACCCTCCCGACCAACCACAAGCAAGCCTTTTTGGCTTACTCGAGTTAACTTGAAGTTACTCTACGGCAGCCTGCAAGGCTTACTGTGTCAAAAATCAAAACTTTCCTTTTTGGGTCATCTTCTTAAACTACGAATGCCCCCTCCGTATGGCCTGAGATCGTATTAATTTAACTCCTCTGTAATTGCGAATAGGAGGTATCCACCTGTAAGCGAGGGCACAGACAAATCTGATCACACTCATAATTTTCATCGAGAGTGAGTCTCTGGGCAACTGTCAACTAACGTGGCCACTGTCACGGGCCAGATGAGATCAACTCAAGAGGTACACGTTGGTCAAGGCCACTGCATTGCAAAAATACTACTCTGTACGGTGAAGTGGAAAGAGAGCATGCGGGCCGGCGTGCGCGCGTGTGGACGCATAATACCTAAAACCCTTGCGGTGGTCCGCCCCTCTCACCTACCGTATTATCTCGAAAAATTGGCCCGACCTGTGGATACATGAGAGAGCGGCAATCTAGCTGTATGTAGTTTGGCCCCTTCGCTTGATATTCTGGTATGGGGAATTAATGGGTCCTATGCAAGAAAGAGGAACCGATTTTGGTATCCACTGGTCGGGCCAATTTTTCGAGATAATACGGTAGTTACGTTTCGATCCCTGACCCTGGTTCCAGCACTCCGGGCGCTCCCGTCACAGCCACCATGGCTCAGATTTGCCCAACAAAGAGCGGACTTGATCATTAAGGTATACGGCAAAGTTAGTACTGAAATGGAAGACGTGCGCTTTATAGTTAGCCCCACCTGCCTTCAGCAAAATCCACAACAAAATCGAAAATTCCGCCCCTACTCGTAGCGGAAAAAAAGGGCGTAGATGGACCAACCTCGCCAACAGGGAAAAAATAGACCAGCGATTTGATCGTCTCAATCAAATATGTCTCGTATCAGTGTTTTCCAGCTCGCGCAAGGCCTGCGCTGTGAGTGGTGGGTGGGGTGGTTGCGTGGGGAAAAGAAGCAGCTATGGGGTTATTGCTTCAGTCTACCATGGGGTGGCCGTAGGCAACACTTGATTTCTGACACAGTAAGCCTTGCAGGCTGCCGTATTACTCGACTAAGTTACCGTATTGGGAAAGTTGCCAAGAAGTCTAACCTCAAGAGGGCAAGCTGCGACAGTAGCGCGCCCTGATTGGCCCATTCTTTGATTGCGTTTTATGACGCCCAGAAGGATCTCAACTATAGCCACGTCGGCGCCGAAGGATATGATATCTCACAAGATACCCTGACTCCACAGGATTGGGTCGATCTGGACCACTTCCTCAATATCCTCAAACCTTTCAAGGATCTAACAAAACGCATGGAAGGCCGAGCCAACAAAGCTGGCTCGGAAGGATCACATGGCTCACTGCATGAGATTATCGAGTCGCTGGATGTGCTCTTCAAGAAGCTTCAGGAGGCCGGGAAGTTCGCAGATGATCACCCTGACGTGGTGTCAACATACTATTCCCATGCTATTGATGCTGCTCGTGTCAAGCTTGAGGAGTATTTTGGCCTCACAGATGCCAGTCCTGCATATCGATGTGCAGTTGCCTTGCATCCGGCCAACAAGTTTACCTACTTTGAGCTTGAATGGAGTCACAATAAGCAATGGATTAGTGGGGCAAAGAGAGTGGTGCAGGAGGTGTTTGAACAATACGAGGCAGCAGCAGCGGAAGCGGACCTAATGGACGGAGCACAGCAGGAACTGGACCTGGAGGAGCTAGAGGAGAAGGCTATTGTTAATGACAATGCGACACTTGATCCACTCCAGCAAGCTCGTAAGCATCGTCAGAGGCTTGCTGTCACTGTGGGGTCAGCTAGACGGGGAAAGAAGCGGGCAAGACTGACGTCTGAGCTGGATGAGTTTATGGCTAGAACTAATAAGGCAGACCTGGATGTTGAGGATCCTCTGGAGTGGTGGGTTCACCATGCATCTGACTACCCTGTCCTGTCCAAGATGGCGTTTGACTTGTTCAGTTGTCCAGCAATGAGCGCTGAGTGTGAGCGTGTCTTTTCACAGACAAAGAAGGTCATTACAGATGAACGGAATCGGCTCAGTTCGGACACTGTAGCAGCGATTGAATGCCAGAAGCACCTGCTTCGAAGCGGTATGTTAGCATAGATCTACCACGGGAGCCACGTAATTAGGGAATGGAAAATAGTCGAGTAACGTCAACCAACCAAGCAAAGCAAGCCACTACTACCGAGTAAACCAAGTCAAGCAAGGGGTTCAGTCAACCAAGTAAAGTAGAGGGTCCAAATTTTGCTTTACTTGGTTGTTGGACACACTGTACCAGTCTTCCGCCCCATGATTCTCTAGGATCAGAGTTTTATACTCTATTATGGAAGAGTCAATGCCATCATCAACTTCATGAACAACTCCGCAAAATTTCTCCCAAGGCACGAGTCAATGCCACATATTTCCGCAGCTTTCTCCTTCGCGATGTCGGGGACTATCAGGGTAAGGCAAAGCGTACTCGAGCCTCGAACCCAGGACACCCTGACGAGCGGAAGCCGGGGATCATTCGCGCTAAGGCGTACAGCTGCAACAAGGAGATATTTTCGGTCATGTCTAGTGATTATGATATATTTGGGTCAGGATTTCTCCCGCTCCTCGCTCTCAACGAAGAAATGATCAATGATCTTTCATCAGCTAACAAGGCCGTCATCAAGCACCCACCTTCCGGCTTCAACGTAATTCCTTGGTCAAGGCGTGGGAGGCAAACAAACGCCATATGAGAGCCATTTCCAACACCAAGGCTCTCGCAAGCTATGGTGTCCGAAGGGAAATGACCTTTCGGCTCGATGCGATTCTCACGATGTGGCACCGTGGGTATTTCCAGCCCAACCAGAACCCCCACATAGGACAGCGGGTTTGGAACCTGTCATCCGCGTCTGAGTTGACAGAACACTTCCCTTTCTGGGCAGTGTCAACTCGAGATATCAACGCGCTCATGTTCACCCAGGCCGCAAGACTTGTTCTTCCACTGGATCATTTGTTTCAAGAAGCTGCTCTCAATTCCACGGTCTCCTCACCCGGCCTCATCCTTGCATTCTATACTGCCCAACTTTTTTGTCGGATTCTCACTTATACCCTCACCAGCGAGCAGCAGTTCCCGTACGACAACTGGATCTGGCTTCCGCGATGGAGGGTACAAAATCGCCAGGCTCGCCAGACCAGATCGTTACTGGAGCGGCAGGGCCTCGGGGTGGATGTATCCATTAGAAACTCTGGAATGCTCTGGATCCCCCGAGAATGCATGGACTGGTATGGCGGGCACATTGCACTGGACACCCTGATCCAGCTCTATATACCTCGGAATCCCTTCCAGCGAGGCCTTCTATCTCAGATGAATGTGCAGCGCCTTACCGCGTCTAAGGTCACCATCGAGCTATCTTTGAGGCAGTTACTTCAGCAGGCCCGGTCCGAATTCGATCACGGCCGTCGCCACAGGGCAGATGAAGTTGTTGAAAGAATCATTCTGCTGATTACCGAAGAGGTCGCTCGAGCTTACCACCAGCATATGCTTTCCAAGCTGCAGCTGCACTGGGGAAGGCTTCGCCCTCAGGTAGGACACAGTGTTCTGTCCAGTCTTAAGCGTCTGCAGCAAAGCGAAGAGGAGTCCGCGATGCAGGTCGGCCGCATCGTTACAGCTCAGACGATATGGGAAATTTACGATGAGGCTTGGACTGGTTACATTCGAACTCAGCCTGTTACTGACCCCGAAGACATGCCGAGAGATGTACCTTGTTGGATGGCAACGCGCAAGTATCTGCCACCGGACGACAGCTGGTCCAATTCTGTCTTCCAGCGCCTCTTTAACTGTAAGAGTATTTCATCTTGGAACGGCCTCTACTTCCTTGACCTTTATCGGAGGTTTAAGGGGCTCTGGGAAATGATCGAGGGTTATGCGGGCCCATTTGATGAACGATTCAGTCGCACTATTGGCGACTACATCATGGTTACATTCAACAGTGATCAAACCAAGGAAGTCGCTACTGATCGGAGGCCTGGGACTTGGTATCAAAGAGCAACATTCTTTCGGATACAGTACTGGGCTCCCTACTTCTCACCGCCTAAATGTGCTTCGCTTTCCTCCTGGAGCTCAGTCGATGATTATCAGCATCGGAATCCTGGCCTCCCACCAGCTACGATCTCGAGAGCTATCAACGCCATGGAGTTCCAGAACCGTTCTAATACTTTCACACAACTATGGATGCGGTTGATCATTCAACACGATCAGCTACGCGAGGCCAAACCCAGGGAGAGGAATCGGATCTGTAAACAAGCTATGGAGTGCTTAGTAGATCTTATCGGCCCCCAATGGAGCTATCAGGGCGATTTGGCATTTGTACTGCCCTGGAAGTTTTCTGAGTCAACGGTGGGAGGCGGACAGCGCGAGGACCCATTCCGTTTTCCCATTCTGACAACATCTGCCCGCTTCTCGACCAAGCCCGGTCAGCCTACGATTCTGTTACCATCCCGCCATAATGTCATGGCTCTGGTCGGTGCAATTGAATCCCTTCCTCGACTTAATCAGACAGTCCTTCGGCGAGCCACATGGATCCGCGAGGTACTCCACAACAATGGGCAGCAATATGAACTGCGCAGTCATCTTGAGGCGAAGCAGAGAGAGATGGACATTGTGACTCTGCCCAATTCATTACTCCGGGAATTTTTGGCTCAAACTGAGCCCCCCCAAAAAGAGATTCAAGTCTTTGACACATTCAATGAGATTTGAGGGCGTATGGAGAACAGAGACGAAAATGGGTCGGATGAGGGTAAGTCTACGGGCCCGCGCTGCAGAAAAAGCAAGGAGACCATAGCAGGAAGTACTTTGAGCGAAGTAGACACTGTAACATATCAAAAACAGTCCTCATAGTGCAAGTATTCGCCTGCTCAACGGCCCTCCGTCGAGCGAACGCGTCTCCGCGTCCAACGACACCGCGACCAACAGCACCTTGTAAGGGTACAACAACTTGTTCAGGAGGTTGCGGTCACTCAAGAGCTGCCACCTACCGTCAAATTCTCTGCCCTGACCTTACGTGATGATTCAACCCCATCATCTCCTCCCGCCCAAATCCAGTCTTGGTCGGGTGACATATCAGACGACCAATCTGGTCCCGAGCCCGAGCTTGAGACAGCTCCCTTCCCCTCATCTCCAACTGCTTCGCCCATGCATATCGAGGATGACGATGGTGATAACTCCGAGGGCTCCACGTCCGATATCAATCCCGTGTCACAACCGACGACCTCAGCACCATCATCATCGCCCGGCCTTCCTCGGCAAGACGGTCGGTTATCCCAGCCGAGAAGTTCTCTTTCGTCAACATCAGACTCGCCAGACTGGTTCGTCCCATCAGTCTCGCCTTCACTTGGGCCCGAGGGTCCAATCCTCGACGGCTTTCTCCAAGCGATCCACGACCGGGATACTGCCGGCGGCCCCGATTTTCTACGCGCGATGAGCGATGTGTATGATCGCGTACTTCGTACTTTCTTTAGCTGTCAATGCGACTGTAAGTCATCCGACCCGACTCTTTTCAGTCCAGAGGTGCTTACATCATGCTCAAACTAGGCCCAAATTCACGCGAGCTTGCCGAACCCGAAGACGCCCACACTCTCCAGGAACGAGTTGAGCGTCTCAGCCATTCCCTCCCTCCCTTGCCGGCCGTCTTCGCGGAGCGTGATAACGCATGTGATCCTCGCGCCTCTTTCCCTCACTGGCAAAGCTTCCTCTCCGACCAACCTGCCGAGCCGCTCTCTTTCCGCAAGACACAAACTTCCCTCTCCCAGAACTCTGTAACCATCGCGCGACAGTGGGATGTCGACAGCATCTGGTTCGGGGCTAAGAGCCTATCAGCTATTCGAGCCCCCAACCAGTTTCGACTCTCTTTTTTCCCACCTCAAGAGTAACATCTCCACCAACCAAGTCATCCAGCCTCATGGTCTTGACCTAGCACATACGCGGCACACTTGTATCGGCTCCTTTACCACGGCCGGCGTCCGCTTCTCCGTTTTCGTCTTCTTCCCTCATGGAGCCCGTTCACAGACACGGGCTTCCGCAAACAGTCTCTCTCTCGCACGGTTCAGAGATCTGTACGACGAGATAATCCTCCCGGCCGTCTACGAAACAGTTCCCGATCACGCCCGGCAGGAAATCCCTAGCTCCTATGACCTTATCTACTCAAAATCTCGTGCCTATCAAGAAAAGCCGGGTGCTGGCCGCTGGAGTGCCGAAGACGAGAGCCGGTCCTTTCGCCTGGCATACAACATCCCTGCCGATGCCCTCCCGCGCTTCTGGGCGTCGATCGTAGAGAGAGCGAACTTGTATCGGGTCCAAACACGGCGAGGGGAAGACGTTGCCTACTTCCAGAACCCTCGCTTGCTTTTCCAATCTCATGACTTGAAGAACGTATTTGCGCGACCGAGCCTCTACGAAAGCTTGGCTCTGTTTCGAGATATGATCTTGGCCAATCTCGACCCAAGCCAGCTCGACATGCACTCCTGCTGGCTTGATGTGGGGATGCGGGACCATGTTAGCAGACCTCCATCGTCATCGCGGCCACAGGACGCTCAGGGCAGGGCTGAACCTTGGACGCTACTCTGGAAAAGTGAATGCTGCCGTCATCTTCATAAGAGCCTTCAAGATCTGGTCCCAGAAGCCCCGCTTGACGCCAAATACTACCGTTCTTTCCTCCTCCGCGATGCAGGGACCTACTATGCTAAGGCGAGGCCAAGCCGGGTCCCCAACAGTGTGTCCATCAACCAAGTAAAGCAAAAATTAGACCCTTTGCTTTGCTTGGTTGATGGCACCCCTCTGCTTGACTTGGTTTACTTGATGGGAGGTCCTTGCTTTACTTGGTTGGTTGACATTGCTCGACTGACTAGTGTCTAGTTTTATATATAACGTGCATGACAAGCATGTGCACCAAACAAGCATGTGCACCAAAAATCCGTCAATCTCTCCTCTTTCCCTCTGATCAATTGTTTCTCAACCACAAAACATGTCACAGTCAAATAAAGAGGCAAATATCCTTCTTGCCCTTCAAGCTCTTCAAAATAACTCATCATTAAGTCTCAGACGCGCCGCAAGGATCTATGAAATTGATTATTATGCCCTACGTCGCCGACAGAATGGCATTCTTTCTCGACGCGATTGGATCCCTAAATCACGCAAACTATCAAATCTAGAGGAACAGATCATTATTCAGTTCATTCTCGACCTAGATTCGCGAGGATTTCCTCCGCGACTGCGTGGTGTGGAAGAAATGGCCAACCGACTGCTCGCTGACCGCGACGCGTCACCCGTCGGCAAGCGCTGGGCTTCCAACTTCGTCAAGCGACACCCAGAGCTTAAGACGCGTTTTTTTCGCAAATATGACTATCAGAGGGCTAAATGCGAAGATCCGACTATTATTCGCGACTGGTTTACGCTTGTGGCGAACACAATCGCGAAATATGGTATCACCCTTGCTGATATTTACAACTTTGATGAGACTGGCTTTATGATGGGTATGATCGCAAGCGGAATGGTCGTCACAGGCGCAGAAAGGCGTGGAAGACCGAAATCAGTCCAGCCTGGAAACCGGGAATGGGTTACGGTCATCCAGGCTATCAATGCGGAAGGCTGGGCGATCCAGCCGTTCATCGTGGTTGCGGGCCAATATCACCTCGCCAGCTGGTATCGAGAAAGCAACCTCCCGGGCGATTGGGCCATCGCCACGACCAAAAATGGCTGGACTGACAACGAGACGGGTCTTGAGTGGATCAAGCACTTTGATCAGCACACAAAGACCCGATCAAATGGTCGCTATTGCCTTCTGATCCTCGATGGGCACGAAAGCCACCACTCGACCGGCTTTGAGACATATTGCGAGGAGAACAACATCATCACGCTTTGTATGCCACCTCATTCGTCTCATCTACTCCAGCCTCTTGACGTCGGGTGCTTTGGGCCACTCAAAAAGGCGTACGGTCGGGAAATAGAGCATTTGATTAGATGCTCTATAACCCACATTTCAAAGACCGAGTTCTTTCCGGCCTTTTACGCTGCCCACCAAGCCGCTATGACAAAAGGCAATATTCAGGGAGGTTTTAGAGGAGCCGGGCTTGTTCCTTTAGACCCGGAAAGTGTCATATCCAAGCTTGATGTGCAGTTACGGACTCCAACACCTGTTGAGGAGGAGGCGAGCCTCCCCGACCCTTGGGTTCCAAAGACCCCAAAGACCGTCCTTGAGGCTAGCTCTCAGTCTGAATACCTCAAAAGACGAATTAGAAGGCACCAGAGCAGCTCCCCGGCATCTATTCTTGAGGCACTTGAGTCATTTTCTAAGGGAACAAAGGCAATAATGCATCAGATAGCATTACTGAAGTCTGAGAACCAGATCCTTCGACAGTCAAATGAGGTACTTAGCAAGCGGCGTAGAGCAAAAAGAACCCGCCTGCAGAATAGAGGGAAGATGACTGTAGATGAGGGAAGGGAAGCAATTGATCAGAAGGATGTTGGTATGCAGGTAGTGGCCGAATCATCGAGAAGTGGTGGTCAAAGAGGATCGGCGCGACGGAAGGAAAGCCGTTGTGGAACATGCGGCGAGACCGGGCATAACGCAAGAACATGTCAGATCGTTGTTGCGATGTCTGGAGAGGAGTATAGCGATTAGTCTCAATTGATTAGATGCTTTGTTGTGTTTTTTTGCTATGTTTTATCTTAAAGGTTAAGTGAAAGTGGTGCACATGCTTGTTTGGTGCACATGCTTGTCATGCACGTTATATTCCCCCCCCTCTTTTTTTTTCTCTCTCCCCAACTTCACCCTGGTAGTAGATCTACGATAACATGCCGCTTCGAAGCAAGTGCTTCTGGCATTCAATCGCTACTACAGTGTCCGAACTGAGCGCCATGCCTGTAGATTGCTGAAGGCTGGGACTTGGAGTTAATGGCGCGCTTATGGGGCTGGCGATATCGAATGGATGGCATTGGCTTCCTATCATAGCGGATATTGTCCCAGTCGATAGGGAAAGGGCACTGAGCGGCCTTCGGCATCTCTCTTTCATGAGAAAGCGTTGAAGGAGAAGGCCCATCATTGGACACGTTGGCCGGGGTTGAGGCGGCGCTAGGAGCGCTCGACTGGGCGGAATTGGGTGACTGAGAGGGTGCCCTAGGAGGGGGGTCTTTCCAAGCCTTCCATGGGGCTAAAAGAATGGATGCGAAGACATATTTTTCTCGGTGTTTGTATGATTAGAATAATGGTTGATTGATTGATTGATGCTTTTCCGCCCTGTAGGCTCATGTTTGCTGCAAGTTTTTGCGAGCGAAGAACTGAAAGATAGCAGCCAATCAGGGTGTGCTGGTCTTGCCGTTCGCCCAATCAAAAGCAGGCGTTTTAAGAGACTTGCCTAATACGGCAACCTAGTCGAGTAACCTCAAGTAACTCTGAGTAAGCGAAAGGGCCTTGCTTTGCTTGGTTGAAGACCATCTTTACTTTACTTGGTTGTTACGTAATCAACCAATCCCAACCAACCAAGTCAAGTAACTTGGGGAGCGACCGCATGGCTGAGGAAGTCACTAGAGCCCACGAAGGGATGTGATACGATTGCTAGAGTGGCGATTCGAAACACTTCTCGAAATCTCATTATCTTCTTTATTACTTTTGAAATACCCGGTAGCCGCTTGGCGGAGATTCAGGCCTTTGGTGGATGTCTGAAGTTGCGAACCCCGCTTCAGACGTCATTGTCGTCATGGAAGGCGAGCCGGATGTTCCGGGCGGGGGATATCATCGTCCCCTGCGTAAAAGGACCAGAACGACAAGGGCATTGGAGTCCGAGCAGCAAAAAGGCGATATGGAATGGCAGGAGGAGGAGAGCAGTGAGGGAGCTCTGAGTCATACGCGAACTAAGAAAAGAACCACGCCTAAGGCAGCTGGCAGCATGACCGAGGCGATCCAGGGTTTGAAACGACTCCTGGAACAGGATTTCAATCAAAGAATGGAAGCAATGAAGGCAGAGTTTCAGCTCGAGTTTACAAAACTTAGCGACCGCATGGCTGAGGAAGTCACTAGGACCACGGCCCAGATGGCGCAAGAATTGTCACAGGCTCGAGAGCAGCTCACCCTGGTTTGCAGCGAGTTGGAGCAGACCCGGCTACAGCTGGACACCTTGACCAATGCTCATGCAGCAAGATCGCCTAGCCAGACATATGCAGATGCTGCCAGAATGACGCCTGCTAGTATCACCACTCAAACTCCATCCACGGTTCGATCAGCAACCCCGGAACCGGTGTTCTGCACAGTAGACACATCTAGGGTGCCCGAGGATCATATCGGAGATGCTACACCAGCAGTGCTTCGCAGGACCATTGAACAGGAAATGCGAACATCTAGCGACCAACCTAGTTGGCGATGTGTTGCAGTGACCAGAGATGGACGAAATACCAACCGCCTGAGGGTCATCGGTAGGAACGAGGAAGAACTGAAGAAGATCAAGACCATTATTGAGGTCAAGAAGGCTCCAGGTGCGAGAGTCCTTCGTGACCAACTGTATCCAGTCAAAGTTGACAATATCAACCGTACCGCCGTTCTGGACCAGGAAGGCAAGGTCCTTCCTGGAGCAATGGAAGCCTTGGGCCAAGAGAATGAAGTCCAGATTGCCAAGATGGCCTGGTTGAGTCGCAAGGATAACGCAAAGGCATATGGATCCATGGTGGTATACCTCACCAAAAACAGCGATGCCAGGAGACTCTTACAGGAACGCTACTTCCTTGCAGCCGGTGAATCGGCTTATACCAGCATGTTCGAGCGGAGAACCGGACCGATACAATGCTACAACTGCCAGGAGCTTGGCCACAAGGCCTTCTCGTGCAGCAAGAATCGGGTATGTGCGAGGTGCGCTGCCGAAGGCCACCATCATCGTGAGTGCCAGACGCAGGTACCCAAGTGCGTACCCTGTGGTGGACCGCACGAGTCGTTCAGTCGAAGCTGCCCGAAACTCTACCCTACTCGGCATGAGTAGGATATTCCAGGTAATTCAACTTAATGTAAGAAAACAGGACACGGTACACGAGAGCCTAATGAACGATACGCGACTCCAAGATTTTGCAGTTGTGGCGGTCCAAGAACCACAGGCATGGAAAAGTGACGGCAAACTATTAACAGTCCCTATGGGGCATCCCAGATGGATTAAAATGGTCCCTACGATTTGGAGAGATGGCAGATGGCCGATCCGGAGCATGTTGTGGGTGAATAGGGACTTGGAGGCCAACCAAGTACCAATACAGTCCCCGGACTTGACAGCAGCAGCCATACGACTCCCGGACCGAATAATGTTAGTTGTGTCAGTGTATGTGCCGGGACGCAAGCCCCAGGCTCTTCGAAATACATGCCATACCCTGCACCGGGTGATCCTCGACCTCAGGAGCAGGACAGGGATGGCGGTGGACGTCATACTGGCCGGAGATTTTAATCAACACGACCGGCTTTGGGGAGGAGACGATGTGGCCTTAGCAAGGCAAGGCGAGGCCGAACCGATCATCGACCTCATGAACGAACACGGTCTTTGCAGCCTGCTCCCGAGAGGCACAAAGACATGGCAAGGCCCCGACAAGGAAAGCACAATCGACCTGATGCTGGCGACGGCGGAGGTGGCAGACGGAATGGTGACGTGCTCCATACACCCGACAGAACACGGATCGGACCACCGGGCGATCCAAACGACGTTCGATCTCGCGATGCCTGATCGGATTGTCACGGA